AAAAGAAAAAGGAAATCGTCCCAGGAGAGGATCGAACTCTCAACCTCATGATTAACAGTCATACGCGCTAACCAATTGCGCCACCGAGACGTATTACTGAATTTTGCAGTTCCCTATCAAGGTATATCAGTGGCAAGTTTATTGTACATATATTCTTGGGTATGAAGTAACGTACTCGGACCCGAATGTCAAGGGTAATTCCCCCTAACCAATACCACCAACACCAGCGTCCCTTGTCAGTCCATATCATCAGAATGGTGGGTATTTCTAAAGAATTGCGAATTTTTCTAGCCCTTAATGTGTTAAAAAAGGGTTATTATACCTCTGTCCCAAAAGGCTACATCAGCATTTGATGTCAACTATCAAACCTTCTATAGGAGCCCCTGCACGTGCTGATAGACTTGCAAACTGCAGAAAGTTATTAGATCCTGAAAGAATCCTCTTAGCATACATTCTTAATACATATGAACATGGTTTACCTCTTCGGACTGTAACTGTCCAGTATTCAGCGGGATTATTACTCTCTGCGTGGCTATTGTCCTCTTTGTTTTTTATATTTTTTTAGTAAGAAGTGGGTAAACTGGGTTGTCAAGCGTCGTACAGAGCTATGTAATAAGTATAATCGAAAACATAACTATTAACGCGCAAAATCTAAAGAGCCAGAGATTATTTATAACTTGTTTAAACCTTTCCACAATACTAAGCTAAATGGATAAAAATAGTATTTTTAATATAGATGAGACTGTAAAGGGCTGGAGCCCATTTGACCTCTCGGGCCAATGTCCCTATTATCCCTGTTGTCCCTACTGTCCCTACTGTCCCTACTGGCCCTGTTGGCCCTATTGGTACCTTTGGCCCATTGGCCCATTGGCCTTCGATCCACGTCACGTGACCTCCCACATTGTTTGTTTACCGCTCATTTTCCTCTTCCTTTCTTCCTTTCTTACGTTCTTCAACGATTCCTTCTTGTACATAACCTATCTTATAGGTTCTATGGGTTCAGCCCTTGACAGAGACTGGCTTCCAGATGGGTGTTATATTAACTGTAAAGGTTATTTATCGCCTAGAAACAAGAGAAAGCCGGGCAAAGAATCTATAGTCAGGGAATCGTGAGTGGGTAGCTTCTATGGTTACAGTTAATTCCACTGGATGGGTCTTACCTTCTTAGATTATTATTGCCAAAAGAAGCTTTAATCCCAGTGGTATTCTATAATTCCACAAGAATATCGGATCAGTATCAGTAAGAATGGATGGACAACGTAAGCTTGGCTTTGATTGGTTTTAGAAAGTATTTAATAAATTTACAGAAATATTAATCTTTAATAGCTATTCTAGTCATGCAACTGCAGAATTTGATAAATTCTGTACAGACGAAAGATTATCTCTTAATATTTGCCACCACAGTCTTTATATCTTTTACAACCACTTGATGCGAGCTGCTCTTCTCCACTAAAAAAGGTATACAGAAAGAGTACTTCTGTCACGGGCTGAACTCAGTATATTGCTCAGACTAAGGCCTTTGCTACTATATAGGGCGCTAAATGCGACTCATCAAAAGATCAATCGCCTTTGTACCTTCTTATGGTCGAATGGTTAGTCTATACTAGCACATAGACAACCAAACCGATACAACTGCAGAGATGATGCATGGAGGAATTCATTTAATCAACAAGAACGACTTATCTCTTTAACCTACAGCACATCAACATGCATTATGCTATCTAATATCCGAAATAAATTTAGAGCAATTGGTCTAATCGCTTCAAACCTAGAGAGGGTACTTTCAAAGCTTTGTATCAAGCTAAAAACATCAACAACTCCATCTTTTAATCATAGTAATGAATTACGTGACCCAGTGAAATTTCATTACTATCTAGAAATCTGTTAAGTTTATAATAATTCATGATGGTTGGTGGTAATATTGGCGCAGGGGCTGTGCGCTTGAAAATCTGCTCACGCTCGGTGTCCACTGACTTGGTGTCTGATTACCTACGTTGTTATTCTTCTACGTATGTAACTAATTATAGCTACCCAGAGTAGGTAAGTGGCTAGCATTTGTTTTACTGCAGCCACCTCTCTGGAAGGTAAACAAAGTACTGGGCAGCTATCTCCAATGCTGGCCAAGGTATCATCATATCATTGCTTGCCTTGTATAATAAGACTCAGATTTAGACTGCCTAGTCTGCCACTTTGTAATGGGGGTTAATTAGTTAATAAATTTCGCCAGTGCTAATAATATAACTGGAATTAGAAAACATAATAGACAAGCTTTATTATCTCTGAATAGTCATTGCGACATACTGGCTTGTACAGAGTACAGGACATCGCATTTCTTCCTTGCCATGGACACATCTTGGAAGAAAGCGCAAAGCTGGCTCCTCATCCATGCCCTTCAAAAATCGACCAAATGTTAAAAACTATCTATATTACAATCCTCATCCACAGTTACTTGGCATTTTGACCTGCTGCTTTGTCTTAAACTAAATCTTAATCCCAAGAGATTCGCTGCTTGCGGGTATAGATATTTGAAATTTAGGAACTTTATTTTCATCTGCCCGGCACATTAGCGTCTCGGTGGCGCAATTGGTTAGCGCGTACGACTGTTAATCGTGAGGTTGAGAGTTCGATCCTCTCCCGGGACGTTTCGTTTTCACTTTTTGATTTTCTCATTTGCCAGCCTATGAGAGAGACCTTTGAACGGGATTATCCTTGTCGTCAATCAAGGATATAGAGCAACAGCTAGTTCGACCTGACATTCGCAATGGGCACATGCTCCGCCGAAAGGTGTCCTGCCACGGACAAATTAACATCAGCCGCTGGGATGGTAGGAAGTACCCTTCTTCCGTCCGTGTGTACGTATGTATGGGACAATGCCTTGAGGTAGTCTGCCAATTGGTAGGACCGGATTGCGGCCAGCAATCGAATTCTGGTGTATACGGCAAGAAAGAGTAAGGACGGAAGGTGTCGACAGCGATTATTAATCTGACTTCTTGTAACTTACAGTCTTAAGCTTAACTACATTCCTCCTAGAATCTTTAATACTTAACCTGCTTGATTAGCAACCCCTTCAGGTACTCTATGCAAGTAAAATGGCATAGGGATGGTGGCCGTGGTGGTAGCGGTAAGGGATATAGAGGAAGAAGCGGAGGAGACGAGAGCTCTACTAAACATGCAATACAATTAAATTAATTCACTAACTCTTCCTATCTCTATATAGATGCAACCTGGACACACACACACATTTATTTTCTAATAGAAGGGCCATACTCATTAGTCCTTCTTCTATCTCGTTATCAGACTTGTTGTTCTTTCAGGTACAGTATTCCATCTTGTTGGAGACTTTTTTTAAAAAAAAAAAAAGAAAAGAAAAGAAAAGAAAAAAGACAATGATATTTGTTCCTTCTATCCCCATCCTCCCATACTAGAGCTTCGTGTCAAGGGTTGAACCCAATGTATTGCTCAGGCATAGCCTTCGTTCCTATATAGGGCGCTAGATGCGACTGATCTTCGATCAGTAGTCTTGTACCTTTTTATATGGTCAAGTGGTTTGATCTCTATTAGCGCAGAGACAACCAAGCTATCACACTTCGTCTTCATACACGGGTGCCTAGCGCTTGATAGTTGGGTATATCTTGTTTTTTTATTACCTTTTGTTTATGCAATGATTAAGCTATTAAGTTCTTCATGGTACGGAGGTCCATGGTTGGCTCGGTATGATAAATAGGAAATATGACAGAGGGGGAGGACTTCAGGTATTTACATGGCAGGAGATGCCGTATGAACGATAATATAGTTGGTAGCATTAGAAGAATATTCTTACATTTTTAATGGTGCGTACCATAGGAACATGTTGTATAGTATAGACATTCCCGATATACGTGTTTTGTGCAATAACATGCATCTATTAATTTATGCAGTCATGGTATGTATGTGGGTGTTGTAGATGTAGAAACACCGCTTATAAGGATGTGTAATAACATCCTGGGTTTACAGACAATTTTTATGCGTGCTCCCTGCATGTCCTTGGTTCGTTTTCAATGTGAGTTTGTATGTGAATCGAATTACGGATAAGGATTCTGCTATTCAATAATGATAATATATTTAAATATTTTCATGAAGAAAAACCTCTATAAAGCACCTAAATCTACAGCACAGACATCATATTTAATTCATAGGCCCCTAGCAAGGCTAGCAGGCAATGCTAGGGTTCAATTAACCTACGGTTGCAATGTCACGACAATATATATGGTATCGGCTTCTTCAAGGCTATATAAATAATAGAGATATAGACCAAGACTTGTTCGGATCTTTACCATTACACTTCACCCCGAGCCTAAGTGTTCCAGCCGGGGTACAGCAGGGAACACGGAGAGCAAAGACAAGTTTATCTAATATAGAAAGTACCCGTAGCGAATGGGAGCTTGAGAGAATACCTTATTTTATATATCAATTGCCTTCAACCTACACACGTCGAGCGAAAATGGCCGTGCTTATGCAGAGTACCTATTTCATTTTTCTTTTCAATTTGCAGCCCCTCTTGCTTTTCTTTCTTTTATTGAGGGTTCTATGTCACTAGACGCACATGAAAAAAATGGGTAGATACTTAAAATAAAAAGGGAAACAAAAAGAAACGTCCCAGGAGAGGATCGAACTCTCAACCTCATGATTAACAGTCATACGCGCTAACCAATTGCGCCACCGAGACATCTTATTGACCATTACTTCAAAAATATGAACCTTGAAGAAGTGCAACTGTCTGGTCTATGCCTCCCGTTTTATGGAAGCGGAGGTTATTTAGCTTCCGTTCTGGGTCAACGATCCCCGCGTTCGATCTGGATTTGGTTGCTTAGGAATCACATTGACGTCACGGACTATGCAACACCTGCTCTGCGAACAATTATCGTACGGTGGCGGCTGGCTAAGTTCCCTGCTGGATATTCCTAGTTGCATCTTACCGAGTTACTGTTGACTGAAGCGACAACGACATCGTATCATCCATCATGGCACCGCAACTGTTCCCCAAGAATCCCAGCGAGACTATGGTAATTCGAAATGTCACGTCCGACGTACTCACCACGAGTCTCCCATTTGCGCGATTTGGGCATCTAAAATTTGGAGGCCGAGGGACACTAGGTTCGTCGAAAAGTTATTTCTGTGAAAGGCTCCCCCTTGCTCACTGCGTTATGAAAACAGTCAAGTTGGCATCAGGCTCCATTGCAGTGTTTTCCCCTGTCAGTCTCACGCCAGAGGTAAGGGCGGCGGTGAACTCTTTAGAAGGCAATGTGAAGTACATCGCAGCGCTGGATCTCGAACACCACCTGCACCTCACTTCGTGGAAGAAGGCCTACCCCGAAGCTGAAATAATAGCCCCTGAAGGTCTCTGGGAGAAACGCCAGTCGAATCCCGAATTCAAGGATACCGTGTTCCAACACGTGTTTTGCAAAGAGGACAGGGGCCGGCACAAAATCTCCGAGGAGTTCGATTCCGAGTTCGACACCGAATACGTGTACGGCCATCCGTCACGAGAGCTCGTGTTTTTCCATAAGCGGTCGCGCACTCTCATCGAGGCCGATCTCCTGTTCAATTTGCCGGCCCGGGAGCAGTATTCTAAGTCGAACGAGAGCGCCACGGGGGGCTTATTGACCCGGTTGATTTGTCCCATGTTGTCTACCACTCCGCCTGCCACCTGGCAGAAGAGATTTGTCTGGTATGTCCTTTCGACTGCAGATCGACAGGCCTTCACGGAGTCAATGCGTCGGATTGACCGGTGGGATTTCAATCGGTTGATTCCGTGTCATGGGGATGTAGTTGAAAGTGGCGGTAAGGCGGTGTTCCGGACGGTGATGGAATGGTTTTTGGAGAATGACAAGAAAAGTACCTAACGTAGGCATCCAATGTATATGTACTAGTATGTGCTGATATGCTGTGCGTTAATTCGCTGTCCGGTTGCTGGATTCGTTTTTAATTTCTATTTGTGATGCTGAATATCTTGACTCCGCTCATTGATCCTGATGCTTAATTTTGTATTGTTTATGATAAATACCAAGCCTAATGCTTTTCAGTGTTATCCTTTCCCTAATTTCCCGGCTCATGATGGCCATAGGCGCCAGGACGGATCTTCATGGAGTCTCGAGGGCGGAGTCAATAGCCCCTTCTTGACGGCCTTTCTCAAGACATTTTGCCCCTTGTCCGGAATGTCAAGGATGCATCCGTTGGGTTTGTTCCTCAAGAATAGTCTAAAGAACTTGTCCATAGCCAGTTGTAAACAAGGCTAGACTGATATAGACTTGCAGCTTGCACGCCTACTTGCTGTGTAAGTGATATCTAGTAACGAGCTGAGATGATTGGGTGTACGGAGCTATGAACGGGAATATATGTGGGCCAGAATCAAGAATGAAAAGGCATGGCGCCTATCAGATGAAGCAGCCCAACACAGCTTGAAGAGAGAGACTCAACAGGGCCCTCGTGGAGGCTCCAGCTAGCCTACATTAAACAGTCTTATACTCGAATTCGCGTCGAAGTTGAATATTGTAGGCTCTTTTTTTTAGTAAGATTGCGTGTCGAGATGGCCACAATCTCCTGTGTCTAACACCAGAACATGATTTCATGGAAATTCTCGTGGTCGGGGCATTTATCTATGGATCTTGGTTGAAGCTCCCTGTCAAAGATTGCGAAAAGTCCGGTGCGGCTAGACAGATCTCTTAATATCGGCCACCCTGGCACGCGTTGGCAGACCTTAGGGAATGGGCGTGTAGATAAGCATCACCCTTGTTCTGCGACTGTCAGTTCTCCTTTGATAATAATTTAAAGTCATTTGCCTTCCCTCTTTCGAGGATCTATGAAGAAATTCAGATGAGCATCCAAGCCATGTCCTTTCTCTGATGACGCCACCTTGTGGCAAAGCCCACAACGCAGCAGGCTATTATTAGCCAATTCTTCCAAAGATAGGGCTAAGCGGCGCTAGGCTGCAGCGTGTACAGAAATAAGCAGCAATAAAAAAGGTAAAGAATGCCAAAAACGTCCCGGGAGAGGATCGAACTCTCAACCTCACGATTAACAGTCGTACGCGCTAACCAATTGCGCCACCGAGACTGCTATTGGTTAGTGTTTGGCTGCCAGTGTAACTTAAAGAGAAACTAGGCCCCAGTCGTTCGGAACAGGATCGTTGTATTAGTGGATTTGGGACTAAGAATATTTGAATTTGACTGGTACAGTGTGGCTGAGGCAGAGAGGATACACGCTACATAGCCCTATAGCGCCTAGGAGTGGAGAACATCTGCGGCTTTATTTAGCCACTGTAAGGCAATGATATTCCGCGATCTTCACGTTTGTTTTAGCTTGTGGGTGAAGAAACATAGGGATGAGCTGCAGAATATAAGTCGCAGAGACAAGTAAAAACGCACTCTGCGATGCGGACGTGCATAGGATAATAGGTTTGAAAAAGTGGCATAAAAAGTTTGATTTTCATCCCTACCTGCATGTCCTCAGCCGACCAGTCTGGAGCCTAAAGGTCGATCGTCGGCGATGATTTCGCTACTAAACATTAGGCAGAACTCAGACAGCCAATGGCCAAGGGCATGTCATCATCGTGCAAGGGTTGATCCAAGAAAACCTCGCTGCAGATCATCTGGTGTGTGCTGCATTTAGGTGCTTTTAAGCTGCCTAAACCCCTCGTATTTTTGTTTCTTTTTCATGCCTTCATCGTGATCTTCGGCAGGAAATATATTACTCGACCTCATCCATCGACTATCCAGAAAGAACCATCTCATCTGATCCAAAACAACTCATTCATCATCATTCATCATGCCTGTTGTGTCACGTCTTGTGTCTATTGTGCTGCGTGTGGCTGAAATCGCCTGCGGTGCTGTATGTTTCCTGCTGATCAGCCTTGAAATATATTTATATGTACCTATATTAAACTGTATCCAATAGGTCGTCGCGGGTATCATCGGTCGCGACCTAACTTCCTACGACGGTGACATCTGGCCCCAAGCTCGATGGATCTACACTGAGGTAGTCGCCGGGTTATCCATCCTGCTAGGCCTGATATGGCTTATACCATTCTCCTCCTCCTTTTTCACTTGGCCACGTATGTTGAACCCATTCCCCCCAAGTCCATAGCCTCATGTAATTGACGAGGGCTCTGCACAGTTGACGTCATCATCTCCTTTGCCTGGTTCGCTGCGTTTGGAATTCTGGTCGATGCAATCCACAAACTCAGCTGCGGTAGTATCTGGCACTGGGGTGGTCTTACGCACAACGATAACTGCAGTCGACGGAAAGCAGCCGAAGCGTTCAGCTTCATCTCTGCTATTGTATGGATGGTTTCGGCGCTTGTGGTGCGCATTAACTCTTTAGCTCCATCCCCAGCCTATGTGAATACCGACTGACCTCGTGTTTAGGGCATCTGGTTTACCTTCCGTGTCAGGAAGTCCACCACTGATGCTGCCTAGTACGTTGCTTTTCTCCCCTGGAGTGTATACAACGGTTGCTAACGTGTAACAGTGGACGTCGCCGTGGCTTCTTCAGCAGATCCGCCGTGTAAGTACGAAATAATTTATGCTCCTGTTTACTCGAAGGCCATTTGGTACCAGAGTATCAAACAGACATAATGAATGTACCGACGGCCTTCACTCGAAAGCCATTTGTCCCATATATACAGCATTCGTGCTACACCTTGCACATGGATTTTCAAGTCGCAGGTTTTTAATTCCTGTGTTTGCTGTGACATGATATGGTGTCTATGTCTTGTGCTACTTGATTGTTTAATCGATTGCCCGATGGGAGTGGAAAAAAAAAAAAAAAAAAAAGACTATGACCTCTGATGGAACGATGCGATGGATTTATTTGTCTTTCTTTGTTTTTTGATACGATACCCTGTTGGCGTATTGATGATTTATGTGTTATGTGCCACTCGCTTTATTAGCCTAAGCACAAACCTGATGATTAAACATAGTGTTTTACCTATTTCCGATCCATGCATAATACCCATCGTATCTGCTTAGGCTATGCATACACAAATGCCTTCACATATATACCGTTCTAGTAGACATCACTTGCCTAACGGCGCTATACTAAAGCCCGAAGGATCAATGTCTTAGATAAGGGCTTGGCATCGGTAGGAAGGGGAAACCGCGAATCTCCGAGAGGAGGATGATACTTCCCCTCCTGCCATATGGAGCATCATTATGGCTCCGCTAGATTCGTGTTCCCGGAATTCCCAGGAATACCCTCTTCAACCCCTGGATGAGGATGACGACTCTGGAAGTCGCCCGTCTCTGAGTCTCTCGCGGGGAAGTACCAACTCCTTGCGACATGGGCAGGGCACGAGTGAGCCCCTGCTGCCAACCTCAGTTCCACGTCCTCCCTCGGAAAAGGCCTCTGGTCGATTCTCTCACGCCGTTTCAATGATCCGCGCGTGGATCAAAGGACCCTCGCCGCCACGCAAATACCATATCACACCTTGGTTCTACCACGCGCAAACCGCCCCAGGCCGTCTTATTGAGCGATACTTTCCTCGTGCTAAAGTGTGGCTTCTTCTGGCCTGCGTGGGAGCTTGGGGTGTGATATTTATCGGGGCTATACATATGTCTGTTGCGGGCCAGGAGATACCAGGCTATGGGAGTCCCGTGAAACTCTCCTGTCAGGCTAGACTTTGGTATGTCTGATATGGCCCTCTCTTAGGTGTAATTGTCCTTTAATGTTTAGGACTATATAGCCGGTGGCTAACCGCGAGTAGGACTAATGCTACCAACTGCGGTCTCAATGGGGATGACTGCCGCCCTTTTGACCATGGAGAATTTGCGTTCCGATGCCCCTCTAGCTGCGCGGCAGCGATGGTACTCGAGCCGTATGTCATAGGTCCCGAGGAGATCAATTACCGGAGCCTAGTTATCGGAGGGGCTTCGGAGACTGATGCTGGGGTTGGTATTTATCGTGGGGATTCAGCCATCTGTCCTGCGGCGGTCCATGCTGGACTTGTCAGTGACCAGAAGGGTGGCTGCGGCATTCTCCGCCGCACTGGCGAACGAAGCGACTTCGAGCCCGTGGAGAAAAATGGCATCTCAAGTATCGGATTCCTTTCGAATTTTCCTTTGTCATTTACCTTTGGCAGCGAAGACCCTTTGGGTGACAGCAATCTCTATTGCCAGGATATTCGCTGGACCTTGTTCGCTTTCTCTCTGGTCGTGTCGACAATGCTATCCCTGTTCATCACCTCGCCTGCAGCTTTCTACTCCTCGATCTTCTTTATAGTCTACTTCCAGGTGGTCCTCTCATCCGACCCCCCTTTCTCTCCAGACTACTATGACTTAGTATCCACCGCACTGGGCCGGTTACTTCCTTGTGCCTTCGTCGGATACGCGATTTACTATTTTTGTGTTCGACACACGTTGAAGGACTTGGATGCCCACTGGGACAAGACAGTTCTTTGGCTAGGGAGCTGCTGGGTAGGAGCGCTGAACACCGACACGTTCGACAAAATCCCCATCTCTCGACTAACCCCTCATGATATCCAGCAACAGCCAGGCGCCATACCTGCGTTGATCATTATCGTCGGCGTCCTCTGCCTCATCGTCATCACCCAAGCCCTGGCCTTCCGTAATGAAGGGAGAATGCCCCGAATGCTGGCCATATACGGCATCATGGTTGCCGGCATAATTGCTCTGCTGCTTGTGCCGCATATGAACCTACGCATCCACCATTACATTCTTAGCCTCCTCTTCCTTCCTGGAACGACGCTTCAAACCCGTCCCAGCTTACTCTACCAAGGCCTTCTTGTAGGCTTTTTCATCAATGGTATCGCAAGGTGGGGCTTCGACAGTATCCTGCAGACTCCAGGTGCCTTGTTGGATGGTGCTCGGCTAGGCAGTGTCCTTCCGGATATCGGTGCACCTGTCTTACTTAACTCCCAGAGTATTATCTTCAATTTCACAGACATTGCGCCCCATGCGGACGGGATTAGCGTCTTGGTCAACGACGTTGAGCGCTTCCACGCCTTCAAAACGGACAACAGCTCGGCTGGCCTGTTTAATTGGACGCGCCACAGGGCCGATGAGTTGGAGTATTTCCGGTTTGGATATGTGAAGACGAGAGCCCTTGGTGGAATTTGGTATGAGGATTTTACCTCGCCGGTCACTTGGGAGACCGATGGACGTTGGAACCAAACCGGGCCGACTTGACCGGTCATTCTGGGAATCTCGTATCCTTACATTAGAATGGCCAGTGTCTCTGGCCAGACACTGGGTATATATATTTTATAGCATCTTTACCTTCAGACGGCTATCGCAGCTTTATAATTGGAGAGGAACACCCCCAAGGCCATCTATCTGTAGTTATCGGTGAACTATATTGGATAAATACTCGGTATCAATTAAATAGTACATATACTTATCTTCATGTCAATAAATGACCTGCACAAATTCAAACGAACCCATCAATGCAGGCTCCAAGTCACCAAAATGCGCCCCAACACCAAGCAGAGCGAAACATGCTTACAGAGGTAAATCACCGATATGCTCCAAACCAGTGGAGATCCAGACCGAAGGTGCCAAAAAGGAAAAGAGATAATGAATACCTCCAAAACGAAAAAACCAATATCTATGTCCAGTTCTTGCTATAATCATTACATCGCACCTGAACGACCTTCTGCTCGCCGCCGTCGGCAATGACCAGGGCTGTTAGTTTTCCGCCTTCAACGCAGCCGGTGTCGAGGCCCTTGGTGTAGGTCTTGAGGGAGAGGGAGTTGTAGGAATCGTGTCCGTAAATCACGGTCGTTGTCATTGACTTTGGGTCTTCGACGGTGTTTTTAAAGCTGGAGTACAGAAGGGACTGATGTTTGTTGAATAGCTGAGATATTGTTAGCGGCGATAACTATATAGGATATGCCTTTTTTTGGTTGAGGGTATTAAAAGGAGCCTCCATACTTTTGTCCAATGTGTACCCGCCCTCGAAGTACTGGGAACATGACGCTCCAAATCGATAGTCACCATGTTCATAGCGCTGAAGGGGTCCTGTTTCTCGAGATCCACGCCCGGGACTAATCCACCGTGGACGACGACTACCTGTCCCAAGTTCTTGATCTGGCCCATATTCAGAACCACGGGACAGGTATCGAGCCACTTGGCCTGCTCGTCGCTCAGCTGTCGCGCCAGTTCACGGCCCTTGGGGTCTTGTCCGAAGTCACTCGCATTGTCCTGCGACAGATCCTCTAGTATACTGGCTGCGACTAGGTCATGGCGCAGGATCAGGATACGATCCTCCCGGTCGCCGCGAACACATGAAGCGGAGTATTTTCGGAGAAGGTCCACGACACCCAGGCTGTCGGGGCCTTTGTCGATTAGATTGCCGGTGAAGACGAGGTGGTCGGTGTCTTCGTTGAAATCTACTTGTTCCAGCAGTGTTTCCACTGTTTGGAAAAGAAACTGTTAGAAACTTGATATCCGACAGCGATAGGAGAGGAATAACAAGGATATGGATACGCACACTCTTCCTTGCATCCATGAACATCCCCGATCATGATCAATCGGCGTTGACTGGGCTGACCCAGGTCTGGAGTTTTCTCCACAGGCAAGTAGGACGGATCCAAATCTCTCAGTTGAACCACATTATCGAAGGTCGGCAACGCGTTCGAACCAAACCAACCGCCGACTTCGTCCTTGACGTGGGGATCCAGCGAGCGTAGCAGCGCGGCATGTTCTTGCAGCCGAGGTGACAGTATAAACTTCCATCCCACGAAACACGACAGGAGCAGCGTCATGTACACAACCACATATCGACGGAACCTCGGAGCCGTCACTATCGACACGATCATCTGTATCCATCGAGGGGTTTCGGGGCGTTCGGACGTGGACGTGGACGTGGGAAGGTGAGAGTATTTGGCGGTGCCTATTTGCCATTCGTTGCGGACGTAGTCGATCAGGGGACGAGTGTATCTGGTCATTCGGTAGGAGGGACCAGATGAATACAATCCATCATCGGATGAGTCGTCGGACATGTCGATATTGTCGTTATTTGTATAAGTCATGATTTAGGATTTTTTTTTTGGGGGGGGGGGGTTGTTTTATAGTATAAGGTGGTAAACTCCATATACCCCCCGGGCTTTCTATTGTCTGTTCGTACTCTCCCTCTACCTCTTTCTTTTCTTTCTTTTGTCTTTAGGGGTGTGGCGGGAAATCCAATCAGAAAAATAGACGACGTGGAAGGGTCGTCAAGGAATAATAAACAAACATACAGTGACCGAGAGATGAGGATATTATGGTGACTACCGATTTCTATAGAAAGACAGGATAAAGTTGGATTGGGGAGAATGGCCAACCGGATACAACAACGTCAAGGCGGAATCGCCCTGGCAATCAATACCTTACTTAAGAAACAACGATGTGACAGCTAGTTATGGTCGGTTACAGGCTTACTAAACTGTTGTTCACCGTAACTTTCCAACGAATCTTATTGCGGATTCGGAATGCGCCATTCCCGAATAGGATCAGCAACCCACTAATCTGCCACTTAACTAATCCAAGTTGGTATCAAAGCCGATTTAACTTACTGTGTATGCCAGGGTAGATGCTTAGGATTGGATTTACTCCTTTGGTAATAGCAGACAGAGCCATCTACATTGGCGCCCCCATTAACTACCTTAGTCGGTCCTAGTCCTCCCTATATGGTGGATGAATTGGCCCAGTAGGGCTACATGGACCGCTGCCAAGTGTTCCCACGGGGCAGTGTTATGGGGCAGTGTGAGAATGTGAGTGTCGAGCTGCAACGGAGATGTATCCCAATACTGTATGAACTGTATCCATGGGTTTCTTCTTCCCCAACATTTCAGCCTACTAAATGGGGGACCATGCTCAAGCCTCCTCGTAGGATCTGCGTCGTCTGTCACCACACCCGTTTTTAGACCGCAGGAGCATCCGTCACGTTTGATTCGATTGTTTAGCTGACAACTCGTAAACATCGTAAGCCATGTATGTTTACGAGTTGTTGTTCTTAGCCACAGTGGGTCAAAATTAAAGCTTAAAATAGTATACTCTGGAGTACGTATGCAAAAGAAGCCAGTATGACACATGGCTAAGGTAACCTGTATTCAGCATAAAGGAAGAAGTGTCGACAGTAGTATTGTTTCCATGCACTTACTGTGCGTACAATTCAATAATAGACTTTCTATTGTACGTACATACAGTCGACTGTGTATTAAACATCAAATTCATGATACAATCGTATTTCTCTTCCGGCCGTGGAAAGTCATCATCGAAACCTCTCGTAGGATTCTGCCTCCGTTCTCCGTTGGTTCACCTTCTCAATGACCTTCTCATCGTATACCTCGTCCACGTTCTTTCCACCCAGAAGGACTTGTTTTTCATGAACGACGGCCTCCTCCTTGGTCATGCATACCAGATCACCCAACCCGAGTGGAATATACTTCTGACCTTCCTTCTCCCACTTGGGCTCCAGTAAAAAAACCATTAGCTGGCCGCTGCCAAGGCGCAAGCACAAGCCGGCTGGGGAGCCCACTGATGGCACTCTTCCCTCTCCAGATCTCGTCTACAATAAAGCCAATATCATCTTTTTTGATTGGGAGACGAAGTCCAATGATTTGCTGACCGGCTTCTGTCCGGACCAAACGCTCCATGAGTCCCTGCAGAGTCGCTTGGATGCCGTCGTATAGCTTGTCCCGATTCTGCCCACCACCTAGGCTGTAGTCCATCGGATAACCAGCAATGTCGCAGATAACATGGTTTGCAACGGTATACCCGAATACTGCAGGCATAGTGCCTAGGACTGGTAGAATCCGGGCCCGGAAATCAGGCAGCACGCTAAGCTCGCCGACCTCGCCTTTGGAGAATTCATCCTCCGCCAGTGGTAGGAGAGTTGCTTTGCCTGGGCCTGGCCTTTCCGTCGAATACACTACAGGAATGCCCGAGTTCACACCCATTACCTTCAGTCGTCGCCGGGTGCTGCGCGAGAGGCGATCATCTGTGCTCTCGGAGATATCCCCCACGGTGACGCGTGTAGGATCCGACTTGCATCCTGCTCCCATGGACGATATCACCGGGATCGAGTGGGAATGGCAGTAGTGCAGCAGCTCGACCTTGGAGGTGATATTATCGATACAGTCCAACACATAGCCCGGCTTCTGTCCTTTGTCGCTATCATTAAAGGACCATGGAGCCAGTATGTCATTTGCCACTGAACCTCCGAACAGCTCATTGCGGCAGTCGAACTTGGTCCATGGGGTGATCTGCTCCAGTCTCTTGCGAATACAGTGTACCTTAGGTGTACCCACATCAGCCAGAGTAGCGACAGCATGTCGGTTCAGCGAAGAGAGCGTGACCTGGTCGAAATCAATCAGACGGAGCTTGGCCACGCCTGACCGGGCAAGAGAAGCCGCTGCATGTGATCCGACACCTCCACACCCAACCACTATAATAAACGACGAGCGAAGTTTCGCAAGGCCATCGTCGGTAAGGAAAACGCGATTCCGAGCAAGCTGTTCGAGGATAAGGTCTAAACGGATGGAATGTCAGCAGGACATCCGGACGACTGCAAAGATATAGGCCTATTTACCATCATCGTAATCGCCTTGTTGCGCCCGACGCGCCAGAGCTGCACTGCGCTCGTCTTCCTTGCTCAATTGCGGTACACGTGCTGCGGTTCCATATTCTGTAAGCTTTTTCTCTCTCCATTAGCTGTGCCCGGGTTATCTACGTTGCGCATCTAAGAAGTGCACGCGTACCTTCTCGGCATGGTGTCGTTCGCTCACGTCGGGGATCGAGGCTTTAAGTTCCGCCACCGCTTCTTTTCGCCTATATGCTTGGTAGCCGAGTATAGCACCTGCGACGGCAGCTCCCGAGAGCACAGCGGTGGCTGCAAGCTGTGACTGATGGGAGACAGCATGGCGCTGAATCCAGGACGACATTTCTATGCAAGGGCTTTTTGCTTATTTTCCTCCGTATCTTTTGTATTTGGTTGTCGAAATGCGACAGGCGACTTGGATCGGTCCGTTTAAAAGATCTAGAACACTGTCAGAATCAAACCATGCCCGATCTTCACTGACGTGGGTAAAGTGTACATGCGCAAATTGAAACCCCTGTATTTAAAACAAATAAGAGAAAGAATAGAAAGGAAAAGCACTTACCATCTTCGCTACTAGATGCACCATGCGCCAATGGATCCGACTTAGCCACAAGGCGACATTCTCAAAGCTAACGCACCATCGACACTCGCCCGCCAGTCACGTGAGTACCGTCGCAAGTCCCGCGTTCCACAAGAAAAAGAAGGTCCACAGCATTTGTTCAAGATGGCAACAACCATGTAAGTTGTCACAATTTTCATACACCTCGAACCAGGAACTAACAGACAGTCACGCAGAACCGGGAAACCCTCTTTTTGCTATATCTCGATGACGATAACCACACAAGAGCTTCTCATGACACCTTGTTGCAGTACACAAAATTGCAGACAATGGACTCCATCCTTCGCGAGCATGTAGCAACCGAATGGAAGGAGACATGTCCTAAGTGTGGGTGATTGAGATTGAACAGAGATCTAAGAGATTGGCAAAAAGAAATTCTAGTTTGGTTGTCACTCTCTGTGGTGTGGATTGGGCACATTGCGCCGCGTATACCCATCTTGTTTTAATCTTTGATTTGGTTTTTCTTCTCTTATGTCCGGGAAAGAACCAGAATCTTAGTTTCAATAGTCTCAGATTGATATCGAACAGTATTGATCTTGCGTGCTTGTGCAACCCCGTTTACCTTTGCATTTTCCTCTCTCCCTTGTCGATTTCTACTTACCTTTTTTTAACGCATCCTTAGATGCAGCAATCCACACCCACCAAGCCAAAGCCAAATGATGACAGACTTCTTATCGCTCCGAGGCTGTACTTTCTTGCTCCGTCTGTTTCCCTGAGGTAACGATGTTGAGCATGCCAATGAAGAGTGGAATAAAAAATGGTAGTTTTCAATCTGACGTGGCAGGCAGATTTTTGCCCTATTGCAATCCAAGCCTTATAAGCCCTGTAGAATAACTATAGTCAACCCCCTTATTACATTTTTTAAACAGACAGCATAATACTGCTAATACAGGAGCTACCGAAATAGTCAATACGGATTGTTCAATAATAGTATGAATCTCTTTTAATTTATAATAACTATATAAGTATTTATACAAACATCTGTGTCATGTACCCAAGCAGGTAAATTAGGAAGGATCGGAAGGATCAAAAAGACCAAGGACATGACAGATGAAATAGAAAATGTTAAGTTCGCCTAGAGAATAACACAAGGCGGAGTAGATTCCGGTTGCTTGATTTCAGCGGTTTGATAACAATGGTACCGGCACCGAATGTTATCCTTTTCTTTCGAAAATCTACCATATGGATAGACAGGTTTTTGGTCATCTGAATTATAGAATAATAAGACGGAAGGTGCGGTGGCACGTCATGCTCGGCATGCATGGGGTGTGGCTCATTTAACTCGTCTTGATACGTGGAAAAGGGAATCTTGGTAAAGGTTGGGTCTCCAGTTGTCCAGTCTTGCGAGATATCAGAGGATAAAATCAAGACGACGGGTTGTAGCGTATTTTGAATAACTGGAAGCTGTAGTAACATCCAATACCGCATCGTTGCTCAGAATTATCGAGAGCAGGGCACAATCTGGTGAGGTCTATCCCCGCAGCCGATGGAATCCCACTGTCGAGCAGATATGTATGCGCCTGTGGTAGGCACCATACAGCATTCACTTCTGTGATTACAGCGAAGGATCGGATTTCCATGTTCCTAGGAGAAATGTGTTAGATACTCTCTGGATTGAAGCAAGGACCAAACGGATAGACTCACCTCCGAAGTCGTGTTTAACAAACGCCATCGGATCATCCTCATCCTGAGCACCCATCTGTTGCACACCGGGACTGAAGCTGGTGATGGGCAAAACGACCACATCTCCAACCTTTTTATACCCTACTTGGTTGGTGAAGTCCTCGTAGGTGACATTACGGGTAGACCCTGGCTCGATGTTGAAATACTCCGGGTTATTGAAGTATCTGAATATGGCGTCTGTCCAGGCACCGGGTCCCGTAAACTCCACGATCGTCTTATCCATCTTGTGCAACTTGAGGATCCCTGCCTTCTTCATTCGTAGAGCCTCACCCGTAATGTACGCCACAATGTCACGGAGGACCGGATGTCCTGGCTTGGCTTGGATGGTCCATTGGCAAAGCTGAACTCTCCGCGAATACCAGTCATGCCAGTCAGGACGATCAGGGTCGGCCTCGATGCCAACAACAAGCCCGACGGTCGAGGTATCAAACTCTGCGGGCAACCATTCCGGGGCCGGCTTCAAGGCCGTTGTATCGATGTCGCTGTAAATTCCGCCGCGGGCGAGGAGGATCAGGTATCTGAAGAAGTCGGCCTGCAGGACAGGCAAAGGCAGCGAATCATAGGCCTCGAATACATCGGGAAGTGACCCATACAAGTATTTGATCAGATACCGCTGGGTGTCATCTGGTATAACCTCGTGCACAAAATCAGGGTGGAGCTCGGTCCAGCTTGCTTCTGGAGCACGTAGCTCAGGGGTGAACCATATCGACCCGGGCGCATACTTCCATGTTTGCCAGATATACGCGGGGAACTTGCTATCCAGGTCGTAGGGGAAGTGGTATCGCAGCCGGTCGAGTAAGGGAGCGTTGGGAGGCGGCTGGAGTGGCTGTTGAACATTCTCCTTTTTCTGTCCGAGGGGCTGCTCTTCCGTTACGAGGCTACTCTCATGACTGTTGTCTTCGGGCACTGATATAGGAAGCGACGAGGAGGGTGAAGCAGAGGAATGCGATGAGCGAAGGAGGGCGACGAAGGCAATCAAGAGGATGGCGGCGAACAACGCTTTTCGGAAGGTGAGCATTGTTGTAATGGGCGAGAGAAAATATACTAGAAGAGGGTCTGATCGACACGCCGTTGCAAAAGAGCCAGGCGGGTTCAAGATATGCCGCAAGCTTCTCCGCAAAGCTCTGCCGAAGTAATTCTGGCGATGTCCCAGTGGTGAAGTAACAAGCCAGTAGAGAAATTCCGGTCCACCGCAGGAGCAGCTACGGACCAAACATGTCTTTGTCTTGGTTGAAATTGTATGGACGGTAAACAAGCAGCGGAGTGAAAGGGGGTATTCGGTAGGTCCGAACGAGAGGTCTAGGATGACTCCGGAGGATTGCGCTGGAGTAACACCGTGTGCTGCGATCAGGTCACAAACGCCAAGTAGGAATTAAAAAAAGGAGCAATTGGCCGCGACTGATGCGCCCGCAATAACTTTGCCTTGCAATGCCCGCTGTGTCCGGGTGAGCGAAGAGCAACGCAGCCGACCGAGAATGTCTTCCAAAAAATAGAGGAACAAAAAGAGGCGGGGGTCTATACGGATAAAATGGCTCAATGTGTACAGTTTCAGACGGTAGTAGAGCCAAGTTCCGGTGGCGTAAAAGTCCACGCGGATCGGTCGATAAGGATGACGACTACTCCGGAAGAAGCAATATAACTTAGATGTATGTACAAGCATGCGCGGGAATGGTGCTTGTGAAGGTCATATATGAAGTCCAATACGAAGTGCAAGTTCCGAGGTCAATCCTCGCCTTATAGGCAGGCAATTGAGGGAGAATTTCCCGGTGGCGACCGTGGCGTTATTCACATTTGCAACGCTGTCAACCCAGAATCCTCCGCAATGGGACAAGATCGCCCCCATCGTCGTCCCTGGCAAGATGTCTTCATGGCAATTCCCTGGGCCTTATCGCGGGGACAATGGACCTTGCCAGGAGAATGCTCTAGAGTGTGTCGACTGTTGATTACGACAAAGCCCGATTAATGTACACCATGTAGTATTCCCTCCCCACTGGTGACCAGGTTGGCCGTTTTCGGATACGATGCAAAGACGGCGTAGTCTGGACTCTCAATTTAGTTCTATCTACACTCAGTGATCTATCTTACGCTGGTTCTGTCTGTCCACTCTCCTATTCAAGTAACACCCATCCATGAATAGACTGGATGGGAGATGTGAAAACAGTCTTATGGAGTACTCTGTAGTCTGTACAGGATATCAGAGTACACCCCTGTAGCCCAATTCGTCAACCCTTCAGAAACACCCGCGTCATACCCGATCTGCAGGGCTTGGCTGCAGTACGGAGCATACATCCATGTAGATACAGAAGATCATCCGTTTCGCATAAATTACTACAGTAAAGAGTATGAAAAGCTCAAATACCCCACGTCAATCGCTCCAACCGAGAACCGCATCTTTGCATGATCTTCCTTACAGTCCTTCATCACTCCGGTCTCCGCCGGAGTACTCGAAAAAGAGCATCTCAGCCCCGCCGTAGTAGGCGGACAACCTCTTGACTCAAAAGCTTGCAACAGTACTCCGTAGACGGCGGACATTCACATGAAAGAAAGAGAACAAGACCAGGGGGGCTGGTCCATTTGCTCGTGCATCGTAAGGAATTCCCCCCATCCATGGCTCCTAATTAGACACGTGGAGCTTGTCGGTTGTTGGTTGGTCCACCAACCCCCGGCTGACCTCCACATTTAACCCAAAGCAGCGCCGGACACTGCAAAGACGGGGATGGATGCCTTGACTCTGCAGGACTGGTCATCGCCCTGTGGCGCGTCTTATCCTTGGATAGACCTCCTGGACTGTCCGGTTTGGATGCTACGTAGTGGAAGGTTCCTTGCTAGCGAACGAGGATAAAACCTACGTATCTGGAATACAAACGCCGAAATAACATCCCGGTTCAGCCTTTCTTCCCGGTTCAGCTTCTCTAATGGATGTTTTAAAGGTAAACTGTAAGAGCTGCCAATTTGAAAATTTACCGCTATAAGTATTAAATATAAGTACACTGTCGCAACTTACCCTGTCCATTAAAGGACCATTCACCCACACAACCGAAGACAGAGGTGGGTGTTTATCAACATTGTTATATGTACACCCGAGCTCCTTTCCATGATTGACACTAAAATGTCACGTCAAGTATTTTGTATACCGTGGCATAATTGAGAAATCCAGCCGACCATGGTACAACTATAGCACGTTTAGAAGCAAAATACAAGATAAAAACAGAACGAGGAAAAGTTCATGAATTCATATAGATACCCACTACCAGGATATAACAGAACAGACCATGCGCTGTTGAATGGACGCAACACCAATCAGACTGCCTCCAGCCCTCTAGACGTAGCATAGTACAGGTATATCGGTTTTTGGAAGAATAGGCTGGATGGGCAATGGAAGAATGGGCGAACATTCACTGGCATTGATGGAAGAGAAGAGCATTGCAAATCCAAACTAATTCGTAGCTTCATTATTATAATGCTTGATGGCCGATGATTACCCGTAAAAGGCACCAGTAAGGTAGGACTCCGTAACGCCCAGACGGCACACTGCCAGTCGAAAGAATAGGCAAGACAGCTGAAGGAAATGGCGTAAGTCTGAAGTGATATAGACTCCCAAGCATATTATCTTTATATATATCAGTCAGACGAGCGAGAACGCTAGACAAAGTATCACGTGCGACGGAGGAGGTGGTCTTTGGGTCCTATAAATAGGAATGTCGGATTAAGCCGTCCTTCTTAGTCGGTTATATATAAGGTAATCCTCGAGTGTTCAGGCAATTCCCAAATGCCAAAAGTGGCGACGAAAAGAAAGGTCTCGTGTTGGACTAAGAGACCTTCTCGTGTAGAAGGCCAACCTTGTAGGTTCCTCAGTAGCGACGAGGCAGGGAGCTGGGACTTGACGGGAAGAATAAGACTATCCAAAAGCACGCTGATATTAAAAATCGCTAAACAACGCCTCATATTTTTTCCTTAGGTCACCAGTGTAGATGCCCATGGTCTTTAAATCTGGATCGGGGTACTCCTCGAAGTTCCCTGTATCTGCCGGATGGTCAACTCTAGGAATGATTGGTCCCTTGACCCGGCGGTGATATAAATCTTCCCAGTTAATGCCTTCAAAAAATGGATGGGCCCTGACTCGAGCAGGCCCGCCTGATATGTACCCGAGTCGCTCTGTTGGATTCGTCTTGCAAAGTAGTGATATGATATTTTGGGCCCCCGGCGACATGCCTTGAGGAAAGCGTAGTCGGCCTTCAACAATTTGTTCATAAATGCGCATTGGGTTTTGGTCCCAAAAAGGAGGTTGTCCAACTAAGAACTCATATATCAGGATCCCCAGTGCCCACCAGTCAACTGCAAGCCCGTGCCCACTGTTATGAATGACCTCAGGAGCGAGATACTCAGGGGTACCGCACAGTGTGTACGTTTCCCGGTCACCGACTTGCTTAGCAAACCCAAAGTCCACTATTTTTATATGTCCCTCGGCGTCCAGGAGAATATTTTCGGGCTTCAGATCACGGTAAACAATCCCCTCTTTGCTATGAAGGTACTCGATCGCTAGTGTTATTTCAGCCGCATAAAACTTGGAGGTATTTTCATTGAATCGTCGGGCGCGCCGTAGGTAACTAAAGATTTCGCCTCCAGGGCAATAATCCAACTAGAAACATGTTAGCAACCCATTGAGTTTTAACCCTATGCAGAATGCCACCTGGCGGGGCGGAGTTGGCCTTCACAGGGCGGGGAACGGCTGCAGCACCGCAAGATGGACAAAAGAGAACATACCAGCATATATAAACTCTGATCATCCGAGAAGGTCGCTATTAGCGTCGTTATAAACGGGTGACCGGAAACCGCCGCCAGGGTTTTCCGCTCATTGCGCACATGCTCGACCTGTTTCAATTTAATCACTGCATGGAATGTTAGCCTTGCGAGGTGCAATGCGAAATGTACCCAAGAGATTCTTACCATCCGCCTTGCGTAAGATCTTGAGTGCGTAAACTTTGTCCCTTCGCTGCACTTCGTCCTTTGATCTCACCAGCCATACCCGAGCGAATGTACCTAGCATCCTCGGCAAATGGGCCGCTTGTAAGTCACTAGCCTAACATGCAAGTCATATAAATTTACCTGTGCCGAGTGTTTTCAGGAGTGCGAAATCATCCACTGTCAGATTGCGGATGGAAATCCCAAGGTGCTTCTCCTCCGGCTGTTCGGTGATGACAAAAGGATTCAGCTGTCGTTGAATAGGCGATCGGGAAGACACCACTACCTGTTTTCCCCTCTCATGGAGATCGTCGGATAGCGCGTTAGTCCTTGTGGAAGAGGTGGAGGAGCCCTGTGCCTCATTAGGAGCGGAAGGGTCGACCGTTCCTGTAGCCATCAGGATGGCTAGAGACCATGTCTCGGAGAACGGCGGGGAAGAAAATCAGGTGGGGAGAAGGACAGAAAACAGCGAAGCAGCAATTGGGCGAATCACAGACTGCTTATAAATGGGAAATCTAAGTAGTTGAATCGTAAACCGTCATGGAAGTCACTCAACAGATTGATATCAGACTGGGAGGGGCAGCGCGGGGGGAACAAACGGAAGAAAGGGCATGGCGAGGTTGGTGTTCGTTCTCTCAGCCGTCCCTTACCGTACTGGGCGAGCTCTGACGTTCCCGACTGGCGGGGCAAAACACTTCAACTGGCACCCCGATTCCCATGGTTGACATCTTGCCGATGATGTTATGCTACTATTTTGATCTGTAATTGGTGATAGTGTCGTCCCAATCATAGTATGGAGCTATTCGTGGGGAAATCAGGTGCTATTAACTGCACGTTCGTCCAATGAAATGCGAGGAGGCGGTTCCTAGTATAGGAACCCCTCCAATTAATAGAACTGGGCAAGAAACACATTTTAGACAGGATGTCATATCATTTTTCGAGGCAGGATTAGGAAGTATCTAATGCAGAAGGAATGTATGGTGGATACTAGTGGTGTCCTCCCGTCCAAAAGGAGCCAAGATACAGTATTTATAGAGGCGCCTCAGGGATAAGGCCATATATACAGGTAGGGACCGTTCGATGCAGCACAATATTTGGCACCAATAACTTGCTACCTAGATAATACTTAGTACTATATTATGATGGCCTTACTGAGGACTACTTGGCAGTCAACATGAAAAGCTGATCATTGATACCATCCTTGTCAGATATCGTCGGATTGTTTCCATGCTTCCATGCTAGCCGCACCTAATTAATGCCAACAGTATTGACCGTAGTAACCCAACACCTCTTGTATCCATTTGACTGAGGCTCTGGACTTGGACATTATTTTCTCCTTGTACATAGCAATGTTGACGAGTGTGGGGTTCAGAACTAAGCAATACCCGGAAGTTGCCACCCTAGAAAAGGATAGTATGCTATAGTTCGATGGAAGTACTCCATTGACGGCACTCTTGATTCACCATTACCACTCGTCAGTACTGATTATGATTAGCCATGGCTATAGGGTAACAGATTATTAAGAGGCATCACAATGTAACCAAAGAAAGGAATATGCCACCTTTGTAGGAGAATGTCTTGCATGAAAGGAAGAAGTCCAAGGGGAAAAAGAGGAAATACCTACCAATGCGGACAGACATAGGGTCTTTCCAAATACATCTGGAGTTAGATCAATGGCTGGATAGACCCATGACTGTCGAAACTCCATACATACAATCTCGAGTATGCACAGCCAACATGTTGATTCCGGCTCCATTACGGGATGAACAAACCAAGTGGCTCGCGCGGGCCACCGTAACCCCCAACTTGGTTAGGGGTGACATGTGCCCCAACCCAACAACCCCCGTGCTTTTCCATCACGGACCGTTCATTGATTTCATTAATATTATTATTACTGTTATGAGATTCTTATGATGATTCTTATCCTTATTCCCTTTCCCATTGCCTGTATGTTGTCTTCTTTATACGCCATACTACTGTAATCAGTTCTCTTCCTCTTCCTAACTTAACACCTACCTTCCTCAAACAAACCCTTCACCTCCCCACCTCCATTCACCTCCTCCCTCCGCTCTTTCAATTCCTACTAGGTTTTTCTTTTTTCCTGTCCTTTTCTTCATATATTCCTCCCCCCTCTCCTTTGTCCCCTCCATTCTCACACCGTGTCCGTGATTGGAAACCGATCGAATCAGCTCCGAGGGAGGATGCTGAGGGCATGAGCTTGCTGGGGACCCTGGCTTACGGTTGCGCTCAAGGCTAGCGCTCTTCGATTGTTAACACACTACGCGGTCTCGACTAGAGAAAGGCGTAGAAAACGCCTCAACACCGTTCCCTCCACTGAGGCATGATATACCCAGGGAAGCTCTGTGATTAGAGAAAATATTCGTTTTTTTCCTTCTTTTTTTTTTTTTTTTTTTTATTCTCTGACCTTATTGGATTTTATTATTTTCCATCTTTACTTGCCTATATTACCGTCTGTGGAGTATCTCTTTTCTTTTTTCTTTTCGCTCCTCCCTTTGTCCCTCTCCTTTCTCCACGATTTCCCACGATCTTCTCGCGACGCCCTGCACGCTCCCACGACCGGATTCGATACCCTTTCTTCTGCTCCAGTGTCACCAACATTTATAGACTTCACATCAGGATCTTCGTCGTCGTATCCTTTATTCCACCTGGATTCTAGTGCGCCAACCAAGGACCGAAAAGAGAAGAGGGAACCTCATACATACCATGGCTGATCTGGGGGGCCATCAGGGCCGGAACTACCGGCCCTATGGACATGCATCATCCTTTCAGCGGGATGCAGCCTTTTCTGAGATCTTCGGCGGGGCGCCGCCGCCGGGTCGTTCCCAGACGTTGACTTCGCAAACTCCCATGTTCTCCCAGGACCGGGCACACACCATGACCTCACATGTGCCCCATCCTCCAATGCAGAGGGGTCCGCCACCACCAGCACGCCAGATACAGAATGGACATGTGGCGGGTTCCCCAAATGGATACTATCAAGCGTACCCTGGGGCTGCAGCCGTGCCTTCGCAACCTGCTCCCCAAAATCCACCACGCCCATACCCTGGACGTTTCGCTTATCCGCAACCCCAACGATTAGATTCACGACCCGCCCCAGGACCACAGTATCCAGATACGAAGGGATACGGTCGTCCCATGCCCCCTCCTGCCCTGAATTCCGACGCTTATAGATCTAGATCAATGGCACGGATGGGGGGACCGCCGATGTATCCCCCACAGCCGAACAGCTTCAACCACACTTCTGCGACTGCTTTTCGCCAGCAACCGTATAATGCGGGCACTCCCATGACGGCACAAGGTCGAGTGGTCCCAGAAAGGCATGGTAATGAGCGTGCTATGTCCTTAACCTCCTACTCAGCGGATCGTGAACCGACACACACTACAAGCACGGGACGGGTGATTCCTAGCCGACGACAGCCGTCAAGTCCCAACCAACCTCCGGCTGGGGGATACGAAGCTGAACAAACACAACACCCGAATATCAACGGCAAACCGCGGCCGCCAAGTGACGGCTCCACGAATTCGCGCTCGCTATCCATGGCCTCAACCGTTGTACCCGATCGAACAATGAGCATGCAAAGCCAGCTCACTCAGAAAACCAGCAATCAAACTACCGTTGGCCCAAGCAATTCACGCCGCAGCAAGGTGCCTCTGGTATACCCTGCTCTGCTGTCACGAGTGGCCGACAACTTCCGGGAGAGGATCGCTTTAGCTGAGAGGCAGAAAAACGGGCTGTCATACCAAAATTCCTTCTCTGGCGCGGATGCAGTGGATCTCATTGGTTATATTATCAAGACTAATGATCGCAACCTGGCCCTTCTGCTTGGTCGCGCTCTAGACGCGCAAAAGTTTTTCCATGATGTGACGTACGACCATCGCCTCCGAGATGCTCCTGGTGAGCTGTACCAATTTAAGGAAACAATGGGAGAGGAAGCCCCAAGTTCTGAGGTCAACGGAGTCTTCACGCTTCTTACCGAGTGTTACTCGCCCACCTGTACCCGCGATAGCTTGTGTTACTCGATTGCTTGCCCTAGAAGACTGGAACAACAGGCGCGTCTGAATCTGAAACCACAGCCGGGCTTGCGGTCTTCTGCCTCGAAAGGAAGTTTGCATGGCGATGATGATGATAATGACAATCAGAAATTGTGGATTAACATGGTCCCCAAGGAGGTATCGGATAGCGTTGACGACCGGGAGAAGAAGCGTCAGGAAATTATTTTCGAAATCATGTATACAGAACGCGATTTCGTTAAGGACCTGGAGTATCTCCGAGACTTTTGGATGAGACCGCTGCGCTCTGGGAGTGGTCAAAGCCAGTCACCAATCCCGGAACATCGGCGTGAAAAATTCATTCGCACTGTGTTTGGCAATTGCTTGGAGGTTTTGAAAGTCAATAGCGCACTATGTGAAGCCCTCAACGCAAGGCAGAAAGAAAGCAATGTTGTTAAAACCGTCGGTGATATATTCCTTCAACACGTGCCACGTTTCGACCCATTCATCAAGTACGGTGCTAATCAACTCTACGGAAAGTATGAGTTTGAAAAAGAGAAAGCCTCTAATCCGGGTTTCGCGCGATTTGTTGAAGAAACTGAGCGTTTGAAAGAGTCCCGGAAGCTGGAGTTGAACGGATATCTCACGAAGCCCACGACTCGTTTAGCGCGATACCCACTGCTTCTCGAGCAAGTCAATAAGAGCACAGCGGACGACAATCCAGACAAACAAGATATTCCTAACGCTATTAAACTCATCAAGGATTTCTTATCCCGCGTCAATACTGAAAGTGGAAGAGCCGAAAATCATTTCAATTTAGTACAACTGAACGCGGCGTTGAAGTTTAATCCAGGCGACTTTGTCGATTTGAAACTCACAGAGGAGAACCGACAGATGTTGACAAAGATGGCGTTTAAGAAGACACCGACTGACACCTCTGAAGTGACTGCATATCTCTTTGATCATGCTGTTTTGCTAGTGAGGATTAAGGTCGTTAACAAACGCGAAGAATACCGAGTTTATAGGAAGCCAATCCCCCTGGAACTATTGGTCATTGCGCAGATGGATGAAATTATTCCCAGGGTCGGGGTTGCCAAACGACCATCGTCGAGTCTTTTATCGAATAAGCCGGCACCGAATCCTCCCACAAAGGATGGGCTTCCAATCACCTTCCGACACCTTGGAAAAGGTGGTTATGAGCAAACCCTATACGCCTCGTCACCCACTCAGAGAAGAAAATTCATTGAAATGGTGGAAGAGCAGCAAAGGAAACTTAGGGAGCGTAACAGCAACTTTTATAACAAGACCGTCCTCTGCGAAAATTTCTTTACGTCCATAAACCGGGTGAACTGCCTTGTCCCCGTTGGTATGTTGTCACCTAACAGTTTTTTTTACGCAAATGGCACCTGCTTACATTCTCTCCAGATGGTGGACGAAAACTGGTTTACGGAACCGATAGTGGAATTTACCTTTCAGAACGGTGGCCGAAGGATAAATCGGCGAAACCTAGGCGGGTTCTCGATGCCAGTCAAGTAACGCAGATAGACACACTGGAGGAGTATCAGCTACTGTTGGTTTTAGCGAACAAAACTCTATCTTCTTATCCCATGGAGGCTCTAGAGATCACAGAAGGTCAGAACACGATGGCAAAGCGGCCGAAGAAGATTCAGGGGCATGCGAACTTTTTCAAGGCTGGTATCGGCTTGGGGCGGCATTTGGTTTGCTCTGTCAAAACTTCTGCTCTTTCCACCACCATCAAGGTGTACGAACCAATGGATAACTTAGCCAAGGGAAAGAAGAAATCCGCTGTTAGTAAGATGTTCCAGAGTGGCCAGGATACACTGAAGCCTTTCAAGGTTTGTACTATTTTCCAAATGGCGCAATGGATTTAATTCTGACCATCCCTCTAGGAATTTTATATTCCCGCAGAATCATCTTCGATTCACTTCCTTCGCTCGACACTTTGCGTTGGCTGTGCCCGTGGATTTGAAGTTGTTAGTCTTGAGACCACCGAAACCCAGTCCCTCCTGGATCAAGCCGACACATCTCTTGATTTTGTGGCACGAAAGGAGAATGTGAAGCCCATTCATATCGAGCGGATGAATGGAGAGTTTCTTCTTAACTATAGTGACTTTTCATTCTTCGTCAACCGTAATGGTTGGCGTGCTCGCCCAGATTGGAAGATTTCGTGGGAGGGTAATCCCAATGCGTTTGCTCTGTCCTATCCTTACATCCTTGCATTCGAGCCGAACTTTATAGAAATCCGGCATATCGAAACCAGCGAACTGATCCATATTATGACGGGGAAGAACATTCGCATGTTGCATTCCTCCACTAGAGAGGTAAGTCCGAATGATATTATCTTATCTTAGGCCTAGAGCAGACCTCTAATTTGTCCCCAGATACTCTACGCTTACGAAGATGAGACCGGCGAGGATATCGTAGCCAGTTTGGATTTCTGGAACAAGCCGCAGCATTAGGCTAGTAGTAGTGGGTGATAGAAAGAGCAATTTTCTTTTCTCTTTATTTTTTTTTTTTTTTTTTTTTTTTGTTCGTGTTTTAGACCGGAATGGCAACCTCGATTTTCCCCATCTTCGACACAGCTGCTCTTCGTTATGAGCCTATTCACATGCCATTCCTTTCACGTTTAATACCTACTGAATATGGGTGCTTTGATCTTTATTGGGTCAGCTGTCTATCATCGTTTGCTCATTTCCCGCTGTGTACAACGAAGCGCAAATACCACATGTTTATTGTTTTTGTCATGGTTTACTTTCTTTTTTTGTGCTTACCTTTCTTTCTATTTGCTCTCTGTTCTCACCTGTCGTATAATTGTCTTTCAGGTTGTTATTACTGCAACCATATGTACGTTTTGAACTGCTCTGCATTTATAATAGCTATGGACAAAGATGGTGTTGAACCCATGTTATTGATGTGACCCTTTCCCTTGCTCCTGAGTATTTGTAAGATCGAAATCTGGATGTTAATCTATATATTAAAGCTCCTTTATGGACGCCGAAGGGAAATGAAGAAAAAGACATGACAGGATGACTTTTGTCACGGATTCAATGTTTCATTATTTCCCCAATCAATAATAACCCTGTCATTAATAAACTAGAGTATTAACCCTCAGAAAATCTATAAAAGGATCTTACTCTTCTTTATGTACTACTATTCATCTAGGAGATACTGAATACTAGAATAGCAGATTAGACATAAACCGCGAGAGCACACAGATGAAAAGTGACAAAAGAGGGAATCTTGCTGCGCTGCTGAGATTGGGATAGGCGTCATTGATAAAAAACAAAAAAACAATAGAAAGGGAGAGAGCCAGAATTGAAGTTGAAAACAAATAAAAAAAAGTATAAGTGGTATTCAAGGAAAGAATATGTAAGTGTTCCCAGTGACAACTGCCAACGACAAAACGATGCTTCGACTCCCCGAGTATCAAAAGGGAAAGGTAATCTTCAGCCAAATTAAATGGAAGACAGGGAAGAAGCCAAGAAAAGAGAGACAGGAAGCAGTAGCCAGACCCCATTCCTCTGGTCTGTCTCCCTATCCGATGAAGGAGAGGAATGGTGTCAGTCATTGAAAGGGAACATTGTATTGTGCCTTCCCTCCCTTACATATGAAAAGCTATTAACGTGAATAAACTGTCAATATAACCCCATAAACAATTACAACAGCCATGCCGCTAATTCCATTACGTTGGCACAAACGGGTGCCGTCGCGCAACAAGACAGGTCCTTGGTAAGATCTAATTAAGCATCTCCATTGGCCCCGTCCGTCTGGCTCGATTCGCGCGCCATGCGCGCCTCGATCTCCCTCAGCTGGCTTTCACGAGCCAACAGTTCTTGACGCTTCTCCGCGATCTCACGCTGCACTTTGAGCTCAATGTCGCGAAGCTTCTCCTCCTCACGGCGGAGCTGTTCCTCCTTCAGTCTGACAGATTGGTTTGCTAGGTCTTCGGGGTTCATGGACGAATCATGGGTACCACTATAGTATGTCAGCATTGGCGCACCCAACCAACCAATCGTTCGTGTATACGTACGAAGTAGCACCATCAACACTCTTGCTAAGCTTCTCAGTACGGTAGTTTTCATAGAGGAAATCGTGGGTGATTTCCTTCAAATCAGCAAGGTGGCTGTGGAGAAGAGCGCTTCGGATGGCCAAGAAATCAGAGTGCCGAGGGTTCTCAACATCCACCACACCCCATGGATATTGTCTGGCCCGTACTTTCCGACCATCAATCTCCACGAAGTCTTCAGAGCCAACAATGGCAAAGGGCATAAGCCCACGTAGCTCAGCATTTTCCTCCACGGTGTCTTCATCATCCTCTTCAATATCGTAAGGGAAGTTGTAAACAGGGATACGATAGTGTTCAATGTCCTCCATGATCAACTTCTTCGATTCCGCCAATTCGGCGGGGGTAAGAGAATCGGCCTTTCCGATAACCGGGATCACATTGACACGGGGAGAAAGGCGCTTCATCAATTCGATATCCAATTCACGCAAGCCATGGCCAGTCGGTGTGATGAAGTACAGGAGAACGTGGACACGGTTGTCCCTAAAACGAGGGTTTCGCTTGATTCGTGACTCTTCGGCAAGAATATCGTCGTACTGGCGTTCAAGGTACCCAACAATCTCACCAAAGCTAGGGGACTGTTAGCCTCAAAAGACCTGTCAACTGCTGGTGGGGCTACATGCCTGGCTTCATTGTCTATCTGGTCACCGAAGCCTGGGGTATCAACGATAGTGAGAGAAATTCGAGTGCCTTCGTCATCCAACTCTAGCTCTAAAACCCCACGTTGGTTAGTGCCAATTATTTCCTGTAACCGTCGACGGACACCAACTTACCAACTGTGACCGGTTTAATGCGAACGCCTTCCTCAACGTGGGCATTGGCAGCATCATCGGCATCCTTGCCCTCGAGAACTTTCTTTCCACACAAAGTGTTGACGAAGGTAGTACGCCCTACGGGAAAGATGAACATGGTCAGTCAATGCCTGCAGTGATCAGGGAAATACTGAAGGTTCAGTACGTACCGGTCCCGCTGGCACCGCAGACCATCAGGCAGAATTGGATACCCTTCTTGACATTTTTCTTGCGACGAATCTTGATCTGAAGTGTAAGACAGAATTAACCACGGCAAAGAACTGAGCGGAGACGGGCGGGACAGAATTGCTTCTAATATAGGCTACTTGGGGGCGATTGGGGATGGTGGACAGTGGAAGGACATGTCGTCCTTCCAGACAGTGGAGGTAGAAAGGGGAAACAAATGACATACCGCGTTAAGGGCCGAGGACATGGTGGGCGAAATAAGGAGAGGGTATGATGGGAAAGAAGACAAGGGCAATAAGAGAAAAATAAAAGAAAGAGGAAGTGGGGGAGAAAAAGCGAGCGGCAGGGACAAAAAGACCTGAAGGTAGAAGTCGAAAGAAGGGAATGGGGAGGAGTGAAGGAGGATGAGGATGGATAGAGGTGGATGCTCTCCTGAGGTGCTTGTAGAGCAATGGAGGGAGAATGAGTGAGGTGAGTTACTGACCTGGCAGTTAGGGGGCAACTGGTCCGTATCAGGCCGTATCATTAATACCCGCCATGTTTCCCCTTTTCCCTTTGCAGCCTGACATTGACCAATCATACTTCCCCGCTCCTTCTCCGGATTGGAAAGAGATGTAATCTCCGTACCGCACCTGACCTCAAGTTAGTGTTGGTGTAATGACAATACCGGCGAGCTCATTACGAAATCTTGAAATTTCAACTTTTTTATCGATTTCAATTACATTTCAAGGGGCTTATTTTGATTAGTCATTATATGCGGTGAGAGTATTGCAGCCAATAAGAGCCTATCCAGCCCAGATTCTGCCCAATTCTTTATCTTATCTAAAATGCCTAGTGTCACTGGTAGCAACCATTACCAATATATATATATTGACGGGGAGGATTTTAAACTAGTAATATTATCAACATCAGCATGGCTGAAGATTCTCCTGACAAGATCCATTACACCGAGATCGAGCTTCAGAAGTGCTTTGAAGTAGTAAGGGGCAGCACAAAGGTGACTGTACACCCACGTCCACACGTACGCTTTATTAATTTTGGCTAGGTCCCGCAAGTAAAATGCCTTGGGTGCTTCAAAGTTCGAGCGAAAAACACTACACGCCAGTGCGAGCACGTGAAGAAATGTAGCAGCGCGCAGGCTCTTATGGACCCCGAGAATACTCCTGGAAAGAGACAGAAACCATTAAGCTTCCCTACCTCTAAACCAAGTAGAAGTATTGATCGCTTACTAGCTCAGGGTGTGTTTTACAGGAGGCAGGCCCTTTAGCCTTTTCGAGCAACAAGAGATGCAAGATCTTATTCATGCTCTAAATCCCGTATACCAAATCCCATCCCGCCATCGAATCGCTGATGACTTACTGGAGGAATCATATATCGAGATACAAGGGAAAGTTCGGAAGGAGCTACAGAGAAGTCAGTTTCTAAATATCTCTGTAGATGAGACAACAAATATACGTTCTCAACGGGTTATTGCTATGACTATTACAACACCCACAAAATCATGGTTTCTTCATCTACATGACATGGAAGATAAGACGCTTGATGCTGCTACAATTAGTGAATGGATTTTGGAAAGGCTCCATAATATTCTCTTGGAGCTTGATAAAGTTGTTGACTGGAAGAGGATTAATTCCATTTCAACGGATACCTGCTGTGTTATGAAGGCAGTATGGCAAATTTTGTCAGAGAAACCAGAGCTTAAGCATGCCTTTATGATTCCCTGTGACTCTCATGGTCTACAGCTGATTATGAAGGATATTCTTGATCCTAATGCTTCTAAGATCCCTAAAGTAAAAGGGGTTTTTAAATCAGCTCTTGAAGTTGTGGTGTTCTTTCACCAATCTCCTCTTGAATATGCAAGGCTGCAAGCAAAGCAGATTGAGAAATGGGGCCATCGAAAGGCTTTAATTGCAGCAGTTATTACCCGATGGGGTACTCAATATGGCATGCTTACTTCTCTTTATGATTGCCAGGAAGCAGTTTGTGAGTGGGCTCTTATTACTCCTGCTGCTTCTACCATAAAAGGGAAAGAGGTGATTAGAACAACTAAATCTCATGCCTTTTGGTGGGAGCTAAAGGAGTTAATAAAAATCCTTAAGCCTCTGCATATTGCTCAGAAGGAATCTGAGGCCCAAAATTCATCAATCATGGAGGTAACGCAGCGGTGGTTAACCCTCCATGAGACTCTGCGGACGCTTGCTGCTCAGACATCCTTTAAAGATGATTTTTATTCTTATCTAGATGGCACTGGTTGGCAGACTCGAATGCTACGTCAACTAGAGCCACTTCACTGGGTAGCGTATCATCTTGATCCAGCAAGAGTTCCTGGCAAACTTGATGAGAGCGCACGACGCCATATTGAAGGTGCTTTTTACGACCACTTCAAAGCGAAGATGGAAGATCTACTGCATGGCATGAATTTCTGGCATACCGGCAAAGAACAGGTGCTTTTTATAATTCCTCTTGTTGGGAAGCAAGAACACCAGCTCTCTTTTGGCTTGAGGCAGTAAGTTAAAGCTATATGCTATTAAGCAAGATACTTACCTATATTAATTTAGGCAGAATTTGCTCCTACTCTTGCTCCTTTTTTTGCTCGCCGTCTGTGTAATACTGTTGCTAATTCTGCTGCAGCTGAGAGAGCATTTTCACAGATGAATCTGCAGCATACAAAGATCCGGAATCGGCTTGAATCTCACCGAGTTGAGAAGCTACTTTATATACAGATTAACAAACGACAATTCGTGCAGACTCGCACCTACCGTTACCCAAGAGATGCTTCTTGAGGAGGAAGATCAGGAGATAGAAAGAATACTGTGCGTAAGCAGGTGCAGGACTATCTATTAGAGGTGCTTGATACTTCAGACTCTGAGGAGGATATTCCACCGGACCCTGTGCCGAACCCAGTACCAAATCCAGCACCAGAACCAGCGTCGAATCCAGCACTTATTGCAGTATTAAGACGTTCTGCATTAAATTCAGCTTCAACTGCAACAAACCCGGCACTTGTTTCTGCATTAAATTCAAGACTGAATTCCGTGTTAAATTCAGCCTCAAGTCCCCCCCAGCTTTCGAATTCGCATACTGAGACAAAATCTGTACCAAATCCCCTTTTAACATGTCCCAGGCCTTCAGCTTCTATCAGAACGGGCGAAATCCATGGTATTGAAATAAGTAGTGGTACTGGTAGCGGAGTAAAGCGTCAGTCTGAATGGTCTCATGGGGTGGCGGACCATTATCAACAACCTACTCAACAGCAGAGGATCGGAGCTTCTGGTAACAAAGCACATGACCTTTAATATTGCCTATTTTGGATTAGCTTAATTTCAATTTCAATTTCACAGATTTTGATTTCATTTCAGGAGGCCAGATTTCATGAAATTTCAATTTTTGAAATTACATTTTGCCTTCCCTACCTCAAGTACCAGCTGCATAGGTACACAATACTGGTAGCACAGAGATGACAATGTATCCATGGTACCTGATACAGTAACTTAATAATTTACCTGTCTAATCTGGGGCTTTTTTTGATCTTCTATTTTCTATTATGATTAACAATATTGTTTTCAAAAAGGGAAGCTGATGTATTGAGAAGATCAATGGACTGCTAGACACACTTAAGGTCCATCTTCTTTGGTGAATATGCATATGTCCCCTACTGATGGATTGTTGCATTAGTTGTCAGCATGACTGTCCTTCGTCCCTGATCCAGTCCCATCGTCCTTCAGTTTCAGGGGTTGAGACAGTAATAGGCGTTTCCTCCCGTGGATCACTGCGGGCCACCATAGTCGTATTTGATACAGGTCTGATTACCTAGTAACTAATTAGTTGGTTAACTAACTGGCTAGTTAACTAAGTTAACTAACTAACTTTAACTAGGTTAGTTAACCCTGCTTATATAAGACACATGGCCTGAGGCTTTGCAAGGATATCTCGAGGTTTGCTGGAGACATAATGAATGGCTGCGCCATCAGAATCCAATTTTCAGTTAATTTCTAGTAGACACGGAAAGGGAAATAAACTTCAGGTATCCTCTCTTGTTGGACTTCCCTGATTTTTTTCTTTTGTACTCTCCTGCTACGGAGTATGTATGATCTAGAATCTCGTACTTAGGTACAGGCGGACATGAGTATCATGTAAAAGCTGACCCTAGTTTGTCTATTCCATCTACAGCTGTAGATGTGTGGGTTCCCCCTTGAGTCTCTCAATACCCGCCATAAAGCAGGTATGCATATTAACCATCTTGTTGGCAAAAATCTTGCGCAGGGAGTCCGTTTCCATATACCCAGCTGATAATCATGGGAATCATATGCTTTTGGGTACAGTATAGCATGATTACTGCATCACTGGGTATTTTCCAGGTAGCGAGATGGGGGAACACATACACAGATGGTTGGAGTACCGTCAATGATATCTTAAAGGGAGGAGGTATCAGGTGGGTCGCTCACCTGACTCCCGTCCTTATCGGGTTTAGTGGTGTTTGATGTCCGCTTGAGCTTGTCGATCTCCTACTGTTGCCATGTAGCTCTCTTTCTGTACCTTCGACAAACTTGCTTCGGATATACCTACACAGGGCCCTATTCTGATGGCACTCCCTCTTAACCATTAGCATGAATACACGCCAGGTTATCGATGAGACCGTATCCCCGTTTTCGCTATCGGCCACCTTTAACAATGACAACAGTTGCTTCTCGGTCGGTTTAGATACTGGCTTTTGTGGTAAGGCTTGATGCTTCCATATGCCTCACGGATTTATTTTGTTTTTAAGACTGAGAATAGAACTATATTAGTATTTAATGCCGATCCATGCGAACTCAAGGTGTCGCGGGGTATGTATCTGGCACTCTGATCATTCCACACTTCGCACGTTGCTAATTCGTCTCTGTTTGTATTTTAGATTTTAATGCTGGCATAGGCGTCGTGGTGATGCTAGGTCAATCAAACTACCTTGCTATTGTCGGGGGAGGAAGACAACCTAAGTTCCCACAAAACAAGGTGTGTAGGTGAAGGCATCCACGCCCAGCCATCAGTTACTCACAGCTGCTTCGCAGCTGGTTATCTGGGATGATGCAAAGCAAAAAGCAGTCATTACCCTGGAATTCCGCACCTCCGTCCTCGGCGTCCGCTTATCGAAGTCACGCATTGTCGTCGCTTTGCTGAACAGTATTCATATATTCGCTTTCTCTAATCCTCCACAGAAGCTTTCTGTCTTTGAGACAACGGATAACCCAATGGGATTGGCCTGTTTAGGGCAGAGGCTACTGGCTTTTCCGGGGCGTTCACTAGGACAAGTCCAGATAGTGGAGTTGGAGACAGGGAATGTCAGCATCATCCCTGCGCATAGTTCGCCTCTCCGGGCAATGGCGTTGAGTCCAGATGGCGAGGTATTGGCTACGGCAAGCGAAATGGTATGCGTATTCTTTAGGCTTGACTGTATGTTTCTGATGGTTGACTTGACGCACTGCAGGGAACCCTTGTACGGGTATTCGCTACTGCCAATTGTACGAAGATGGCTGAACTCCGACGCGGAGTCGACCAGGCGGTTATATTTTCACTTGCGATCTCTCCATCAAACAACTTATTGGCTGTTACGTCTGACAAATCGACTTTACATGTCTTCGATCTACCACATCCGCGGACAGTTTCACAACGTCGTTCATCACCTTCCCCCCCTGAAGAAGGAACAAATCAAAAATGGGGCATTCTTGGCAAGATACCTTTATTACCAAGGGTGTTCTCTGATGTTTACTCATTCGCAAGTGCACCTTTTGAGATTGGAGATGAAGGTTTTCCTGGATCACTCTACATCCCGCCTCTCGGGACTTCGTTTGGGAGGCCCTTGAAAGGTGTGATAGGTTGGTCTAACGACCAGACGATCCTAGTCCTTGGGTCGGGCCGGGACGGACGTTGGGAGAAATTCGTTCTCCGTGAGGGCGATGATGGAAGACGCCACTGTGTACGGGAAGGTTGGAAAAGATACCTAGGGGGTAGCTGAACAGAGGCGTTGACCGTCGATACTAATGGTAACGAGGTATGATTATTCAGTTCTATCTATGTGCTGCATCTTGGGATAGCGATGATTGTTCTTGTAAGATTTGCCTGTGGCCAACAAAAGTGCTTGATGATGTTGTGGTGCGAAGTCCGACAGACTAGCTGTGCTTGTTTCTGCAAGACGCGGGGAAGAAAAGCCCAAGCTTGTAGCTTCACAGCTGATATCTTGGCTTTGTTGGCCACGGCAGAGTCTTTCCTGCCCTGGGAGTGGAGTTGACCACTTATATTTCAACGACCCATAGAAGACATGTCCATGATTTACCAGTATTTAATAGAAATCATTTAAATGCCTTTATCGGTGTCGCTCGTGCCTGTCTTTAGTACGTCGTGGTTCAGGTGATCGGGATCCCACTGGTGTCCTATCTCTGTAGGCTCTCTCTTTCCGCGATGGGGATCTGGTTCTATAGGACCGCCCCTCTCTTGATTGTGACCGGTAATCCCGACGGCTCTTCTCCCGTGAACGCGACCGACGCTTCTCATATCGGTGGCGATGATGGCGGTGATGGCGATGGCGACTTGATCTTTCTCGGCTGGTGTTTCTTCTCCGCGATGATTTCTGAGAGCGTTCCCTTTCTAATGCTTGAGAAACTTCTTCCTTCTTTTCTTCGATAAGAAACTCTTTCATCGGGTCCTCGTCATCGTGATTTTTTATCAACTCCTCAAGCTCCATCTCTTCCTTGAGCAACGGCCGTTGCCGGGGCTCATCATCCGATTCACTGCTTCTTCTCTTCTTTCGTTTTTGTCGCTCATCATCTGAGCCCCAGTAGTGGCCACTTTTCCCATCCGTATCACCCATGAGCTTTGCAACGTTGTCTCCTTCCTCATCATCACGTTTCTTGTACCTGACATGGTCAACGCGCAGTATTCTATCCAGTACCGTCGCGCCGCCTAGATTATCCACAGCCAAATCTGTGCTTCTCTGGTCTTCATATTTAAGGAACGCAAACCCTCGACTCTTCCCCGTTTCCTTATCGCGGACAAGATTCACGTGGACAGGCTCGCCGTATTGCGAAAAGATGGTTACGATGTCACCTTCTGATAGGTCGTAAGGGAGGCCACCGATATAGATGTAGGCAGTATCTCGGTAGTCGGCATGCCATGAAGCTTCAGGGGGACTAAACAATTCGTTGAAGTCAGTTGATTGACCTTTTTTTTGCGAGGCTAGGACCATTAGTGATAGCGGAGAGCGACACTAACATGGCATTTTCAAGTTCGCGCTTGTTGAGCGCCTGGATCTGACGAATACTGTTCATCACACGAGTGTTTTAGACATGCGAAAAGGCCAATTATTGGGAACTGACAGGTCGAAGGGATAGTAGTGGTGTTGGTGAAAGAGGCTGGCCAGGTTGGTACCTTTGGAAAGGACTAAGCTGCAAAAAGCTCATCATATCACGGGCTGGCTCCGCGGGAGGTCCCACCCGCAAGCGCTCTTAAACTACCCAAGTTACTATTGTTTACAGGGAGCGACTTCCCCGCCACGGTGTTTGCCTTTCTTTCAACCTCTGCATGAGCCCCCTTATTTTTTGTTAAGATAATTCTGTCAGTATTCTACTTTTATCGGGGCGGGAGCTTGTCTGCAAACCTGTCCTTCTCTCCGTTGAGAGTGCATCGACCACCATTCCATATCCCCTGACCTGTCCGCCTATATCCACAGTTCTCAAAAGACCCCGTGGACAACGCGTTTAGTCGGTCGGAGCGTTTATCTAATCCTCTAAGAGGCATTTGGAATGGTTTGCGCCGGCTGAGAATGGTCGAGATTGGACAGACAATGTCTACGTCAGGTCAAATCCACCACGGATCGAAATTCAACTCAGGGAACAACAGCCGTCCGTCGAGCAAAGATGGATCAAAGAAGAACATTTGGTCTTCTTTGCTAGATAGTGTCGCGAATGGAAAGCGCCTTCCCGAAAAGAACCTCCTGATTCTAGGTTTGTCTCCTCTTAGTGCTTGCAACAGTTTGTGTTTATGCACCCGGTGTTCGTGTCATGTATATCTAATAGAATATAACTGTCAATTAGGAGGTACTCCTGAGAGTCAGAGAGAATTTCTAGAAACATTTTCTGCGGATACATCGGACCCCAACTTGTCGAACGAACAAAGAAAAGGAAGAATTCCACCTGTCGCCAACCAGTTCGCCTTGGGATACACATATCAGGATGTACTAGATGCTGATCACGAAGGTATATCGGACACCCAATTCAACGATTAAGTATATTCCTATATTCGGGAATTTTTGGTCCAGGGAGAACTAATGGCTATTGGCAGATACGTTGGCACGCGTCTCTGCATATTTACTTTCCGAACCTTCCCTATCTTTTGCGCCTCTCCTCAAACCTCTCCTGACCCACCGCTCGATCCCAGAAACTCTGGTCGTCATTCTTCTAGACTGGTCGGATCCTTGGACTTGGATTCGGCAGCTTAGAGAATGGGTCCGTCTCTTGCGACATGTCCTAGTTTCCCTCGATGATGAGACGAAGATTGTGATGGAGGAAACAATGACAGAGTGGAGAGATAGGAAGAGAGGAATGGATGCAAGCTCGGCAGGTGCCCAAGGTCTAACTAGCTCAGGAGGCCCGGTAACTATACCTTTAGGACCCGGTGAATGGGACGAAGGACTTGGGGTTCCCATGTGTGTGGTTTGCCAAGGGGTATGTGATACTTCCAAGTCAACAAAAGAGAGAAGAAAGAGAAAAGCAAAACGGAGAAACCAAATGTTAACTTTTGTCCTTTGCACCCTTGCAGGCAGATAAGATTGAAAAACTGGAAAGAGACCATGGCTGGCATGAAGAACAGTTCGACTTCATCCTCCAATTTCTGAGAACTATCCTTCTTAAACGTAAGGCGGCTTCCCCTCCATTTCCCTTCAGATGCTTCCGTGAACAACGCTCTAATAGTTGGCAGATGGCGCATCTCTTATCTACACCACGCCGTTCCTTGCCAACTCCCTCCAAAGTCTACTACATTCATCTCTGGGAATACACTCACTCCTGAAGAGACAATCACTCAAACATAATGTGATCGATAGGGATAAGATTCTGGTTCCAGCGAACTGGGATTCGTGGGGTAAGATTCGCATTATCAGAGAAGGGTTCGACATGGAAGGAGTGTCAACCGCATGGTCAATTGAGATTCAGGATCTCCCGGAGCCACTGACGAACGGCCCGCGCAATCAGAAGGCCGACGACGATTCGCAAGCCGGAATGGATGACGGCACAAGTGCTGTGGCAATATTTGAGCAAACAATCACAGATCCCAAGTGTGGTACTTCCATGGCGCGTCCAGGTAGCCAACAAAGCAAGAATAAGATTGAAGTCGAAACCACCGACATGCAGAATTTCCTCTCCAAACAACAAGAGCTCCTGGAACAACTGAAAATCGAAGACGAAAAAGATCGCACAACCAAGAAAACACCTCAGCTGGAGATGTCGCCGCTTGAAGATAACGGCCGCGTCAACGAGCATATTGGGCCCGTGCAATTCAACATGGGAGGCATCCAGGTGGATGCTGACGATATGTTGCGGAAACTTAAGGTATGTACTAATTGATACCTCCCGCCTTAGAACTGACGCAAACTGACCCCATTTCTAGGAGAGAGAGGTAAATCGATCCCAGAGAAAGGACACGATTTCATCACCCGGCGATGAAAAGGCTCACAATCAGGCCCTGGCGAATTTCTTCGCGGGATTGGTCAAGAAACCATCTGGAAGTCCCCGGGGAAGTCCATCGGCGTAGATATTCATGGGTTTTTTTTTTTTTTTTGGATTGTAATTTTTTTTTTTTTTTTTTTTTTTTCCCTCCTGCGCGCAGTACATATTTACTGGCTTGGCGACACTCTTTGTTTGATACCAGAATGGATTTAGGCTGGATCAGGAGTCGAGAAGAGGCAACATATTCGAATCCAATGAAATCTATTATACAGCTTGTTTCCTTTAACAAAGGCAGGGATATCTATCATCTATTCACCCAAGAGGCTTAGAACATTAATATTCCGGGTACAATGCTTCCTGCAACACTTGCAAACAATGAGAGACGAGTAACAGAAATTGAATACTACTATACAAGATTACATATTCACTCTTTCACCAGTTTTCCCACACAGCATCTGGCAATACCTTTCTCATAATATGCCAGTGCTCCAGTGCGCCCTGATCCTGCCACTTATGCAGACGTCCAGTCTCACTGGCTCTGAGAACAGGCTTACCACCCTTCACGGCCATAAACACAGAGGGATCAAGCTCATGCTTAGGTATCAGATAGTTCTCGCGGAATTTACTGTTCAAATAGTCTGCTCGGACTGGTTTTCTGAAGCGAAGAGGCTTGGCGGAGCTCTTCTTGCAGAAGATCACCATGTTGGTAAAGTCCGCGGTGTGGTCGTTGGATTCTGCCTCGCGGAAGATCCGACAAGACGGGAAGACGGCTTGAATGGTGCGAACAGTGAGGGCAGCTGGGTATTGAGAGACATCTCCGGCGAAGTTCTGTATTGGTGATGTTTAGATTGGAAGATATTTGAATGGGTGGTTGGTGCTGGAACTTACGATGGCAATGACTCCATCCGGTTTGAGGAGAGCGTCGAGGCCCTGTAGGAACTCGATGGTGAAAAGCTCGACAGGCTCTGCTCCGCCAGTGAATACGTCGTGGACGATGTAGTCGTATTGAGCGGGTTCCGGCGCTTTCTGGGCGCGTTCCACAAAATTTGTGGCATCTTCGATGGCGGCAATATGTTCAGCGGGGAGGTCGAAGTACCGTAGAGCGAAATTGTGCACGACGGGATCGATCTCCACGACGGTGGTTTCGATACCGTGAGAGATTAATGCAGCAGGGGTGGTGCCGACGCCGAGACCGCTGGTGGTAACAGTTAGCTATTTCTTTGATCAATTAATCGACGAAGAGAAGTTTATGGCTTGTATACATAACCAGCGCCTTGCTGTTGGCATCTACTCGGGGTTCGCCCTGTGCCGTCTCCACCAGCCGAACGGCTTCAAGCATAGTAAAGACCGCGTAGATCGGATCCTTGACGTCGGGGTTATAATTGTGATGAACCTTATTCCATTGGCCGCCTAGCAGGCTGTGGTCGCACCTCATCACGCGGAAGCCATCCTCCAGATTATCCAGAACCGAGATGTAACCTGTAGTAGAGTCTTGTCGAGCGACGAGGGCAAAACCCTCGGTTTGGAGGGCTGAGTCTACTCCAGCGGTGGTACGCCCGAGCGGCATATGCACGTTCGACGTGAAGGAGAAGATAATGGATGGGATTGCCAACACAAGCAGCTTGGATGGAATGACCACAGAATAGAGAGTTGCAATCAAAACCTGGAAGCCAGTGCGTGAAAAAAAGAATGCTACACCAATAAACCTGGAGATGAAGGCTTTAGCAAAGTGGTCTCCAGCTGAGTAAACGAAGTATGATGCCAGGAGAGGTGCATGCTCGGAGATTAGGTCACCATGTCGCTCGAGATTCAGACCGGACTGCATCAGCTTCCCAGCGCAGGCCACAGATAGTAGTAGGAACGGGTAGTACGCAATGGCCTCCGTGATTAGAGGCCCCGTTGGATTTCCCAACTGGGAGCTTTGCTGGAGTAAGAAATACTGGATAGTGGGAACCCAGAAAGCAAGCACAGGAATCAAAAAGATGGCGCGCCGACCCGACAGCTTCTGAATGTAGTCCTTCAGGAACCAGCCGGCTGCGGCAACAAGTGCGACTCCATAACCATGGAAAATGTGTGATGGACCGGATCCATACACTGGGGCCAGGTTCAACAAGAACACATAGGAAGAAAACGCAGTGAGCGCCAACAAAGTGCTGCCTGATGATAGCTGTTTCTGGTTACGCCGCTGCAGAATTCCTGCGAAAGAAGACGACATGGCGTCGTTTGAAGATCACACCAATGTGGTGCGGGAGACTCGGGCTGTCAGGGTTTAGACCGTCAATACTGGGAGAACATTGCGAGCACAAGATATGCGTATGACAGGATCTCTACTCACCAGAAGACCCAGCAGACAGGTGAAACAGGCTGGTTACTGCCAATGGTATTTTTGATAACTAGTTAAGTCCACGACGGATGACTTAATGCTGGCCATTCTGCCGCACCATTCCGCTTTCAGAATGTCGTAAGCCTCATGCCGGTTGCTCCCCTCTTTTCTTGTTCATTATTTTCCTTCCCTCCAAGCCTCCATAATGCCGTTGTTCCCTGAAGGCACGGGGATCGAGTTTGATAAGAGTGCTCCAACGGATCCCAACATGTCGTCTAGCGCCATACCTCCGTCTCGGGAGACCCAGGTGAAGAACCGTCGCAAACGATATCTGGATGCCCATCCCGAGTACTTCTCGACTGATCTCGAGCTAGCCGGTCCGCTCGTTCTATCCTAGTTTAGTTTTTATGACCGGGATATGGTCTCAGTCGGAGGAAATAGACTTCCAGGCTAATACTCAAGGTTTGTAGACCCGTTGCTGTACGATCGCCTCATCCGCCGATTTCAGACTCCGGCCGAAAGAGAGGTGGAAGGACGCGCCAAAGGGTTTTCGGGGATTCTTCAAGCAGATTTGTGCCGGTCGGAGGCCAAGTTAGAGGCCCTTTCCCACCAAGATCCCAATGCAATGTTTAGCTATACCCGTGGCCCGCACGGGGAGATTCTAGCAGAGGAACAAGATGAGATTCCCCCGAATAAAGAAGAGGGAGAGAAACTCTGGCGATGGGTGATGACGCTTCGGTTCCTCCGGGGAGACGATAGCGATTTCGATTATCAGACTGTCGATGACAATGATGAGTATGATGACTGGAATGAAGAACAAGAGCGATATTTCGATGACGAAGAACCCAAGTGGCTCGTGGACGAAGCAACCGGAAGGGATGTAAAGTCCCATTTGCAGGGAGAGACGGGCATCCAAGATTTCTGAAGCAGGAAGTGGAATAATGAGAGTTTTAAGTGTCGCGTAGATACAAGCTCTTGGCCACCACTCCGTTCACTTAGCATGCCACTCTCTATGCAAGTGCCTGACAACCAGGGTTAAGATAGGTGCTGGCTTCTTATAATCGGGTACTGCCGTGCATATGCTCCCATTGCTGTTTCTTCCGGACGCTCCTGATTAGAATCAACCGTTGGCTCTACAGCCCTTTGGATTGCATCACTTCAAACTCTTGTCTAGCTGGTACTGTCTTTCCATAGACATATACTATATGGAATCCATTCTCTAGACAAGATGTTATTGAATGTCGCTATGACAGTACAGGGTGAATGTTATTGCAAATTTTGGTCCTGCCTATCACTCAGCAGTGTGAAAATGGATTGTTCAACTACAAACTGATTTAATGACATCGCAGGGGGTGCTCACTGGAATAGTAGGGCGTGTGTTTTTTTGGGGCTATCCTGCTATGGCAGTGTCTTGATGTTTTCAAACGTGTTCATCCTATTATGCAGCAGAATTGAAACGGACATTGATGGTGATGGAAGTCTTTGGTGAACCGGATTATCAGATAGCGTGGGGTTTCTGAGTTATTGTCTCCAACCAAAGACAGGGAAAAAAGACTGAGCTGTATTCTGTATAGCTGGGTAATAGCTGCGTCAGGAAACGTAGATATGTGAATATAACGTTGCAATTATTTACTCATAAAGCCCCTCTGTTTCAACCTTATTCATCATTATAAAAGAATGATGTTGATACTGATTGTCCTTTAACTATGGCCCTACCGAACGTTGATTCGCAGTGCATGCCATAGTTTTGGACTATATAGTTTATGGCATCACCATTACAAGCTCTTTCCTGCTGTTTGAGCGTCCAACCAGGTGGCCACTTCTATTTCTCACATACGATGGACAAGCCACACAGTCGGTCAGGATGCCTACGGTGTCGCTTCCATAATGTTACAGTGACAACTGGTTGTGAAAATATACTGCTGTGGGCTACACAAACCGCAGTTCCCTGAGTCTGACTCGAGTCTCGGGGATTCGAATTCACGTTGAGCGTGAATTAAACATTATGGTGATATTACTGCTTTTCTACTCCCCTCCCTCTTCGCTCTTTTCTCCCTCATTTCTCCCTCTTTTCCCTTTTCTCTTTTCCCCTTCCTCTTCCTAAAACGCTGGTTTATCTCTACTAGCTTCAGCTCGGGCTGAAAAAAGAAAATAAAAATAAATATTCTCGATTGCCAGAAAGCTCTTCCATTTTCAGTGTTCTTTCGTTAATATGTCTACCTCTGGGGCAAACTGGGTCCTCGGAGGTCTCAACTTAAGAGACTGGGACTCTCAGGTCCTATTCCATTCATTCGAGTGCTGGGAACGGGGGCCAACAGCAAAACGACCCTCACGTATAACACGGACAATGAAAAGCTGTACGTGGTACTCCGCGGAGAGGATGAGGAGGGCTACGTACAGAGAGCGTGGAGGGAATTCGACATCGCCAGCCCTTTGAATCATACAATGTTGTCGAGACCTCTTAGCTATGTACGTATCGCTGTGGAACTATCGCCTACAACCCACCCGAGGCCCTGGCGGAGACATGTAAGACCCCTTTGTAAACTACAATCCAATAGATACGTACATATCGCATCCATTTTCCACATGGGGAAACCATCAACCAGAACCATTCCTTTCCTTCAAAGTATCGATAGCATCCTGCTTTAACTTGAACTTCTGAATCTTACCACTTCCCGTCTTGGGAAACGTATCTTCCGGCTTCAGGAAAAAAATATATTTCGGAACTATAAGCACTGTTAGTACACTTCATCTATTAGAACAGAACAGGACAGAGAGGGAGAATCAAAGAAAAAGAAATCATCCATACCAAGGTGATTGCTCAATTTCTCACGCACCCATTGCCGGATCTTTTCGCGGGAAGAAACTTCGTCGATCGGTCCGCGGGGCACGATGAACGCAGCTACGACTTCACCGTATCGTTCGTCGGGGACTCCTACAACGGATACGTCCGATACGTCGGGATACGTAAGAATGCAGTTCTCGATTTCGAGCGGGTGAATGTTTTCGCCACCACGGATGATTAGGTCTTTGATTCGGCCAGTGATGGAGATGTAGCCGTCTGGGGAGAGGGTTGCTTCGTCTCCTGTCTGGGTATTGTTAGTACCCTCTTGGTATTTATTTCGAGGGATGTATATTTGATTTAGGCTTAAACGAAAGTAACGAGGAGGGAGGGGGACGTACAAGCATCCAGATCTTCCCTTGCGCATCGGCAACCATTGCCTCGGCGGTTCGCTTGGGATCATCCCAGTACCCTTTCATTAGGAGGTAACCACTCACTGCCAGTTCTCCGGGGACATTGATAGGGAGGGTCTGGCTGTGATTGGCCGGGTTGACGACTTTCACTTCGACATGCGGCATTAGTCGACCAACAGTGTTGATGCGCTTCTCGATGGGGTCGTCTGTGGTGGTCATGGCGGAGACAGGACTGGTCTCGGTCATTCCGTAGCAAATGGTTAGTTCGGTGAGATTGAGCTCCCGGTGGAGTCTCTTCATGAGTTCGCTGGGGATACTACTTCCGGCTGCGATACCTGTGCGGAGATACTCGAACCCCTTGGGCGAGACTTCACCGTCTTGAATAAGGTTGAGCTCTTCGATAAACATGGTAGGGACACCGTAGAGTGCCGTACATCGCTCTTCTTGCACGGCTTGGAGGGCTGCTTTGGCGTTGAACGATTCCGTGGGGAACACGATGGCTGAACCATGGGTTGCTGTGGCCATGTACCCCAGCACGGATCCGAAACAGTGGAATAACGGGGGAGGACAGCAGACTATATCCTGCGGGGTGAGACGCATCCGATCACCGATTTGGGACCCGTTGTTAAGGATGGAACGGTGCGTTAAACAGGCCGCTTTGGGCATTGCCGTGGTACCCGAGGTGAATTGGACGTTTATGATATCATGGGGTGATAGGTCTCGATGTGGGAATGCAATTCCGTCGGCGGTAGCATCGGACGTGATAGATGAATAGGGTGTCAAGGATTTGTATTCTGAACCGTCGATCCGGCCGGCTGAATTGTCCACGTAAATAATACTTTGAAGAGAGGGGATTAGTGCGGACTCGAGCTTCGTAGTATGTAGATCCTGAACGATGTGCTGGAGGAGAGGGATGTTGCTCCGTGGTTGTTTCCGCGGTAGATTGGACTCAGCACTGATGATGAAATGGGTCGTTTCCAGATGGCTCAAAGCAGAAACCACTTGAGTTACATTGAATGACGGGTTAACGGGCACCTGGACAACACGTTGGAAATCTTGGTCAAGGATGTTCAGAGTGGGACATACGAGAATAGCTCCAAGTTTGAACAGCGCATAGGTTGCCTGTAGGAAATGCGAGTAACCTTCAACGAATGGTTCGATTCTACAAACCAGACTTGGAGTCGATAACATACCACAGAGTGCTCCATAGAGTTTCCGAGCATTACTGCAACGCGGTCGCCCTTGCGCACGCCCACGGACTCTAGGCCCCGTGCGAGGGCATTGCTTCTGGCATCGAGCGCCGAATAAGTCACCCTGTCATTCTGGTGTTTGCAGATGACGCTGGGAGAGAATTAACGACTTGTCGTATAACGATAGAAAGGTCACCTAACGTACGCTTCTCTATCCCCGTATGAATTAACAATCTTGGAGAAGTGGTCGGGAATTGTGGTTTCCAGAAGCTGTGGCTTGAATCCGATAATAGCATTTCAGCATCAGAAAGAGCCAGGAGATTTCAACTGGCTAAGGTCCATACCTCTGACGGGCCCTGGGCATAGCTTTGGGTTAATAGGCCCCGCTGTGCCAGGGGGAAGTACGCAGGCTTCTTCCCAGAGCCTATTAATCGAGGTCTTCCCCAAAGCCATCGTAGAGGCGCCATTCCCATGCGATACATACAGAATTGTATGTAGATTTAGACTCCGAATTAGAGGTTAGTATCCCAAAGCCGGAGAAAATTTGTCTACCCTTGGATCAAGCTGGATAGAATTACCCTTGCGTCATGTATGCAGGGTCTCGTCAAGCCTGACAGGGGTAAGAGTACTCCGTAAGCAGGAGACTAGCCGGTAATGGCCCAGTAACAATAGTGTCTAGGAAATATCAATCGAAATAGAGATTCTGAGAAGGATTGAATAAATGCGATGCGGAAGCCTTGTTATTTGGTTTCCCCGCACGTGTGTTGCGGGGGTGCATTGCCGAGTGTTTCCTGCAATTTCAATTGGCAAACAATATCGGAACTCACTCCGTGGCTTTCTGTGGATAAAGAGACATATACTTCTATAGAATGATATTTTACGTTGACACTTTCTTACGAAAGGTCCCGATAAACATGCGAATATAGCTATCATATACTTATTAATACACCACAATCAACTACCATCTATACCCATACAAGGTAAACCAACTTGGAGGAATAAGAACAACACCGTTGACCAACGCAAAGAAATACCCATCATTCTATTGTCCAATTTGTTCAATTCGTTGGACATTCAATTTGTCTCGCCACATTTACATTCCAGGTCATTGTCTTCCCAGTACTGTCTTCCATAATCGACCGTGAATTCCTCGAAGATAGAAATGTCACGGATCGCCTCCACCGTCATCACCTTACTGTTCCCAATGGCCCGACTATCGAAAACAATAGAGAAACAGCATGAACGATTAATATACCGCGTCCAATTGCTGTATTTCTGGGGGCTACAGTGCCGTTGGACGATCATGCCTACTTTTGTGAAGATGCCACAGGGGTAATTGGCGTGTCCATCATAATCCGTACTGCGAATCTCCCCAACGAATTCCGCCAAGATATCCCTTCTTAAATTTGCCCAGCACCCGGACTCCGATCCCCTTGATGGGATATTAGACCAGTTCGACCAGGCCTCCAACAAGAAGTCCCGTTTGGTACATGCATGGGTCGCTCGAGTCGAATATATGCAGTTTCCGTCCATTTTCCAGCGAACCGTCCAGTTTAGCCCGGTACAGTGTTCCGGGTTGAATATACTCTGGTTGATATGAATCTGCAAGTGGCCATTGTGTCCTGGTATTGGCTTCCGCAACCTACCTTCAAGGGTTCGCATGTAATGTTGGGGGTGATAATCAGGTTTCTTGTACGCTTTTTTCGCTACTTGCAGCAGATTCGACATGTTGCATCCTTTGCTAACTTAGCCTCAGCGTGGTCTTAGTAGTCTGCGCCAGTCTATATAAATTCGAGTGAAGATCTTCAGACAACCGGAATTCTCACGGAGCTTGGAAATGAGCAACGTCCATAAGACAGGGCTTTCTCTTGTATACATGCCCTGAAGAAGCCTTCTCAGTAATCACGTATGCTAAATAGTGGCAGACTCAATTCGACCTTGGCATGCCTTATGTTCATGAATTCCCCCACCCCCAATCCGTCTTCGAATCACTGATTAATCATAGTGAACTTTTATGCCGACTGCGGTTGTCTTGATAGTCTAGCTTAAACAGTATGAGTGCCAGGGCCTTTGCCACTTCGGAGTTCTCCCTGTAGTATCTGAGACTATCATTAGCTGGTGTTGGGTGAAACAACGCGCCGGCCCAATGCAGACCGATGCTGTTAATGTCCCAGTACACTGAAGAGATGATTAGGATAACTTTTTCGGTGTACGGTTCGCTTTCTCTCCATTTCTTCAAGTCTTCTTGCTTTGCTCTCTTATTCTCAAACTTCTTATCGAGGTCCTCGAGGTCGCCGCTAGCTGCTCGTTTCTGGCCGGCATGGTTATTCACAGAGGGAGCGTTTCTGAAAAGTAACTTTATTTGAGGGGTTTCTGGCCCACGTTGAATTGAATTAGACAAGTAGGATTTCTGGACAGCAACCTTCGAGTGTTATATACCTCCTGTCACTCGACTCAGAATATTACATTGACACTGTTACTTGTAGCACTATATAACAAAATCGTCTTGACTTGAGATCAGGTTAGGGCACTGATCATGTCCTATATCTCTGGTAGTGTTTTAAACGAGACGTAATTTCATGCTCCTTGATATCTATCTGTGGTCCTGTTTGGTGTTTCTTGAGTCAAGATAGCTTGGGTATCTCAACTTTATCCCAAACCTAATTCATCGTGGTCCGAATACATCTGTTTGTTGATGTCATGATACCAAACTTAAAGAGTATGTAACCGCCCACTTCAGCAAATTGTTCTTTAAGAGGCTTTAAAATATCCGCCAGTAAGGTATCCTTGAAGGCTCTTTATTCTTTAACCGCTTACCGAGGGAAAATCGAGACTGAAAATTGCTACAACATGTATGTCTTCAAGGCGGCTCTAGCTCTACCTCTAGCTGTTGAACTCTGTACCGCTGCTGTCCTTAACGAAGATGTCAATGTATGTCAATCATATCACTTCTAAAAATACCTTTAACCATTGGGCAACCAGATAGCCTACGTATCGGATGAAGCCCCTCCTCTACAATTCATTGAGCCGCGACACCTCATCAAGCTGGACATCCTGTACGTACATACACCACATCTCATCCATCCCATGTCCATAGCAGAAGCTGATAGATACTGTCGGCTAGGGGGATACTGGAGATGATTTATAGCACCGCAAATAGTTTACTGAGATCGTGAGTCTGCAAAGTACCTAGCATCTTCTGTCGCTGTTATTCACATGATGTATACTAAAAAACGCAATGGTTGCACTTTTCCTATTCAAAAGGCAAGACTGAATTCGACCCTGCCTGTTATGTGGAGTATATCTTCTGTAATATCCCACCCAGTTCGTGTGCTGATGAAGTGTGGGATGAGCATGCCTTGTGAAGCCTCTGACTTGAAATGTGACAACGTATAATACTCCAGGAATGCGGATTAAGAGGGGAATGCTCTACCTTATTATAGGATTCTGCTTCTCTGGGCCTTGATTCAGAATAGATGATCTGTAATTGGGATTGGGTCATAACTGTTTGGTGAAGATCTTTATTTTCGTAGGCTTAAAAGCAAGACTCTATCCCATTCACAAGAATGAAGCATTCGATGGAAGAAAATAAAGCGGGTAAACCGGGTAAAGCGGCTCCGCAACCGGGAATTAGAGATCTCATCGATAATGCTGTACTCCGAAATTAGTTAACTATGTGTAAACCAAGAGCCTGACACTGATAGAGGTAACTAGCTAGCTGGTTAGTTAAATCTGGCTAGCATTATGTCAGCAACATTCATCCAATCTTAAAAGGTAATGGTTTGCCTGCAACTAAAATCAAGCACTAGTGGCACAGAGATTTCATCCTGAAAAAAAAAAAAAAAAACCTTATCTAATCTGTGACTACAGGTCAGTCGCAAGTTATGACTCATGGAGGAACATTGACTCATTAAGGACTCAACCAGACCACTTAAAGAAGATGTACCACTCTCAATGGGTCCATTATTGACACTAATCGCCGTTTCTTGCATGCATTTAGTTTCCTGCCGAGGAGAGACATAGGGTGCAGTTTCATGTACTTTCAGATAGTACAGCATTGTCTGCGTGGCGAAGTCATATCCGCGGAACCACTAGAGATATATGCGCCTTGGACGACCCTCACATCTCTTGCAATTCATCATGGAATCGATAGTAATAATGAGATTCAAATTTGGACCATGAATTGGTTCTGGTCGGTAGTTACTGTAGATAGTTAGGCCAAGTACTGCAAAAGGCGAATGCCGAGTAGCGAACGAATCAAAGCATGGGGTTGCTGCCTCGTATTTCGGGCCTCCCTTGTGACCGCGAACTGGTCGGGCACCTAAAACAGTCTAGCGCCACCGTCGGGATCCCCAAGGGGAAAAGCGCGGAGAACGGGGCTTCAACCCCGTCAGATTCAGGCATCTCTTTTGATCTACTCATGGTCGACTCTCTTCCTCCTCCTTTTTCTCCTCACGGACTGCCTGATCTCGTCGCTCTCCTTAGTCAGAATATACTCTCTTTGCGCGAAGCAGAACGCCTCGTTCTTAACGCTTCTCAAGTACCTTGCTCTTTTTGTTGGCTTGATTCGACTAGATTGTCTGACAAGGACATCGATTTTTACTAGTCCCTGATCAGGAATAGCACCAGAACTTCACCCCTCTACATTATCAACATCCATTTGAAACCCAGGTCTCTCTTTTTGCTATGTCGGCTGATCAATTACTCTATCAAATGGATCCCTCGTCGCACCAGAATGAGTGGTACGACTTCGACAACTTCATCGAGTTCCCGTCGGGTGATATCGACAGCAATTCCACCTCTGTGGACTCGATCTCTCCCAAGGATTACGCATTGAATTACTCCGACGTGGACGGGTCCAACTGGAACTCTGACTTTGGTGTAGACTCTCAAGCACCATTCTCCAGCCTCGCTGGCTACGAGAACCCATTAGAAGAGTGTGCTCTGGGTACCGAGCCATTTGCGGACCTCAGCGAGATCCTTCAATTCCCTGCGTCGTCTGAAAGCGAAGGGCTGGTTGGATCTACCCGTGATGACACTTGGTCATCTAGCTTCCCAAGTCACAGCGAACACTTCTACTCAACCATTCGCCAGATGGTAGAGTCTCAGGCAGCAGTTGATGTACGTTGCTCGTCTAGTAAGGAAAAGCGCATGGAAGCTTCCATTGCTCTACATATGCAACGCCTTCACGATGTCTCTTTACCCGAATTGGATCTATTCTCGGACTCGAACACCACATTCGCTTCACCATGCTGGTCGGAGACTGCCCGAGCAAACGTTTCTCACAGTGGGAGCCCAGCAACTACGCTTCTGTCCGAGCCCACCAGCAAGTCCCCCACTCCACCAGCAGCACCAGATGGTATCGCTGGAGGGATGGAACTGGTGCTGGACATGAATATGAATACACCTGCGAACCTTCCAAGGAAACAAAAGCCTCGCTCACGGGCTCAGAAAGAAAATTACATCAAGGTTCGAAAGCACGGAGCTTGTGAAAAGCATAGAAAACAGCATAAGAGGGTACGTGAAACTTCGGATACTTGTGCTGTTTCTCTGCTACCGTACCTAGGAAGTGTGCCTACGGATTTGCTAACTCGAATATAGTGTAACTGCCTTGAGGCAACTGCTTCTCGTGTTAACGTCAAGGGACCTGTTCTTTCTACCGCGAACGAAGTTCTAAGACCATTTGGACGGACTCAACTTCACGTTCACGGTCCGGAACAGAACAGGATTCTTCTTCAGACAAAGTTGAGGCAGACCAGCCCTCAACAGACTGTACAGCCTGCGGCGGTTGGGGACCGGAATCATGGAGACAGGCCCACATTGGACACTCATATTTCCAGGCATTCGCCTTGCTCGCCTCAATACGCAGTGTGCACTTCAAACCTGGGCGGAAGGAAATTGCACGTTCACTCACCAATCAAGGAGGCGGCACCTTGGCATGGTGTAGACCAAGTTCCTTCGTCACATGGACAACTGGGGGCACTACCCGTACGGGATTCACTCAAACAGCCTGTCACTGCACCGACGAACCTTCTCAGATTGGTTTCCAATCGCAAGCCTCTTGTGCAGACCACAACTGTCATCGGCAGTCGCAACGAAAGCCAAACCCCCGAGCAAAGCATTCAGCGGATGCGGGAAAGATGGCCAATCAGGGCTGGACAGGAAACAGTGCAGTTGCAAACTATACCGTTCACTCCGAACACAAATGCTTCAGGCAGCGAAAGTTTGGTTGTCCAACAACGTTCGCTTTTCAGGTCTGCTGTCACGGTACTGTACAGTACTGTTCTTGCCTTCTCTCAATTCTGGCAGTCTTCTGCATCAGTCACCTCATGGGCAGGAAACCTTGTTGAAAGGTTCCTTGTTTTCTCTTCCAGACAGTATTGGCATGTCAGGAAGGGTGTGTCTTTGGTATAACGCCGTGTTCTGTTGGAATTAGGAATGGATTTGTCAGTTCTTTTAGCGTGTTCAGTCTGTTATATTGCCAAGGGTCTTGTCTATGGCTGTATCTGATTTGTTGACCGTTTCTTTAATGGTGTGGTTAGGGTCCTGTGCATGTTAACCAAAAGCAACCCGTATTTAGGTAGTAATATAATTCATTGTTGCATTTAGAACCTTCCAGGAACCGGAAGTCGTAGCCATTAGTATTATCCATAATATTAGCCTCTCTCCGATTAGGCATTGCCCCGTCGTTATTCCAAGAATGGACAGTTTCTATACGAGTGTGACTTCATGGTCTCCACTGAGTAACATAGAAGCATAAAGCCTACTTAAGAAATGAGAAACGAATCTGTTATAGATAGAACAATAAAGCTTGAAGCAATTTATGCTCGAAGATCAGAGTTTTATTATTGAGGATACTACTATGATACATCTTTGGGAATTGGATGTCGTAGTATCCCTTGAAACTGTCTTTACAGTATCGACACACTGTATATTGCATTAGGTGGAACACAACAGCCCAGTTGATAAAATAAACCAAGAAACGCTTTTAAATGCATTCAATATGACAAAATAGCTGATACTAATGGCTCATTATAGAGGTACTATATACCTCCTGTTCTTGTATCATACCCGAACTCTATACCCGCAAAGGGCAAGAAGGTTCCACGGGTCTTCCAAACAGCAACCAGAACGCTGACCGCTACAGTGATAGAGAGTAACAGTTGCATTTCCCGTGTTTTGCATTTTATTAATGATTTCTTGCCATGGTCTTATACACATAAACCCAATGTGATATACGATCCCTTTGTTTCCAGCCCAAAGACCCCCACCATTGATCCCGCCAATTAAATTCCCTCATGGACGCATTCCCTTTTTCTTTCCTCCGATCTCCAGCAACGTCTCAACGACATCGCTATCGACTAGTACTTGATACGGACCCAAGATACAGCATCTATGACCGTGTAGCTCATAACTGTAGAAGATTCTGTCGAGTCACTGTGATAATGTAAGAAACCCATCTCCCCATTAAAGTGGAGAAAAGAAACCAAAAAAGTGCTGACGTGCAGGTCCCGAAGTCCAATACTCCTCGTAATCACCATCCTTCTGGCCGGCCTATTCATTATGGGCGAATGCGGCTCGTCCGAGGATCACTTCGAGTTTTCAACTGTCCAAGGCTACTTCCTACAGGATGAGCCCACGACGGACCCGGACACCTTCGACTATGTGAGTTCTATCTCCCTTCTAGCATGGTACCAAGAGCTTATGGAGATGATATAGGTTTCATCCAACTTTGGTCTCATCTCTCGTAGGTATGACTCTGATGCCGAGTTCGACCCCAAGGGCCACAAGACGCAGTGGGAACGACTTGCGCACCACATCGACAAGTTGAATGAAGCCAGCGGTCCAGAGACAACGTATAAGTTACTCTTCCTTGGCAGACATGGTGAAGGATTTCATAATGTTGCGGAGCAGCGATACGGTACCGAACTCTGGGACGTGAGTATTTCATATTCTTTTCTTCCTCCGTTCGTCTTCTACGGTAATAATGACTCTCCTGTAGTGCTACTGGTCTCTCCAAGATGGCGATGAATACGGCACCTGGGTAGACTCGCGCCTCACAAAACTAGGCGAATCCCAAGCAGAAACCGCACATAACGCTTGGAAAACCCAAATCGAAGCCGGCATTCCCCCTCCTCAATCGTACTACGTGAGTCCGTTGAATCGCTGTCTCGCCACGGCAACTATTACGTTCAAGGGACTAGGGATTCCCCTCACGGAGCCTTTCCGTCCACTGATCAAAGAAGTAATTTAACGCCCTGCCACTTTTGTAAACATGGAACCAAACAATTGACATGATATCTACGCAATAGCTCCTCCGTGAAACAATCGGCATACACACCTGCGATAGCCGCTCATCCAAATCTGCCATTGCAGCGGAATACCCGCTATTTATATTCGAAGACGGATTCGCAGAGGAAGACCCCCTGTATAATCCGGAGCTGCGGGAATCCGACACCGCGCGTGACGCTCGTCTCCGCGATCTATTGCTGGATATCTTTGCGCATGATGATCATGCCATTCTTTCGCTGACTGCCCATTCCGGAGCTATCACTAGTATTCTGCAGGTCGTGGAGCATCGGAGATTCCCCTTGGCTACTGGTGGAGTTATCCCCGTCTTGGTGAGGGCAGATCGTGTGGCTGGACCGCCGCCGAAATGGAAGATCGATCCGCCTACGAGGGCGCCGGAGTGTAAGGAGGATCCACTAGCAAAGAACTAGGTTTATTTTCCGGGGCTAAACCATAGTATGCTTAGTCGAATAGACGAGGGGTTTGTGTGTATGTCTCGGTGAGTTTATAGACGTGAAAAAGTAAATACTAGATGTGTTATGTCCGGTAATTATGTCCGGTAACGAGGAAGAAGCGCTAGACCGCAGATGTATGTTGTATATTCGAGTATTGTACAAAAAGCTCCGTCCTCTACCATTATTTTCAAACTCGGATCCACCGTGAACCCCGTAGACCATGGGTGACTCAGTGAAATGTTATCCAAGCTGATGGGGAGGATTAGAAACTATCGTCCCAGATCAGAGACAGCCACATGCAAAGAAATGCTATGGAACCAAAATAAATGACACAGACGATGAGAGTTGACCAGCGGGAGAAATTTCGAACGATCTAAAAAACAGAGATAATACACGAAAGAAACAACGCCCAGAAACGTGGAAAAAATCACCCATCACCTCGGCCGCGGTATGTATCAGGACCGGTGAGAAATATAATATATGAAATTAGTTTTCGCTTTCACCAGCTGTAGTACGGGTTCTGTGCACTGATCTTCCGGTCCGGAAGTTGTGTCCACAGCTGAGCTTTTCGTTTACGCTGCGACTCTGCCTCTCGGTCCTGCCATTCTCGGATCCGCGTCTTCTCTTCCTTCAACACGACGGAGAGAGAGGTGTGGGGAGGACGGAGTAGATTGATCTGGCCTCTGGCGCGGTGGTCGTAATCATAACCGTACGGACCGCGGTTGACCCAGGCCTGTTCGATGTATATGGAAGTCGGGTCGGTGATGGTCTTGCGCTCGCCCGATGCTAGGGTGATGGTGATGGGTTTCTGTGTTGACGTGGCACCTTCCACCGCACCCAGACCCATCCCGTAGCGAACAATGGCGACGTTCTTCGCGTGCTCCAGGTGTTCGAGGACATCCTTGGCGGCTTTCTTCTTGCTGAAACGCATCTGCAGCATGGCCTCGTCGATGTTCTTTCCCGCAATCTGCCGGGCCAGCGGACCCAGTTTCTTGATGGAGGTTTTGAACCAATGCGATTTGGACAGCGACTCGCGTTCGGTGCGCAGGATCTGTTCGGTCTTTGACAAGCGGCCGCGACGACGAACCTCGCGAATGACCATCTTGCGTTCCCAACGGATTCGGGCCTGAGGACGTGGATCCAACACCGCCTGCATGTTGTACTTGCTCCGTTGTTCCACTGCATGGGAAGCCTCCTCCTGAGCTTCTGTAGACTCCGCCCGTTGCCTGCGAGCTGGTGTTCGGCCGGAAGCAATCAGCTTGGGCGAGGCTTCATCCTCTGCGAAAATTGAGTCGGCACTCAACGAGCCCTCCCGTTTGAGCGGAGCGGTGGGTTGACGAGTGATTTTGGGTTTTTCCGCGTCGGGCTTCCGACCGAACAGGAAATTCTTGAAAGAAGAAATGGCAGACGGCTTCGATTGAGGCGGCTCGGACTGGTTATTGGAGCCATTGGACCCGTCTTCTTGGGCTCGACGAGGGACGGTATAAGTTAGGGTGCGTCGAGGCACATAGGTGATGCCGGCTCGGGCTACAAGGGAGGTGGGTATTAGTAGAGTTTGATAGTATTCAGGCAAAAAAAAGAAACATACCTGACCTGAAAAGGTGCCCATAAGGATTGACAGCACCCATTGAAGCCATGGCAAATCCAGAGCGAGGAATGGGTCTCTCTGGACCGGAGTTGAGGCTGTGAGGGAAAAAAGTGTCGGAAAGGCTTGGCTGCGCCTCTGGCCTGTCGAATCCGCCGTAGTTCCATTCTAGGGAACGTATTGGGACCAAGCCACGTCCACGAGCCACCAAAGTGCACGAGCCACAGCTAGATCACCTGCTCCCTGTTTCGGTCGTGTACGGTAATCATACCGAATCATGTGGCTTTCGTAGCTGCAGCAGGAAATGTGCGTCTCAGCCAATCAGCAGCGCAGGCATCCTGTATTATTACCTCATGGCTGTCTCCGTCTCTCAAGGAGGTCGTACTCCAAGCAGCCCACCTAAACCCTTTTGAGCCCAGCCCTACCTAAAAGTGACCAGGGAGAAGCATCAGTGACAGGACAGAAAGAGATGGGAGAGATTTGACTCCCCGCAACTGATGGCTCCAGTCAGTCAGTGTTTCAAAGTCTTCGTAGTTGTCAAGCATCGAGGGTTCTGGAGATTGCTCCGTGCGGTCACGGTCAGGTCAACCCGCAATCCAGGCGCGGATCGATTGCTCCCCGAGGACCAGGGCAAACAATACTTTTATTTTAATTAATTCATTAGGGAATGTAGTCCAACCTCACTGCGTCATCAAAAGAGGATCGCATAATTCCCTCTCCAAGAGTCCAAACATCACTTAACATCTCATGCTGTGGTGATCTTCCCTGACATTTAGCCTCTTTCATTCTCCCGAAGTAGTTCCACGTTGTTGTCCAGCTCAGCTCCATCATCTTCTTTCTGCCTTTCATCCACGCCGAGCTCTTTTCCTTTCCTCATCCGTCCGCTCGACGACCTGCCATCTCCACTGTCTTGATCCACTCCCTGCCCTCACCTCATCGTCTTCTCTCATCTCTTCTCTCACCTCTTCCTGTAGGGACTCCCGCGTACTGCTCCTTGAACTCCCATTTTCGTTGTTTTTTTTTTTTTAATTTATTTTTTTTTTTTTCACCCCGGCAAGCCAACATTTTCTCGTTTCCCGCCCTTCTGGCTCTGTGCCACCAACGAGCTCTTTAGCTTCTCTCTCCCTACCTCTCTCGGCGGTAGCAGTCTACCTAGATAGCTTGTTTCTGCCCCCTCTGTCACTCCACGGCCGTCTTGTTCCTCACCTGCAGAGCCTCACTTCGTCAATTCTTCAACACGAGGAGTTTTTTGAAAGTTGGTCGTCGAATTAAATAAGGGAAAGCATCAAGAAAATATTTGCTGCTTTAGCAAAGGAGGAAAAAAAGAAAAATCTTTTTAGCTTTTCTTTCTTTCTTTCTTTTTTTTTTTTTTTTTTTTTTTTTCACCCACTTAAGAAGAACCTTTTCATTTCTTCTTTTTCCTTTTATTTTTAATTCTCTATTAACCCGCTCAGTCAAGCGTGGTTTAAGCTCCTCTCAGGCACGGACGAAAGGGGAAAAATTTAAAAGAAACCAACATCTCCGGTTCCAGAGTCTAGTGGGACTTGTGTGGCCGGGGCAGGAATGGACTCGCTGATGAGGCAATCTACGGCTGTACTTTAATCTGGTTTCTTTTTATCCTCCCGTCCTTTACATTCTTGTCCATTGTTCTGGTTTCTGCGCCTTGTTGGCGTCCCGTGCGCTGCCTCTATTTCACCTATCAACTCTTGGCTAGGATTCGCAACGGAATCGATGATGGACATCAGCTCCCTACTCTCGCCGCAGGATTCAAATTCGCAATCCGGGCGCTCAACGCCTACAGCTGCTTCTGTGTCCGGCAACGCATCAGCCCCATCCGCTGGTCCGCCTCCGAAGCCCCTGCGCAAGAATCGCGCAGGCACGACGAGGCAGGCCATGACGTCCTCGCCGCTGGCACAGCACGTTTACGCCCCAACCAATATTCCCGAGCCGTCCCCGCCCGCTATAAGTCCTACCTCTGGTCCAAACATGAGCGGTGGAAATGGAACCCCCCCGGCCGCAGAGTTGCCCACTCCAAGGCAGCCATCCACCCCAGGAATGGATACCCTCGCCGACCTGGCCTCGATGCAGCACCACCAGCCTCAGCGCTCCAGTGCCCCCCTCCTACGAAGCACCGAATCCTACGAAAGCCAGCTCTCTCCGTCGACCATGTTCCCGAACGTTGGCTCGATCGCTCACAATACTCCCACCCCCCGCTCGTCGTTCGATATCGCTATGTCTGATGTCCCCAGGGAAAGTGCTCGGAGGAATTATGTCGACACATCATTGGTCCCCAATGCTCAGCGTCTCGCGACTGAGCTCTTCAGTCAGATCCAGGAGAATCCACATTCCTACGAGGCGCACGTGAACTTCATCCGGCTCCTCCATACGGGATTCGTCAACCATGTTTACCCGCCCAGTAACCCAGATATCCATGGGGATCCTAGGAAATATGATCTTTTGAAAGATATGCGGACAGCCCGTGAAGAGATGGACAAGCTCTTTGCCATGGGCGAGGATCTGTGGGCAGAGTGGATTCAAGACGAGAGCATGTTGGCACAAAGCGTAGAGGAGCGCATAGCAGTTATGGAGCTTTGCCAGCGGTCAATCGAGGAAGAATATGGCAGCACCAAATTGTGGAGCATCTACGGGGAATGGGTTCTATATCTCTACAACTCGGCACATGGCGAAGCTGGACAAAGTCAATGGTCGGAAGAGGATCGTATAGTTGGGCGCGAGGTCTTCTCCTGGCAGTCGGTTCTTGATGTGTTCCAAAGAGGTTCCGAGGCTACCCGGTGGAGAATTCACGACAGCCACCTCGTCTGGGATCGATTGCTGGAGTTGCGAGTTCAAGATCTGGCTCGGAACCCCTCCCAGGAGAAAATAGGACACGTGAGGAACCTATTTGACATTCGACTGCAAACTCCTCATGCCACCTGGGACCAAACTTTCCAGGCCTTTTCTGGATTCATTTCGACTTATTACAACGCAAACTATGAGAGCATTATGGCAGATACAGCGGAGCGCTATGCAACCGCAACCAAGGAAAAGTATGCCGCTCGTGAACATTTCGAAACCAGGCTGCACAGTGTTGCCGAGTTGGGTGACAAGAGTATCGAGTGGACCATATTTGCCGAATATATCGACTGGGAAATCAGTCGCAACCTCCGGAAACGCCATTCCAATTTTGACCTGGTCAATGCCGTCTTCCAGCGTGCAGTGCTACGCTTTCCCACCGACGCTAACATATGGGAGGACTTCATCATGTTCCTGATTGACGAATCGATGCACGGGAATGCGAACACTACCACAATCTCCACACTCGACCGAGCGACTCGCCATTGCCCTTGCTCTGGCACCCTTTGGTCCCAATATCTCATTAGTTCGGAGAGAGAAGGACAGTCATTTGCCAAGATTGCGGACATCAAACACAAGGCTACAAGCACGGGTCTTCTCGATGCCGGTGGGATGGAGGAGGTTCTCAAGGTCCACACTGCATGGTGCAGCTACCTTCGCCGGCGAGCTTTCATGTCAGACTCCACCGATGAGGATATAGATGTTGCAGAGGTCGGGATCCGTTCCGCAATTGAGAGTGTGCAGGAACTCGGAGAGAAGAAATACGGACGTTCGTACCAAGGTGATCCCCTCTTCCGGCTCGAACGAATCTACATCCGTTATCTTAGCGAGAGTGGCAGCTGGGACAGTGCCCGTGAAACATTCAAGGGACTTGTGGGGCGCCGGGGGAACAGCTATGAGTTCTGGCTCACTTATTATGAGTGGGAGTTGATCTCATGGAGCAAGTTTGTACAGGGTGAGGCGACTGTCGATGCTGCCCGCCGAACCCCTAATCCCAGCTATGCCACTGCAGTGTTGAAACAGGCGATCCAGAGGACAGATCTCGATTGGCCAGAGAAGATTGTGCAGACATACATTGCTCACTGTGAAGACTACGAAGACTCGGATGAACTGCAGCTTGCGATTCTGGAAACACGGAAGGCCATGCGAGCCGTCACCGCGCGACGAGAACGAGAAGCTCGAGAAGCTCAAGAAGCCGCAGCCCAGCAACAAGTCCAGCAGGCAGCAGCAGCCGAGATGGCCACGCAACCTGAGAAGCGGAAGCGAGACGACGAAACCCTCAACGGTCTTCCCACGAAGAGACCACGGGCAGACGAACCGATACTTTCTACTACGGAATTAGAGCCAGTTGGCCTTCGTCGGGATCGCGAGAATGCTACAGTAGTCGTGAAGAACTTGCCTCATCAGATTACGGAGCACAAGGTGCGGCAATTCTTCCGCCATGTAAGTTCTGACCCTATTGAAGATCTTTTACAATATCGCGTTCCTGATGTTAGTATAGTGTGGAGTGATCAACGGTGTGAAAATGTTCACTAGTAAAGATCAGAAATCCGAGGTTGCCATTATCGAGTTCAACACGAGAGACGAGGCCCTCGTTGCTCAAACACGTGATCAGAAGACCGTTGACGAGAACACGATCGAAGTGCAGATTGGATCTGGATCCACGCTCTTTGTCACCAACTTCCCTCCGACTGCTGATGAGAAATACATTCGCGACCTGTTTTGTGAGGTGGGTTTCTTTGCACTGCTCACGCAATAGCTTTTTAACTCTATAACAGTTCGGCGAGATCATCGATATCCGATTCCCGTCGCTCAAATATAACACGCATCGGCGGTTTTGCTATGTGCAGTTCAAGGAATCCGAACAGGCATACAATGCCATCAAGTTAGATGGAACCACGGTGGGCCAGAACCTACAGTTGGTAGCCAAGATCTCCGACCCCTCGCGAAAACAGGAGCGCCACGGTCCCATGTACGAAGGACGGGAGGTTCACGTGTCGAATATCGACTGGAAAGCCAACGAAGACGAACTGAAAGAGCTGTTCTCGAAGTATGGAATTGTGGAGCTGGTGCGCATCCCGCGTAAGGTTGACGGTGGTAGCAAGGGCTTCGGCTATGTCGTATTCTCTTCTAAGGTATGGCGCACAGTAATAACTCTGGCGGAGTGCCGTAGTGCTAAATTATTTATAGGAAGAAGCGATTGCTGCGTTGGCGTTGCACGAGCAAGAGTTTCGCTCGCGCCGACTCAATGTGAAGATCTCCGCGCCGCAAGGGGCGAAGCGTAGTGCGACCACCATCGTGTCCCGTGTTGGGAAATCCCAGTCCCCGGCTCCCGAGGCAAACGGCACGAAGGATGAACCGGGCGAAAGGGACGCTGCCAGCGGCGAAAGAACAGCGCGGACACTGGGACTAATGAATGTCCCCGACACGGTCAACGATGCGCGTATCCGGAGCCTCGTCGAGCCGTATGGAAAGCTGGTCAAGGTGATCCTTCGACCGGATCACCAAGGGGCGATTGTCGAGTTTGCCGATGTTCAGCATGCTGGCAAAGCGTCTTTGGAGCTCGAGAGCCAAGAGATTGCGCCGGGTCGGAGACTGCACGTGGGGACAGTGACAGAGATGCTTCGACAGTCGGCGGAGAAGAAGAGCAACAATGCCGCTTCCGCAGCCAAGCGGAAGGCGCCCAAGAGTGGGGGGTTGCTCCAATCTAGCGGACCCATCAAACGTCCACCGCAACCGGGCGCGCGCGGCGGCAAGCGTGGAGGATTAGGGGTGAAGCGCGGCAACGTGGGCACCCAGGGGGAGGACCGAGGAGAGAAAACGATAACGACGATGACGATGACGACGGACGGTGCTTCCCCGGGCTCGGGGCATACCACGAAAAAGAGCAACGATGACTTCCGTGCTATGATCCAGCGGAGTTGAGCGGACTGAGCTTGGGGCGCAAAGGCGTACATGCATGGCGGATATGGCGTTTCCTCCGACCGCTTTTCTTTCGCGATGATGATTGATTGATTGGTTGATTGAATTGCTTTGACCTTCTGTCCTATTTTACGGGAGTTGTGTCTTTCGATCTCTGGCGGGTGCAATGATCTTGCCCGACCCATGTGTATTATCAGGTTTCTGACCGGCTGATATGTTTAAGTTGCATGGCTCATGTTGAGTGTAGATTATGTTTCCTGTGTCCTTTTTTTTTGATCTTTTATTATCATTTCCCCCCCTTGCTTTTGGTTTTTTTTTTTTTTTTATATATATATATATATGACTATGGTTGCCTTCTTGATCTGTACCGTAGCCAATGGATGAGGATGTGACGCCACAGCCCACAGGAAACTGGCCAGGATGAACTTGAGTCTCTTGGATTGGAGCCGTTATTCGCGCATCGCTGTTTGTCGCTCGCGATGTAACCGACAGTAGACAGTAGGATGGAGATGGGCGATAAACATGGACCACATCCCCGCACCAGGAGCGCTTTGACCGATGATGGTACGATGGGGTCAGTTGATTAACGGCATCGACGCTGGAATGCTGCGTTAATAGCCTACAATACAAATATATACGGTGTATATATAGATAGATTGATAGATAGATGGAGTGATCCTTTCTCTAGTACATCAATGGTACATCTGCGCGTGGCTGTTCGGTATGGCAATTCAAGTCCCTGGAATGATCGTCTGGGTCACCCTCCTTCGCGCATTCTCCGCCTGCAATTCATTTACGATCATTCTGATTCTGATTATGACTGCCTCGTAGCTTCCTGCTCTAATTATCTGTCCAGTATTCACCAACTTGGCCCCGCCTCCCTGGCCTGGTTGACTGATCGGCGTGGTGGATGGGTGACTGTTCTGCTGTACTTCATTCCTGTCGACTGATCGACTGGTCCTTTTCCACTTTCCCTATCTCTCACATTTCCTCCTCTCCCCAGATCGCTCCAATCTCCTTTCTTAACCCTGGTGGTCCTTCCATTGACCGAAGGGTCACTCTCATATACTCTCGATCTCGTTTGCTCTTCTCTATCGGCCTGTGGACTTGGTGGGCTCGTCCCCGACCGCTCGGTGATTGCTGCCACCGTCGTCATCACTGCTAACACCTCAACGCCGCACTGCCGCAACACCGCAACACCGCGACCGTGATGGATTTCCATCTGGTGCCTCGCGGGGAAGATCGCAATTACACGGGATTTTTAACCAAGACCATCGTCTACAGTGCTACCCTGGTTCTCTTTCTGACCTGTAAGCGCCCACCGTTCGTTTTCTGTCTTTTTGTTGCTTATGCGCTGATGGACGATACACTTTCCAGCATTTGGATTGTCCGTCTCGTCGATTGTTGCTCCAAAATGGGTCAGCTACCACAGTGAAAAGGTGCGTCTCGAAGTCGGCCTCTGGTGATTTTGGCTCGAATGCTGATCCGACCAGCCATCTTTCCACTACTCCTACGGCCTCCACCGTCGGTGCTCCTCCCTCACTGATACCTGCGAGAGCTTCCCACAACGCGAAGACTGCCATGGCGAAGACCGCTATTTTTGCTCCATGTGGCGCTCCGTCGGGTTTCTTATGTCCTTTGCGATTGTACTGGAGGGGATGAGCATTGTTGCCTACGTGATTATCCTATCGGGCGGGAAACGACTGCGCGAGTCGGGGTGGAAAGTTCTCAGTCTCTTGATCGTCTTGTCGGCTGCGGTGCAGGCCGCCAGCATGTCCCTCGTGGTAGGTTTCATTCCTGAATGAGACCATGCGCAAGTGACTGATGTCGTTCCAGGCATATCTGTTTGAAAATGAAGATCGCTTCTTCGTGGGGTGGAAACTGGATGAATCCTGGATTTACTGCACGGTGAGCTGGGTGGTGAGTCTGTTTTGTGCCGGGGCTCTGGTGATTGCAGCCTGGGTGCTTCCCTCCGAGGGAGGATATGAATTGATTCCGGATCACTCGTAATGGTGTATAAAGCAGATGGGACAGACGCAAAAACGGAGGCAGTATGAAATATCTGGCGTTGGTGGAATGTTTGATATGCCGCAAGTATTCTCATTTGCACTTTATTTATTATTTTTTTCATGGGCTGTTGATCAATTAGGCGTGTACATAGGTACGAGTTAGAAACTACGATTAATGGTAATGAGTTATGCTATTCCATCTGACAACACAAACTAGATGAATTCATTCTCCGTCTCTGCTCTGCCGGTGTCCTCATTCTGGACTCTCCGATTGACTATGTGCCTTCGAACCTGCAATACCTTCTTCCTCCCCCGTAACCCATGGCTTAAACGTAGGTAGGATCTCAATATCCGGAAACCGAATCTCGTTTTCTCGATTCTCCCTTTCCAAGAGGTCGAAATAGTCCTTCAACTGGTAAATGATGTTTCGAATATCGTCGAATGATTTGTTCGACCCCTGGTGGTTTTCTAACCACTCAGGGACAGGCGCTGTTTGAATAGTGGGTTTTTTGCGTTTTGTCTCTTCTGGATTGGGCTCTTCTCCTTTCTCTTGAGAATTGGCATGTTTCTGTTTGGCAGATTTAGCCATCACCTCATCATCTTGGTGTTCATCCTGGTCTCCATACAGATATTGATCATGTCCTCTATCCTGTTGTCCCTTCTCCCTCCGCATCTTCTCTCTCAATCTCAAATCCACCTGAAAATCCTGCACCCCTCCCCACCCTTCCATCCGATCCAACGAATCCAACAACAACTCACACTGCATGAACGCCCACTGCGTCGCGCGGTACCTTGCCCGCTGATAATGTTTCCGACAATAATGAACCCAGACTTGTGACGGGAACTGCTTCGTTGAGGTCTTGTTGCGGCCGAAGATATGCGAGATTACCTTCCTCAGGTGTGTGCCTGACCCTGGTCCCGAGCCAGAGGCTCCACCGGTGGCGGTGGTGGTTTCTAGGGCGGTGGTGCAGGGGTCGGTGCATTCGCATTTTGGGACTGGGGATTCTCCTTTTTTGGGGGGGTTGTATTTGGAGTTGGAGTTGGAACTGGAGGGGGCAGATTGTTGCGTTCGTGTTTGTTTTCGACGAGCGTCTGATCTTGCACCGCGTTTAGGGGCCATGTCACCTCTCTCTTTCTCTTTTTCTCTCTCTTCCCTCGGGTTGATGATTCATGGTAGATCTCTGGTAGATCTAGTTGGGAGATAGAGGGATGTCTACTTTTATGGTCCATGGTATAAAGGCAATTCATTGTTCGGTCACAGGTATATCATCGTAGAAATAATCAAAGACAAGACAAGACACAACATACATACAACCAATGCATTCATTCAGCCAGTCATTGTTAGTTTGTCACTATGTGCCATACCTGTCTTCCATACCAGCCCAGCTCCATTTTTAGCATGATCGATCTGTTTATATCAACGCCAGATATGCATGTACCCGTATTTCAAAGGAAGTGAGATGCAACAAAAAGGGGTAAATGAGAAAGAAATAAAGACAAAAAAACCAGAGTCAGAGCTACACTGCGTAACCTGTTGACCGTGGAACATACTTCCTCATGGCACGTCCGGTAGTACATCCCACAGATCCGATATCGATCGTATTCAGTTCGCGACTCAGTGCATCCATCCCCGGTCCCCCGCCTGGCGTCATCAAAGCGCGCTGTCCGATGGGCTGCGCGATGGGAACCTTCGCTGGGATCGGGGGACCAGGATTACCCGGGGCATACAGGCTCGACGGTGAATGGGACCCAGGAGAAGGGGAGACCGAGCTCCGACTGCGAAGCGAGCGTGGAGACGGCGTGCTATATGTTCGATTGTGCCCTGCACGACCCGGGCGACCACGGTGGTTCTCCGCTGCGTCTGGGCCATAGGAAGAAGGAGGACGCACGGGGGCCGCAGCGGGATGGTAGTCCTTTGGGGGCGGAGGAGGTCCTGGTCCTGGACTGGTGCGCGCCGCAGCGGCCGCGACGGCGGCGGGGTTCTTGCGGAAACGAACCACCACGCCGGATTTCTTCTTCCGGTCCGGCTCTGGCGCCCAGGTGTCCGTGGGGAGGTGGTCCGAGGGATCGATCTCGCGGCCGTCGTCGCCAATGATGGGGCCCGGTCCGCGCGCGGCTTCGACTTCGCTGCGACGAGCGGCTTCCATGGCCTGCGCGGGGGTCTCGTAGGCTGGGGCCGGGTCGCGGGTAACTGCGGAGCGGGCCGCATTGGGGTTGAACGCGTCAAAGGAGTCTGGGGAAAATGGGATTTGAGGCGCCGTGGAGGGCTCCCCCAAAAGAGGCTGCGGGCTAACGGACTTGCGGCGTGGCATGACACGTGGATCAGAGTTGAAGGACCGCCGGGGGACTAGCGCCTGCGTCTGTTGGGGCTCCAGCGGCGGTGGTTGCGACGAAGCATCGACAGGGTAGGGCGGCAGCCTGGCGGGGGATGGCTCGCGCGAGGGCGGACAGAATGGGTCATCGTCATTGAGAATGGCGCTCTGGCGGCGCGAGGCGCGACGCTCGTGGGCGACGCGGTCGGACTCGGCGTCGGCGATGGCGGGATCAAAGCCCGCGACTAGGCTGGGAGGCATGGAGGACTGACTCGTAAGCCGGGGGAGGTCCTGCAGGCGGGCCGCCGCGTCGGCTAGGAGGTGGTGGGAAGGCGTGGATCGGCTGACTTCGTGCGAGGTCCGGGGGGACGGTGCAAACTCTGGGGAGTAAGCATGGTACGAGGGAGTTGGTGACGGTACTAACTGGGAGTGAGTGGATGAGCCCAGGCCAGAGCGATGCACTGGCGGCGGAGGCGGAGGGCCGTCCTCCTCGTCGTCGTCGACGCGAGGCTGCATCGTAGCGTATTCGGCGTGTGCGAGAGAGTTACTATGTGGGCGATAAGCACAGTCCGATTCAACGGGCGTCTGGGCCATGTATTCGACCCCGTCTTGCACGCTGGCACCTCCGGATGACCGCGAGGCGTATCGAGCGGAGGGCGGGCAATTTGTCATGGCTACTTCGCCATTGGGCACGTAATGCTCCGGTGTAGGGAAGGAGTAGTTGCTATGGTGGCTGCTGGGCCGAGGAGGCTCAGCAATAGGTGCATGCATCATCATCTCAGGCGGCTGTTGCTCTGGCCGATTGACAGGCGTTTCCTGTCTCGTTGAGCGGTGGTCCACTGGCGGCGGCGGGTTACCATAACCAGACCGAGGGCGTACGTATGAGTGGGCGTCGTATGGATCTCCCGGCTTGTCCCCGCGGTACGATGTATAGTGCGTCTCTGGTGGATGGCGTTTCGAAATGCCCAGGGGTGGTGGTGCAGGATTCCATTGATTGAAATCATCGGGGGTTTCGTATGTTCTCATAGGCCGGGGAGCGGGAGCCGTAGCCGATTCGTACGACGCATCCGCAGCCATCGCGTGTCGGGGAGGAGGATGGCGCATGTGTTCCCCCGCAGGAGGCATCGAATGCGTGTGTTCTTGCATGGGCCGTGGAGGCGTGGCATAAGCCGGCACAGGCGCCGAAGACACCTTTTCGGGAGGACCTGGACGCGCAGGAGGGGGCGTATTGCTTGAATCACTGGCTAATGGACGACGTTTGATGTCTTTCAGCTGGCGGGGCCCCGAAAGCGAGGATGAACCGACGGGGGTCGAGTTGGCAGCGGCAGCAGAGCTGATAGATTTGCCGTGGGCCTTCTCTGCAGCATGAGTGCGGCGTTCAATGACGGCCTCATCTTCAGGTCTAGTATCATAGTAAGTCATCTCAATCCGGATATCGCCGGCATACTTGCCCCGGTGCTGCAGCGGGTGCCACTGATCACTCTGGCTGCCTCCGGGAATAATCAGATCTTTCAGGTCGACCCAGGTCTCACCGATCAAGTCAGTTCGTTTGTCGTCGTTGAACACGGAGACCTTAAGCCGGAAGTAGTCGGGCGATTCGTGGACGGTGAATCGTAATTCTTGATCCCTGGATTGCGTTAATATGTCGTCCGAGCTGACCTCGAGGACTTTTACCAACCATTTCGGGGTTTGACCACCTCGCAGGTCAGTCTCTGTTTTCTTGGCCTCTTTCCCAAGACGAGCTGCGCAGTAAGGGTTCTGTTTCCCCATGGTCTTGCGATTGGGGAGATTCTTGGCACGGTCGATGACGGCAACCAGCGTGCCAATGGCGGGGCCATCAACCGACATGTCGGCGAAGATGCCCGCGGCGTGGTTGATCATTGATAGTCGAGACGGTTTGGATTTGGACGACATGATCAAAAAATGGAGCCCGAAGAAATGACGAATAAACGTATAGAAGAGAAGAAGATGACAATGATGGGAAAAGAGAAGGGGAAAAGTTGTATGAAAGCTCAGGACTGCATGCGTTTCAAGGGATCCAGACGGATAGACATGCACAATCGAGGAGCTATACTATAGTCTATGGCAGGCCAGCATGGGCAATGACAGGGAGCAAGGAGCGTAGAGAACAAGGGTCAACAAAGAAACTGGATGAAGTCGAGAGACACAAGCGCCGTGAGGGAAAAGAAAGTAAAATGAGGAGTGAGACCGGGAGGGGAAGAACGAAAAACAAACACACTTCGATAAGAGATCTCGGCGGATAGGCGTCTGCACGCGCTGGTTGGCGGATGCCCTGCAGGTGGGACGGCATGCGGTAATGGGGTGGCTGGGGGGTGGCTGGGGGGGTGGGGCCCAGAAGTTGATTGGTCGATAACTCTGTTCCTGCATGGAAAAGGGTGTGTGGCCAGCCCCACCTCCTTGCTGATCGTCACTCCTCTGACAATACCGGTACGAGTACTGTCAGCCCTGCCCAGGCATCAATTCGACCAGCCACGGCATTTCCTCGACGTGCAATTTTTTGTTTCATCATTCATGCCGCTAGCGTGTCCATTCCCACGTCGAATAAGCTACATTACGTAGCTGTTGAAAGACGGTCGGATGCCGCATGATCAGTATCGTTTATGAAAGACGGAAGTACGGAGCAGTTTGGGGAATCTTGTTGCCTGTCTGACCAGAGCCCCTCAGATCTACTCTGTACTGCCGGACTTCTATATTTACCAACCAACTACTACTGAGTATACTCCCTAGGCAGCTGTAAGAGTCGGACTACTGGGCATTCAGACAAGGGCATTGCTATCGGGATTTAGAACAGTGGATGACGACATTCGTGCACGATCAAGCTGCATCTAGAACAAGCCTTTGACGGATTTGATAGACACGACCCACCAGTGATGAGTACATGAGTCCAGGCTGCTTTTTGGGATTGATTATACTCCATCACGCTAACAAAGATGATGTACATATGCCTACTGCAATGCTGATGATACCTTGACTAGCGCAACCGTTATTAGGCAAATCCGCTCGGCAATGATCGACTCCTAATAGTAAGCCGATCCCCGCCACAACGCAGCTTTAGGCCAGCCTCTAAGCCAACCTTTACGGATGGGCCCCTCGATACAGAACTAAGACACGGAACTAAGGATTCGAACTGTGTTGCTTGGGATACCGGCGTGGAAAAGATATGAGTTTGGCCCACACCAGAGGCCTACGTACGTAGGCCTTACACCGACAAGTACGCTATATACCATACCTCCTAGAGGTATTCAGCACACAGTTTATCAGTGCCGCTTTATTGAAAGTGCTAAGACCTGTTCAATAACTTGCATTTTCATTTGTTAACTACCTATCGGGATTTGGAGCTGGATAGGCGCGCATGCTGGGTGCACTGATCCGCATAGCCAAGCCATCCACATAGGCACAAACAGGGAAAACAATCATCAGTCTATCGGAGCAATGCTGGAGTGTTCTATACTGCTTTCTCAACAAGCTCCATTACCTCCGAGCCAGAAGGTGTCTGATAGGATTACAAATATCCGTCGTGTATGGAGCAAGAATTCCCGGGTGTTAAATGCTGAGTAGCAGTTGGGTTGCCACCCCGCATGTGGCACCGACAGAAAGTGCCATGGCTGAATATCTGGCCGGACTTTCTAGCAATTCGAGAGTACTGGTGATGGTGCCCTAAATATTCCATCAACATGGTTATTCCTATTACTGACAAGGGATAGAAAAATACACATACCTTCTTTCCATCACTGCCGCTCAACAACAAACTTGCGCTGAAGCATCACCAAGTCCCGCTCACCAGGTTTGAAGCTGAGATGCCTTGCTAATGGATGGCAAATAGTAGCTGGTTCGGTCGAGAAAAGACCTAGCCATCGCATAACCTGAAATAATTCGTTCACTTTCAGCCTTGTTGGAAATTCTATAGACTTCCCCGATGCGTGCTATGAGTAAGCTTTAGATTGTATAAAGTCGGGTTACATTGACTATTCCTGTTCGGAGAGCTGAGAAACTCCCACCTTTCATTCGAGTCAAAGCACCCAATTTCTGTTGGATCTGGACCCATGTTATCCCTGACTCCAACCAGGACTTTTCCTCCTGGTCGAGCCATCCAAGGCCGGTCAAGGCCTGGATAAATTCTGAATTGCACTTATATCTCAATGATCCTCTGATAACGATTTCTGCCTCCGGGATGTTATAAAACTCTCGGAAAGGAACTGATTTTGGATTCGGATATGCGACAAAGGAGTACCCATCCATTATATAATGCGGCTTGGCAACCGACATCAACTGTGCCGCAGGAATACCCACCTGCTTGCCCTGATGCCGAAAGGATGCCGAGTTGCTTTGGGAGCGGATTCACCGAGTGGAGACCAGGAGGACTTAAACGCAGGTGGATTATCAGCGCAGTCCGGAGCTGGTAAGCCTCCACAATAGGAATAAAACTCCAAGACCTATCCCTCAAAACAGAAACAGTTACTATAAACCGTTCAATGCGTTTGGACGGATACCGATCTTGCCTCCCTTTTCATGGACTTCATTGATTGTTTTAATGGCGTAGAGGTGGTCTACACAGGAATCTACTCTCACTTCATTTACATTCAGTACCGTGATTCCTACCTCTTTCACAACGTTGTCCAAGGCTCGCATCTCTGATGAGACATAGCTGGTGGTGACCACATTAGTTTGTCCTCCTTTTGATAGTGGATTAAATCCAAGGTTAAGCAGGAAACTAATATGCTTAAAACTCTTAATAGACCTGATATATTAGACACTGGATATAGCTACTAAACTTGTATAGATTTAATATCTCTAGAGCAGACAATATGCACTCTGTCAACAATTATGGTAGTATTGATTATTCGGCACCTTTCTCGGTCAAATGTTGTTGATGATACAACACCATCAGATCGCTTATATTTCCTATATTGGTTATTTTACATTCTTCGTTTGTTTACGTCGCCTTTATAAACGCGAGATGTTTTGGTAGTTTAGTTGAATCAGAGACTTTATTCAATGGAAGATCGACACTTGCGAGTACGCGTATTTTATGTTGGACATACTAGTTATCTTGTAGAGAGATAGCCTTCTTCGAGTATTATCATAGCTATCTCATAGCATCTTTGATCACCTGACGCCCGCTTTTGCGGCCAACGACTAGCATAGAAATGAAGCCATACAGCCACATATAAATATGATGTTGGTTAGATTTCTTGTGGAATAGAATACTCAACATGGAGAAGCTATGCAACTAATTTTTTCCGTCCCGAATCTCTGCAGCAGCCGGATTTGCCTCCCTCGCCGGTCAACCATTATAAGGGCCTTTTCATTTCCTCCTGGCATTCCGATTAATCTCTGCAAGAGCTGCTTCAATTGGGGCCATATTGGTGGTGTGGCAGTCTTTCGATCATGTCAAAAGTTGGTGTGTAGATGAAAAGCGGGCCCCAGATGAAAGCGGGCGTCAGGTGATCAAAGACGGTATTAAATGCTGATCTCTTCAAACCATCCAAATGAAACACTTACTCTTGATGTGTTCTGAGATCAATATTCCCTATAAACATACAAAGGACACGCAGTTTCCCGCCATGTACATGTTTATATTTGTCCCTGGATTCCCAAATCCCACACCCAGACGGATATCTTATATTCAGTCATGGCTGGGTTGGCACTAGCTGGATACCTAAAAGGCCAAGAAGACCTTGGCTCACAGTGGATCATTCTCTATGGTGCACCACAATTGGGATGACACATTCCTGCCTTAGGCAGCCAGAAGTGTAAACATCTATGCATATCGTTTATCATCACGTGCACAGATTTGAGCGATGACTAAGCCCAACACCCAATCGGGAAGCGCGAACTTTTATTAAAAAAAAAAAAAAAAAAAACTCCAGCTTCAACTTCAATTATCGCCGACGCCGACGCAGCTGGCCGGTTGAACTACTCTCAGAGTCTATCCTCCATACCAAACTCTTGTAGTACCAATCGCAACAGGAATCGCAAATAATAGCCATTGCCATCCACAGCAGCCATGGCTGCCCCAGTACTCCCTCTACAGCAGGTCAAGCTACCTGCGCTGCCCTCTACTCGTTTAACTCCGGAGCAGCAATACTGGAGGACATTCAAGAACCCTCTTTTGATTCCATCTCCGGCCAACGGTCCCGTCAATTTCATCACTCAGCCATCCGCTCCATCGTCCGCTTCGGCCTTTCCCTCCCTCACTCAGCCCCCCGATATCTTCACCGTGACCACCGGTGCCCGTGTCCAGATCTACTCCATTCGCACCAGGAAACTTCTACGAACCATCACGCGTTTCGATGATACCGCTCGGGGTACTGACGTGCGTCCCGACGGTCGGGTACTTGTTAGTGGTGACGATACCGGCACTGTACAGGTGTTCGACGTGGCATCGCGAGCTATTCTTAAGACATGGAAGGAGCACAAGCAGCCGGTCTGGGTCACTAAGTTCTCTCACAGCGATGCGACCTCCCTCATTAGTGCAAGTGATGATCGGACCGTGAGATTGTGGGATCTGCCGAGTGAGAGCAGCGTCAAGACATTTGTGGGCCACACCGACTACGTGCGCAGCGGTGGATTTATGCCAGGATCTATGGCATCGTCGGGTCTCCTGGTCTCGGGCAGTTATGACCGCACCGTGAGGTTGTGGGATCCCCGAGTGGAGGGTCGATCAGCGATGACATTCAAGATGGGTGCCCCGATCGAAAACATTCTGCCCATGCCCACGGGGACGACGGTGCTTGCAGCGGCGGATAACAAGATCGCAGTGCTTGATATTGTGGCGGGTAAGCCCTTGCACATGATCCAGAGCCACCAGAAGACGGTCACAGCGTTGGCCTTGGCCTCCAACGGCGAGAGACTGTTGAGTGGTGCTTTGGATGGTCATATGAAAGTGTTTGAAACGGCGGGATGGAATGTCGTGGCTGGAGCCAAGTACCCATCGCCAATCCTGTCTCTGCGCGTTATTACGTCGGGCATGACACAGGAAGACAAGCATGTTGCCGTGGGAATGCAGTCCGGTCTGCTGGCGATCAAGACCCGGCTTTCGGGACAGCAGAAGGTGCGGGAGCGGGAGCGGCGGAAGGAAATGCAGGCCCTGCTGGAAGGCAAACTGGACGAACATGACCGGAAGGTAGCCAAGCAAAAGAAACTGCGTGGCTCGGGCTGGGAAAGACGACTGCGTGGACGCGATTTCATCGGGGAGGGCGTCGACATTGTGATCGAGGGCCGGGATCGGAAGAAGCGGAAGAAGGAGCAAAGTTGGGAACACGACCTGCGCAAAGCGCGGTATTCGGCCGCTCTGGATCAAGTGTTAGCCTCGGCCGACAGGACGGCGCAGCTTACACTATTCACAGCTCTACGACATCGGTCCGCGCTGCGGGCGTCGCTGCAGGGTCGGGACGAAGAGACGCTGCAGCCAGTGCTGCAGTGGGTGCACAAGAACATCCGGGAGCCACGGCTGGTGAAGCTGTGTGTGGAGGTGGCGATGAACGTGCTGGATATATACTCAGGGAACCTGGGACAGTCGGCGCAGATAGACAGGATGGTGGAGCGATTACATCGACGAGTGCGCGACGAGGTGGAAATGGCGCATCAAGCGTGTCAGACGCAGGGGATGCTGCAGATGCTACAGGCGTTGTGACCATTGCCCCTGTGTTATTCTAAAAGCCATGTTTCCATCTTTGGATTAGAGACTACTATTTCGCATTCGGATACCTGGTTGGAGTTTTGGGGTTCGGGATGCAGAAACATTTGTTATCATAACAGAACTAGCGGGTATGAATTCTGATGCACGCCTTCTTATAACGTAGACATGGGCATCATCATCCATCCATCAGAGATACAACTTCGAAAACCCCTCTCCATTCTTCGGCGGCTGCAACCAATTCCTCTCATCGTATTCCCATCCATCCGCTCCCTCAATAACATGAAACGTATAGGCAAATCTGCTCCGATCGCTAGTATTTTTCTCACTCTGATGCAAGACATTCCCATGGATCAAGACCAAAGAACCAGCCTTAATATCTAACACCTGGACGTCCTCCGGCCGCGGCACCGCGTCGGGTACCTCCTCCTCCTCCATATCCCTAGGAAGCACCGCCCCCTCATTCTCAACAAACTCAGTCCCCAACCCATCCTGTCTCCTAACAAACCGTCTCTTTACCGCGCCACCGGCGCGTCCCTTATGAGAACCGGGAAACATCCCTAACGTGGCATTCCCTGGCCCCGCATCCTGCAGGGCAAACCACCACCCAACAGCGGATGGTGGACTCGTGTACAGAAACTCCGAGTCCCTGTGCGGGGGCACGGCACCACCTATCCCGGGCTGTTTGCAGATGACCATGCTCTGGAGGACGCGCGGGTCGATGAATCCCAGGGACCGCGCGATGTCTGCGTTCCGTTCACTGAGCGAGATCCGCTCAAATGGCGCAGAGAGACTATGTAGTGAGTGGCCGATTTTGTTCACGGCTTGTTGCTTTGGTCGATGGAGAGTGGGACGGCCTGTGATGGGGTCTGGAGAGGAAACTGCATCCGGCTCGAAGAAGAATCGGATCTTGTCCCCTGAAGTGAGGAAGTAGTCGTCTCCGACATGGGGTTTGTCCTGCGAGGAGTCATCGCCCGTGGTGAATTGGGTGAGTGGGTGGGTGTCGAGATCGAAGTTGTCGAGGAGGGAGTGAGTCTCGGTTAGGAGACAGGTGATTTCGGTTGGGGATAGGTAGTCGGGGATGACAAGGTAGCCGTTTTCCTGGAAGAAGGAGAGTTGGGAGGGGGTGAGGGGCATCTTGTAGAATACTATGTCGAGTACGGGTCTAAGAGAGAAGAGGTGGAGAAAAAAGAGAGAATGCGGGGGAATGAACTGACTTTATATGGAGTACCTAACTAGTGGGGCATCAATTGGGGAATTTCCTTATCAACCATCGTCTCCATCCATCCATCCATCTCCATATCCTGACTCAGTCTATCTAAATCAATCCTTGATCAACCGCAGCCAGCGTCCCATTCTGCAACACCCCCCTGATGTCTCGCCACCAATCCATAAGCAAACTGATACGGATCCAGATACGGAAGAATCTCGTCCGGGCCAATTTAAGAGAGTAGCGATGCTATTCCGAAGAGTAAGAAATTGCTCAGCGTTGTTGAATCTCGAAATATGCACACGGGTAGATTCAAAGAGTCCAGTCCTTACAGGATATGCAGAAACCTTGCCATCGTCTGCAGACTGCAGGAGAATAGTCTCAGTATGGGTTGCTAAGCGCTGACGGTGCCATTTGTCGGTCCCACTAGCCCTTTTTTTTTTTTTTTTTCGTTTTTAACTTCAGGGATTTACGACGATGAGGTTCGAAGACAGTGATACGATTTTAATCTAGAAATAATGAATTAATATACAGTAACCCCAGTACTGGTTACTTTGTCAGGTGTCAAAAGTATCTAGCTCCCTGATTACTCGTCCAGGTTGTGTTTCCATATAGTGAGAACTGCATTCTAAAGCATTCGTTAAAGAAAGAGGGAAACAGAGTGTAAACTTCCGAACATCCCAAGACAGTGCGAATTGTGGTTTGCAGTGGGCGCTTGCAGAAAGGATAAGCGTGTTTTATTGTACAGCAGTAGCTTCTGGCTGCTCGGTAGCCAACTCTTCCATTGACGTATCCCAGACGCAATGGGCATCGTGAGCAGGAATAAGACAGACCGCAAGTGGAATATACCCTCGATTGTGATCGCTGAGATATTTGATAGAGTGTTTTTCGATCTATTTCTCCTGATGTGAAGCTATGTGCTTATTTATAGTTAAAGTAAATCGAGAATCCTCGGCATCATTACCGTCGCTCCAGTGCTTGACAGAGGTCCCTGGTCTCCATGCTCATAGAGGAACGAATACACACACATTCCATAGAGATCGCGGACGATAGCATCTCTATGAGCTACGTTATATTGGGCAGGTTGGCGAAGACAGGTGGGACATCCCTGGCTGCGAGGGGTCAACGAGCAGCTGTATGTTGTGCAGCAGTTTCCGCAGGTAATGTAGACATTAGGAGTTATACGCCATGTACCAGGCTAGCCTGACGCAGTGTTCAGGGATCAAGTACAAAGGATCGGCAATAGTGGTTGCGGTAGAAGGGAAAATCCGCGACCCCGACTCAGGATGTACTCTGACATCTTGTCAACGAGCGTCTGTTTATGGTAGACGCGTCAGATGAACTCGCGGAGCTTTTTCCTCCCGGCTCCTGCCTCGCGTAATGATCCTAATCTCCCGGCGTGGATGAAGTTGTAGCGTGTTTGGACTGACTTCGAGAAGCACACATTGACATTCCGGATGTGTAGGGTAATGATATCCCCGCCGACGGTGACGGGGTCCCGGCCCGGACCCATTTGTAATGTTCTGAGACGGGCCCTCTGAGTGTGAATTGTATGCCGTCAGGTACGCTGCTTCAGGGGCACTCTAAACATCATGCTTAGAAATAGCGCCCATTTCGTTCTAAAGTCTCTAATGTAAGTAAACACATCTATACTAAGCAGTGCTGGGATCTCCTTGTGCCTTACCAGTATAAGTGGATCTTTTACTCGCGAGAGGAGAATATGATAATTTAACAAGGGAACCAGGAGGGAATGATGGTACTACAGAGAAATACAGCCTCTGAAAGCTTCTGCTAAGTGCTTTTCCGAAATACGGTGAAATCAGGAAGACTATAACGCTCAAATGCATCGGATAGTGTGTTTTATGCCGTCAAGTACTTATCCGTGGCTGTGTATTCTTCCGCAGGACTCTTTCTTAGATGTTTCTGTCCGATAAGAAGCCATTGAGTGAGGATTTAAGAGCTGTGGGCAGGTTCTCGTATTCAATGTCCAAAAGCCTGAAAAGATTTGGACATGAAATATCCAGGCAATCTTAGATAGTTCCAGATACTGAACTGGACACTACGTCCAGTGTTCTTCCCTAAAGCAAATGGGAAAATGTGAGAAGATTCAATGGCATCTCCATCATCTGTGACAAGGCATTTATTATTGCCTCGCTAGAGGACTAGCTACTTTATCGTCAACAAGGTAACGTGCATATAGCGAGTGAACTTACGGTTTTCTTAGCTGCTAATACACTTTTCAGTGGAGGGGTAGATGGCTGGGGCTTATTCCTGATACTAACTGCCTTTCGTTTCTTTGATAATTCCTCGTTCTGGTTACCCTAAGCTGGTATTTTTCCCTTTAAACAACTTCGAGCTGTCCCTGATCACAGAATTATTAGCGGGATGTTCTTCCTGTCTATGGAAATATGTCAGAACCTTGTAGGCATGCCCCATGTCACATGAGGAAAAGATGCTTCAATAAAATTCCACAGGACTGAAAAGGGTATCAAGCCATTGTTAGCCTGGTAAATATTCTGAAATGTCGACAATATGCTTGATTTTGCCCGTATCAGCTGGCACGAGTGCCAGTAAGTAATTGAGGCATCTCCATAGTCATCTCATCAACGTCGGCTACAGGTCAACATCCTGAAGATTTGCAGGCTCCTAATTAATAATTACAGGTAACATTTCTTTGTACGCAACTTGTCGTTAAGCAGCACTTTGAGGCAATTAATTTGTCTTTTGATGGGTCACGGCCGAGAAGGACATGAGATGACTACAACATGTCATCGACATAGGGTGGTATGCTTTAAACTGGGCAAAATGAGATGCGTCTTCACATAGCTCAGTTGAGCCCATTATTGCCATATTGAAGATACGTTGGCTTTCACCGGAGAGTTGGCTGAGGTATTCAATAAGCTGTCTAACATCTCGATCTCCAAATGTTCTCCTCGAAATGATCTCGTTTGTGAGCTGCTCGTAAAGGCGGAGGTGCAGACAGAATTCCATACCTCGTCCATCTAAACCGTATGCTCAAGGACGGTTTCCTTTTTTTGCAACTGCTGACAATTGTATTTCATAAAGTGGGCGGAGAGCCTGGAATAGTCCTTTGAAGTATACCTCATTTTCCTCCCACATGTGCAAGCATTTCACCATGACCCTTGGAACCATATAAAGCCTTGTAAATGTTGAATATCGCTCCATATGCGTATAAGCTCTCTGCAGTTTCGACAGAGGTGGCATACATATTTTCACACTTGTAATACCTATAACAAAAAATGAAGGGAAGGTTTTTTGTTACCGAGCAGATACAGGGGGTCCCAGCATCCTGGACTGACCCTGTCGGAAGGGATAAAGTTTTCATCCTCAGAAGAGGAGTCATTGCCAAGTGTGATTAGTAAAGGTTGTTCTGCTTGCGGGTTTTGTTTAACTGGCTGCTGGTCCTTGACGGGTTGATAAGGTTGAGGTTTGTGTTCAGGCGGCTGGTTGCTCTTGGTGGCTTGTTCAGCGAGCTTTGCATGGGCGTCCTTTTCAGCTCGCAACTTGTCCTGTACGTTGGATTTCTTTTTTCCCTGGCAGTTTTTGCCTGAAGGAGTCGTATGTGACGGCCAAGCAACTTGATCAAATTGGTCCTATCTAACGAGAATTTCAAGTGTAGAGAGGAGGAAGAAGGCTGGTATGGAGTCCGGGCACTGTCAGTCAGGTTGGACAATTTCAAAAAAAAAAAAAGATTTTTGCTCTAAAGAAAGAAGAATATGCTGGTGGATAAAGAAGGCTGACTAAGTTTGACTTAAATGATGTAGCTCCAAGCAAGAGGCCAACAATTATTGTATTCAGTTGTAGGGGGATCGATAAGATCGGTCGGTAATGCTTCAAGGGTATGAAACCCATAGGATGGGACCCATAAGACACGTCTAATATCTCCCCTGTCGCCGAGGTCGTATTGTCAGTTTTGAAATTGGAGTTCATTCATGACTGTAGGCATTTTGCACAGCACTGGCTTCCTGGATGGTGTCCATGGAATCATTATGTATAACAATCCGGGTTGTGGAATTTCTCGTAGAAACTAAAAATATAGTTGGCTAAACAATATATTAGTAAATCCACATAATGAGTGAAGGCAGTCTGACTATCTGGGGGACGACTGCACTATCACCTCAAGGACAAAGAGCCTTTCTAGCTCCACGATATCTGTCTCGCTGTTAAAAAGGTTATCTCAAACTGGTGATGGGTACTAATGATGTAATATAATAGTCCTTCCGCCATCTTGGTTTCTTTTGTTCAGAGGACGGAAGGTCGACGATAGGTACTAACAAATTTGCCCTCATCTTTCTGCGATATTTGGCCAATGGAAAGGCATCATTGCAAAGCGCTTTTTTCCCCAGACTAAGCAGGGATAAGTCATTGCCATAAGCTGCTATCAACAGGATCACTCTGGCCGTCAGTCTTTCCAAAAGACCTTGACGTTAGACCAGCAATTTCCCAAGGGTTCAGAGAGAGGTAGATGTTGTCTCAGGATTGACAATCACAGCTGGACTTTGATGAGCCCTGGGGAGTAGCATGAAGGTGCGTGGCATGCTTTGATGTATGGATACTCATGAAGCCTATTCATACACATGGTTTGTCGAGAGCAACTGTATTCACAGTCAATTATCGTTGCCTCTTCCCACGCATTTTAGCCGATATGATGATACGTTCTCCGGAGCAGGCAAAAACGTGACCAAAATAATGGGCCTTGGAGTGTTTCAAATCCCCAATTTAGGCCCTTGATGAGATACCTAAACTCCAGGCGAACCCGGATACTTATCTCCTCAACCACCATATCACTCTCCTGTATTTTGGATGCTATCGAGTGTTGTATAGCGGTATGTCTTCCTTCTTTCGTTGGCTCTCACTTCCCAGCTCTCGTTATTCCCATCAACCTTGAGGCCCCTTATCTTCTTTGTTGTTTTGCCTTTCACAGAAGTAAAGCGCGCAACAATAGTTTCTCGATCGCAATCTCCCTATGTTCTTCAAGAAACAACTCGGGTATCTGACATAGATATGGTTGGGATAGGCTGTTCCGAATTACCATGCAAGGCTCCATCAGCCCCAGGATGTTCTTGTCTCTTAAAGGGCAATCCCTAATACTCGTTTCCATTCCCAACCTATATCGGACATAAATCCATATATAACTGGCAGGTGTAGAGCATGTTTGATTCTATTGTTCTGGAAGGACGGATGATAGACACATCTGTTGCTAAGCCGTCTGGTGTGAAATCGAAGTGGAGGAAATGGAAGGTGGCCGACGGTGACCGGATCGTCATGCTCGACTAACTCCTTCTCTCTGGCCGCCTGAGCGTCAGTCAGGATTCTCGGTGCTTTTGGAGGCTCGAAGGTTTGAGCTTCCACTGGATACATCGTACACGAGTCATGCAGTGGGGGAAATGTGTCATTGCCTGCCATCCTGAGGTTGAAAAAGCCGTCCAGATCGGGCAGCGGGCTTGATCCACCATCTAGCTCCAATGTGCAGCTTAACGCTGGAGAGCCTGCACTGGCCGTCGTGTGCAATGTACTTTGTTATGACTGAGGTTAAATAAGAGAAGGGAATTGCCATGGTGGTGCAGAAACGTAATAAACTGGAGGTTATCTAGTTTTGGGGGCCATTAATTGTATTAAGGATCGATTGAGGTTTTATCCCAGAAGCAAGGCATGGCATGCATGACGTTGTATATTGAAACGCGAGAGGCAGCATGGCTGGTTGTCACGAAGATGGATCCATACACGGAAGATGGTGAACCAATTCGGATTTGTTGAGCAAGGAGCTCAAGGTGTGTGAAATATAATTTAAAGTTCATATAGTTCTTGGGATAGAGGAGAAACTATAATATAAAATGCTGTCTGTCTTGGGTGGTAGACTGAAACAAATAATGTAGTACCTGATGCAAGAGGAAGAAGCCGAGCTCGTGAGGGCTTATATAATTTTCCTGGACCTTAAGCCCGTGAATATTTTGACAAAAAGGAACAAGCCAAAGGAATCCTACTTTCACTGCTCTGGGCAAGCATATTGAATGAAAGAGATTTCTCTCCATTCCCTGAAAGGAAGCAGTATGAATGGGACAAAGAATAGAAAAGCTAGGGATTGGAAGAGAGAATAGTATCGTACGCTTCACTGAATCATCTGATGGACTGCCTCATGACGCCGCATGGCATATATCATGATGAATTCTAACATCATATTCATTCCCTTCACCGACATGCTGCCTTGGGGGCTTTTTATATCTTCATGTAAGCGAACTACTAACTAATACATATCCCATCATGTGGCTATTCTCCCAGAAACTGGCCGCCTAAGACCATGGAGTAGGCGCACGAGAATTCTAGAACCAAGAGGGAAAATATGCCGAAGCAGCAACAGAAGATCATCAGCTAGGGCGGTCCATAGGCCAAACTAGCTTGTTGCCGATTATGCCAGGAGAGGTGGATGTTGTAGTCGTGAATGTGGATGTTGTTGGGGACCGAGAAATGCCGATTGTGAAAAGATCCTGGGTCATTGTACGGCGGCATGTGCTTGCTGTCAAGAGAAGCGTGGGTTTAAACTGGATACAAGCAATAGGAAGGACGGTACCAACCAAAATTTAATGCCAAAGGGAAGGACAACTACAGCGTTGGCATGGTGGATGTCTACATTTGGGGTTCTGATACGGACTATTACAGAGTATTTGTTATAACTATTGCTGGGAGTTAATAATGATAGGTCTAAAAATAGCCTGTTCAAGCCACCGTAGCCCTATGATCGACTTCAGCTCTCAGTAGGCTTCCCTATAATCGGAGTAGTTCTCCGACTCCATGATTAAGCACCTCTGGAACTGGAACTGACACATAGAAAAGAATTCCCCAGGCAACTTATTTTATAGCACGATGACGTCATAAGCTTGGCAGGGACATCCCCGCAAAAAACCTTCGCACCAGCTGACCAGCGTCAACCCAACGACGACGGATTTGACGGGATTGAGCCACGGATTCCGTGCTCGATGTAGAATGACCCAACACTCTCTCCACAAGTGGCACAAAGGGTGTTGCCACGGACCTAGACTGGTCGACAAGGGCAGAATTTTGCGTCTTTTTACCTAAGATTTACACATTCTACCCCGGTTCTCGGCGCCTCCGGCCTATCAAAAATCGCTCATTGTGTCAGACGAGAGTCGCAGTGCCAGACCGCCAAGAGCTTCAACTATTACGATGGATCTTGCTGGACTTTTAAGAATGACCGGCCCGGCTACTGTCGGGCCCCTGACCGGTTTTGCGTCAGATTCCATTCCACAGTTGATCTTTTAATTACACTCGGTCTACCATGGTGAATCTCTTCTCATCCACACTCAACGCAAGTGCATTCGTCCAGCAATGGTATTCGAGAGCTTACCGACAGAGCTACGCATCCTTATCCTCAGGTCGCTCCCTGACGAACACACATTAAAATGTCTGGTCCACGCTTCCCCGGTATACCACGACACCTACGGCCTAGCCAAAAAGGATATTCTCTGTGCGCTTGTCAGGCGACAGTACGGGGTCGTCGGCCTTGAAGAGCCTCTGGCAGCTATCCACTCGGAGGGTCTTCATGCCGAGGTGGCCTGCAATAAGGGCCAGATAACCACGCTTTTGGATCAACTCCGCTGCCATCGAGAATCCTCACTAGCTTCCTCGGCAGAGGTCCCAGGTACACAGGAAAGCATAAACCTTCTACACCTCCACCGGAAATTGAGGTTTCTCCTGAACGCCTACTGTGCACGCGCACCATGTCCGCCAGGCGTAGACCCCAACACCTGGCAGCAGAATCTACCCCTACGGCCGTCAGCCACAGAGAAAGCACGGATCCTCCGCGCGCTCTGTCGGCTACAGACATACTGCAACATCTTCGGGTCACGTGAATGGACTCAGGAACGTCCGTTCGATCCGACCATTTCCCTTCCGTGCAAACGGGCCTCGTCGACGTGGTACAGGAATTTCACCATCGACCGCATGTGGAGCCTGTTCTTCGGGGGCATGCCGACGTGGGAGGTCGAGGAGTTCGGATCTGTCTGGATGTTCATCCGTCACGAATACAACAACGTGTTTGCTCAGATCACGCGCGAGTTTCCCAGATCTGACCCCCGATGGAGGGCTCTTCGACCCAATTCATTACCAGTGGACCCGTGGGAGCTGCATCCGAGTCCAGATGGTAATTCTTTCTCTTCTATTTTTATGATTTCCGTTTTGCATGCTCCTACCTGTTGTATATCGTCTTGACGCGCTAACCCCGATACAGCCGACGATGCTCATGACTGCAGTATCTACTGTAACCATCTAGTTTCGCTAGGTCCCGGCTTCCTCTTCAAGGTGCTTACTCAGCCCTCTAGAGAAGACAGCTGGCGTCTAGTGATCAGTAATTCTATCTCCTCAAAATCTTCCTTTCAGGATCTGGTAGAGGTCGTAAGAGATCCGCACCCGTTACCCACCGCGGACCAGATACACCCTGAAGAGGATCTTTCATCTGTCGTGATCGAACCCAGTCAGTGCTGGAAACAGCACTGGCATGACAAGGGGGTTTATCCCCGCGACGGTATTTCACTTCCGGCTGAGGAATCGTCGCCATCGTCACCACAAGCACAGGACCTGCCTGTACGAGATCTGGCACATTTCCAGGGTTGGGAATGGGGCTACGCGTTTTGGGATTACGGGCGCATGCACTGTGGAGTTCAGGTCTTTTGATGCCTTTTTTTTTGAAAGGTTAGCGATGCATTTTCCTTGCATAATACCATTTTCATCTCGGTTGCATTTCGTAGAAGGTATGGGATGGGGATGGATTGGAGGAGTCTTGGTATGACCATGTCATGACCAATGATGCTTGAGAGAGGACACTAGGTTCATGTGAATATCAAACGACATACAGTCATTTATCAAGACGTCCCGCCGCTTCCAGAAGCACCCTATCTAGCGTCTCCGTATCCTTAGACACGGTATCATGATCCGATCCAGGGACGGTCCTCGTCTGGAAATCCAACAAATCCTGGAACTCATCATCACCAGTTCCCATCCAGCAATCCTCCACGTATAGCTGTTCTGATTCCACTACTTTGTTTCTCCAGCCCGACTAACTCCCTAACAAAATCCCGATAATCCTCACATTTTCCCCACGTATTCGATGATCCCTTCCGGAGACACTGCAATGCCTCGGAATTTGCTCCCTCGGCGCCTTCCTCGAAAAAGGAGCCGCCATATCAACGGTTCCAATTCCGTTTGTACGGAGCGATCTAACCCGTGACGTTCCTCCATTCAATGATGATTCTTCTCCTTCCATGAAGTCTCATCAGACATACCGCTTGATCGTACTCGTACAGAGATCTTGGTCATAGCCCCGCTGGATGCCATCATCGACAATAACTTGAGAAGCATGAATTGGGGACCTGGTTCTATACGCTAAATGCCATTTCGGGGAGCAGCTGTGCCAGTTGCATTGTCACTCGGGAAAGGGATGGGTGTACCCATGGAGCTACCTGCTTATTAGCCCTTTCTCTAAAATATTCATACTCTTCCAACAAGATGGATAGAGAAAACGTACCTAACAAAGTAACATACGGTTGATACAGATGCAAATTCCCCCAACAATGGTACAACGTATTCAAAATATTAATAATCCCCAAACTATGCAATACCAACGCGACGTGGACGATACGCAGATTGGCTAAGAGTCGAGGGACTAAATCCAGCCAGACGGGGAGCTGGGTTTTAATGAGGACGTTGGTGGAGTTACCTATTTCTGGAGTATATTATAATCAGCTCTGAAAAGGCTATAGCGCTTTACTCTCTTTGGCATGGAGCATTCAAATTTGAAGGAAAAGGGGCGAAACTAGTGAGAAATTGGAAAAGGGCTTTCATTGTAATGAGCTTACGGTTGTGTCATATTCTCGCAAGTGATCTAATATAAGTTTGTCTGATTACTAGAACGCAAGTATACTAGTTAGCCCTTTGCAGCGGCGAAACCAACGTCGCAGACCAATGAGGAACAATCCTTGAAACCCCTGACATTAATACGATGGGTTATTTATATAGTTATGAGAGATGTAACATTGTATTGATTGACTCTTTAATGCTACCCATAGGGTTCGCAGTCTAAGCTTGCTGGAATACAAGCCCTTGGTTCGTAACATAAAAAATACGTATATTGTCAAATTTGTCTTAAACAATGAGGAACCTTGAGATCACGAACTCCTCTTAAGTGACTACAGAACTTGGAATATGCTCAAAAAATGCTCTGGTTTGGCTGATTCCAGGCTTCAGCCATATCTGTGGACAAGATCTCTCATATCATTGAGCATCCTATTAGCTTTTTGTTAGTGCATCCCTGACAACAAACAGTTGCAAAAACTCTTACTGCTCCCTAAGTGTATGATTCTCTGTGAAGAGGGCAGAGACATGGGTGTTGAATCTCCTATTAGAGTGTCAGCTTCCAATAACTATTCCGAACGCGGATATCTCACAGTTTGTAAAGATCCAGACGGCCATCATAATCTTCCTCGGGTGGTGATATCTGGATATAGGATTGGTACGCAGCCAAATATTCGTCACCAAATCGGTTGCAGATAGGCCGCCACTGGCCAAATTCATCTACATGTAACATATGTCAGCCTGAACAGTATCTCTAATAGCTGATACAACGTACATTCATTATGGGCGTAGAAGCAACAGGCGTCAAACACAAGAGACTCGCCTGTTTCTACGTCGAGGCCCGAATTTGCATACCAAAGGTCTCCGTGAACAAGTGAGGGCTTCACCAACCGGCCCTCGGTTTCAAGGGGACGCAGTAGACGAGGTATAACCTTATCAAAAAGGATCGGCACTAGGCAATCTAATTCTGAGTGAGGGCCCTTGGCCTTGACCTCAAGGTCAAGGGCCATCCTCATACTTTTTGCGAAGAAAACTTCCCAACTTTCTTCCCAATCGTTCATCTGGGGTAAGTTACCGCTATACGTGGTCATGTGAAAGCCAAATTTGCCAGTGGGTGATGAACTGTTCTGATGGAGCGCCGCAAGGCGAGCAGCGAATTTATGAGGATCTGGCATCTCATCAGTCATCTCTCGATACTCGCATAGTAAAAAGTGCATGTCTGGAATGTTGTAGTAAGTTCCCCACGCTATCGGCTTTGGCGCGAAGTCTGGCAACAGAGTATATATAGCCTTCATTGACTCGAACTCCCCATGAACCATGTTCTTGCCTTGTTCTCTAGGCACAACTTTGATAAAGAATGAGAGCGGCGTTCCGTCAGCTAATTCAACATTTATGCGGCCAGTGTGACCCCAGAAACTGATGCCATGACTCTCGGTAGATACAACAAGACATCCTTTAGGTAATTCTTGGCAACAGTCAGTCAGTATTGGACATGACTGAAGATACCGAGGACTCACCGGCAAAAACGCTCGGATCGACAATGTTGTCTGCGTCGAAGTCCAAAATATGGTCACCAGTGCATTCCATGGCCCTTGAGAGTTGAGTCTGAACCGTCGATTTTTCTTTCTTTCTTTCTTTTATATTTCCCCTATGGTAACGATATGAGTTGAGCTGGGATCGAGGTAGACTGTATAAGAGAAATATCGAAGGAGATTGCTATAATTTAGACTAGAAAGTGGAGAGGCGAGGTTGTCCTTTATCAGAGTAGAGTAACTAGTTAACTAATGTACGAAGAATTATCGTAAGCGCCGCCAGGAGGGCACAAGAATCTTGGCGTCGTAGGATGTTTCGTCATTTCTAAAATTCGTGGCTGCTTTGCCGCCGACACCAGAAGAGTTAAGCTTGCATACCTTGACAGTAAGCTGTAATATCGTTGTGAAGTCGCGTTAAACATCATGTGACGCCGCCTTATTTCCGAGTTTGTGCCCCGCAGTAGAAACTTCCAAGATACGGTCTTCCATCCCCTCCACGAACCTGACTTGGACGCCAGCATCTTCCAGGATCTTTCTTCCTGTGTTTTCAGCAATAAATATCCCCGGCTCCTTAATTCCCACATACACGACTCGGATTGCATCTGCAAGCCTCAGGATCCTTTCCACGCAAGTTCTATTACCGCTAAGCCTCTTGCTGCATGGCTCCATGGTAGTGTAAAGGACCGTATTTTTGGGTAAAACCTTATGGACTTGCTCTGGCGGTAAATTGTATTTTTCAGCGACTTTAATAAAGCAGCATTGCTCCGCATGTGTGTTGCCTGGATCTTCGGGCCTATCTCCTGGCAGTTCCATTGAATACCCGGTTGACAAAATCTCATTCTGGTCAACATCGACTAGAATTGCGCCCACACAATACTTCGTAGGTGCTGGAGGGGAAAGGCGGGCCCTTTCTAGTGCATATTCCATATACCCCTTGTGGTCTCCAGCTGCGATGCTCGGGTGACAAGCTGAAAATTTCATCGTAGAGTTAGACATGATAAAGACGAGTTAATATTAGAAGGGGTTAATGTGTTGGAGCTTGTGAAAGAAAGCACTGGGTTTATTATTTTGGGGGGAAATGGTCGTCTTGGCACTGAGATCCGTTGGTAACACTGCTTTGGTCATGACCACCCGGTCCGGCCCGTTCTTTCAACCTTTTTCAGGAGTAGCGTGTAGCACGGCCAATCATCTGACTTACTAAATTCCGAATTTAGTGAGCGGGGGAGCCTATGCAAAACTAACGTACTGTCAGTCACATTATCACAATCTAACCCCCCGAGGGGTTTGCTGATAGGGTATGAAGGGGCACATTACCATCCCTCTTGACGCCTTCATATTTAAAAATGATTCCGGCATCCTGACTGGGTGAAACATACTAGTGCTGACACGTCACATACGCATAAGATTCCCATGTGGCCACAAGCCCATAGCTGACACTATTACCGCAGCTGGCGAAATGTTGGATGCTTCCTCTCCAAAGCAATTATTTAGCGTGTGTTTATGCGCAAACTTGAGTCCTATTAATTTGGAGAGAAAAAGATGTTGCGACAAAATGGTAAGATCCCATACCTCTGATAGGCTGGAGCGAGCGCATATTCCAGTGCTCTGCTAACAAGTCCCAACTCTTTAGAATCTATCAGAAACATTAAGCCAAGCGACACGAAACAGTCTTCGGGCACTCAGCACAACAGTTTTGGATCGATTGACGAGAATTTCTCAACAACCGCTGGTGACATTAGACGCAATTTAAAAGGCCATCTGGGATTGAATCTACTTCATTCACCCTTGCAAACGCTCGTCGAATTTATCTTTGTGCACGGCCTTGGTGGTGGTTCCATGAAAACATGGAGCAACTCAAGCTCTATATCAGACTACTGGCCGCAAGCATGGCTTCCAGAAGATCCAGCGTTCAAGAACACTCGTATACACAGCTTTGGGTATAATTCAGACTGGAACAAGGGCGACGATAATTGCCTAAATATACATCATTTTGCTAAGTCACTGCTTGGAGAGCTCAGTACTTCTCCATCGTTAAGCAGCGCCAGCACTCCAATAGTTTTTATTGGACATAGCATGGGAGGTTTGGTTGTCAAGAAGGCATATCTTTTGGCAAGGCAGGATGCTTTTTACGATACCCTTGTGAAACGAATTCACACGATGTACTTCTTCGCAACGCCTCATAGAGGGTCCGACTCGGCCAAGCTATTAGAACATCTGCTTCAAATCACCTACTCTTCTCGGGCTTATGTCTCAGATCTTAAACGTGGCTCTGAAGCTCTACAGTCCGTCAATGACGAGTTCCGCAAATATTCGGACATGATAGAGTTCTGGTCGTTCTACGAGACTAAGAAGCTTAAAGTGGGATTCTTTAGCACACTTATTGTTGACCCGGATTCTGCTACACTTGGATATCGCGAAGAGCACCAGATTCCACTGAACGCTGATCATCGCTCAATCTGCAAGTTTGGAACGCCGCAGGATCCGAACTACATAACAGTTCGGAACGCGCTTGCCTCCACTGTTACCAGGATATCCCATTTAGGTATGGAACAAGGTGCATTTTTCCCGGCAATCGCTCTACTAAACATATTCTAGTACTGAACTCGAAGGAAAGTATAGCGCGTACTCAGATTAAAGACCTTAAAGAATATCTTGGGGCTCCCGAGACTCTGGATGACCTGATTCTTGTCGAAGACGCTCGTATGCCCGGTACCTGTGAATGGTTGGAAACGAAGAAAAGCTATGTGAGATGGAGCAGCTTCGACTTTAAGGCTCCACATATATTTTGGGTCGATGGGAAGCCAGCAGCGGGAAAATCCGTTCTCGCTGGGTATATCATTGACAAATTACGGAGGAAAGGAAACTGCAGCTTTTACTTCTTCAAGTATGGGGACAAATCTAAGTCTCGTCTAGACAACTGTTTACGATCACTGGCTTTCCAGATGGCATGTAAAGACTCCCACGTACAACAGGCGATCTTGGAAATGCAAAAGAATGACATCAAACTTGACAGCACCGATGAACGCATTATATGGAGAAAGCTCTTCCTCTCTGGTATTTTCCAGGCAAAATTAGAGAAACATTATTGGGTCATTGATGCTCTAGATGAGAGTGCGAATATAGCTTCTTTTTTCGATACCGTGCTGGCCAAGCTTGATTTGTCCATACCACTACGAATTTTAGTCACAAGCAGAGAGCGCGCTGAAATAGGAAAGCATCTTAGCGGCCTCGATTCTCACGCATTTCAATCTGAAAAGATCTCAACATCTGATACCCTTAATGACATTAAGCTTCTCGTCGAGGCGAGGGCAAGATCATTAATGGTAAAAGATGATAAAGATCGTGTTGTTCTGATGGACAAAATACTTGAAAAATCCCAGGGCTCATTTCTGTGGACTGTTTTAGTCCTTGATGAGCTTTCATATTCCTATACTAGGCTGGAAATTAACCAAGTCCTAGAGGAGGTTCCTCCAGGTATGGAGCTCTTATACCAAAGATCTCTGGACTCAATGTCGCTAGCATCACGGGGAAAGCAACTTAGCAGTGCTATTCTCACGTGGTCCACATGCGCAACTAGGCCGCTAAAATCGAATGAACTAGCATATGCCCTAAAGTTGGATACGGGGGACAGCTTTCCTAAGCTGCAAGATGCTATTGGGGCTGTCTGTGGCCAGCTTGTAACGGTTGACAAGTTTGACAACGTACGGTTGGTACATGAGACAGTCCGAGAATTCCTCCTAAGAGACGACTTGGCATCTGAGTTTGCCATCAACACAGGAGTGGCTCACACACGGATTGCACGGGTGTGTCTCCTGTACCTTACTGGGGAAGAGATGAAGCCCCCTCGGTCCAGACGTAGCGCAAGCGTGTTTACTGGGGAGCAAAGGGCAGAATTTTCTACATATGCATATGCGACATTCTCCTATCACTTGTCGAAAGCTGACCCGCTCGCACATGATGTTTTTCTACTCCTCGACAAGTTCTTAAAATCAAACATCCTGTCTTGGATTGAGGTCATTGCACGGTCCAAAGATCTCACGCCCCTGATTCGCACAGCAAAGCATCTCAAAGTATATCTCAATTCTTGCAAGGTGCAGAGATCTCCACTTAGTGGGGCAATGCAAACTATTAAAGGCTGGACAACGGATCTAGTGCGCATCGCAGCGAAATTTGCTGACGCGCTCATAATCTCACCCTCTTCGATATATTCGCTTATACTGCCTTTTTGCCCCAAGAAATCCACTGTATATAAAACTACACATCCAGGACGAAAACTATCAGTGGTGGGGCTTTCAAGTACTGAATGGGATGATCGGCTAACATCCATTGAGTTCCGTCAGAGCCAAACAACCGCCATCTGCTACGGTGATGAATTTTTCGCAGTTGGTCTTAGTTCTGGGAGGATCGCAGTATACAATGCCACAACTTACCAAGAATACAGGTCACTGAATCATGGCGAGGCCGTAAGGATATTGCAAGTTGGAGGCAAACCGGAATTGATTGCAGCATGTGGACTGGAAAGCATCCACCTCTGGGAAATTCGCCACGGCCACTTGATTCACAGATTTCAATCTCCACATCGGTCTGTAGGCCTCGCATTCGATAGGGATTTGCTCATAGTTGCCTGTTCGAAGAACTATTTGACGTCTTGGGATCTGAGCAATGACGGGGTCCGACTCCCAGACAGGCCGTGGAATGATTCGGAAGATACTAATATAAAGACGCGTCGTGTACCGTCAGCCATATCAATATCTGTTGGTCACCAAATGTTAGCCGCCGTCTACAGCGGTAGACCAATAACGCTTTGGGATCTGCGGGAGGATACATATTATGGTAGCTGTGGAAAGAAATTACCTGATGGCGAAACGAGCACACATTTGGTTACCGCCCTCATTTTCAACCCTAATCCAGCTATCAACCGACTTGTTGCTTCTTATCTGGATGGGGATCTTGTACTTCTCGACCCTTTTACAGACGAGGTCATAGTCAGCCTCCGTGCGGATTGCCATACTTTAGCAACCAGTGCAGACGGATGTCTACTTGCCGGCTCGGCTGGGTCTGGAATTATCCAGATCTACGAATTCGACACGTTGGCGATGCTTTACCGTGTCCAGTCTTCCAGCTATTACATTAAACAGCTGGCTTTCAGTAAAGATAGCCTCCATTTCGCGGATATTAGGGGCTCAAAGTGCAATATTTGGGAGCCTACGGCTTTGCTGCGAAATTCAATAAGTGATGATAGTAGCGAAAACACATCAACGACTGTCGTCGAAACTGTGGCGATAGATTCAAAGGCTAGAATTAGTGTCATGGTCGCGGACCCTAGCGAAGGAATTGTTTTCTGCAGCAAGGATGATGGTTCTGTTTGCATTTATGACTTAAATTCAGGTGTAAACCTACGGACAATCTACAGCCACAAGTCTTCCGTTAGCACACTTGCTTGGTGGCCGCAGAGGAAGGTCATCATGAGTGCCGACGTCTCAAACAGAATCTTTGCGTGGAGTCTGGAGTCACCGCGCGAACGATTACTGGGTGACAAGGAGTTATTTCAGTCTCGTCTTGGCTGTGGACAGGCAATTACTCAAGTTTTACCGAGCGACACTGTTGGGAAATTTATACTCTCAACACGGGAGACTGACCACCTCTGGAATATTAGTGGTCATGAGGAGGGCGTACGGGCATTCAGGGAGCGACCGGGCATAAGGAAATGGATCCAGCACCAGCAATCTCCGCATCACATAATAAGCTTCGAGGGAACAACGGCTCGCATCTATACGTGGAGTGACTGGTCAGAAGTTGCGACAGTGGAGCTCAACATTGATTTGACAGGACTGCAAATAAAGAACATTATCCCGTATGCATCACGAAATAGAAAGCGTGTCCTCATTGAACTGTCAGAGTTGGATGGGTCCGCCAACACATGCGACCTTTACCTGCTCGGTGGTCTGCCATATTCCACCAAATTTATAAGACCATATGAAGCCAATCTTGAAAAATCTAAGATTGGACTTGAGGCTGGCAAAACCTCAGATGACGGGGAAAGAACCCAAGACGGCGACGTGCTAACACCTCTTATAAGCAAGAGACTCTCGAGTCTCAAACACCATGTTGCCCATATCATTGGGCTTGATGTATCCAGTAGGATTGTCTTCCTTGATAATTACTCTTGGGTTTGTTCCGTTGATCTTGAGGAACCTGAAAACAATCCCGTATTGTACATGAGACATTTCTTTGTTCCTTACGATTGGTTTTCTGGTGCAAGAAATGTAGTTGCTTTGGTTACTCGACGAGATGTCCTAATCGCACGAAATTCTGACGTCGCGATTGTCCGAGCAGGCCTCGAATATGGACAGGCCTCGAATATGGACAGCGTTCAAATATGAGACCGGAAACGGCTAAAATTTATTCTGGTACATTGACAAAAGCTGCAATGGTAAGAGGAGCCCATGTTATTCTACAGTAACGGAGAACACGCGGCGATTTCGCTAGAAATATAGCTAATACATGATATGCTGGCATGCTGTATGTACCACCAAGGGGTTTGCTCTCAGAAAAAAGGCTATTTTTGGTAGCTCACCAGAAGATTTCTATTCTTTCTCTTATAATTTTTTATGTGACATTATGGGAGTCCTCAAGGGCTTTGTATATTATCAAGTTTCATCCTTAGAAGTACCGCGCTTCATCCTATCCATCTCGTAACTGATTGACTTCTCACTGAAAGCTTATTGTGATGTTTCTGTCATATATCGAGCGGCTAATTCTTGTCACTCAATTTGGATTGGCGTTGGATTATGCGCCCCGCATAGATATTGTTAAAGGATATCAACTAGGTCACAAGATCGTATCAGCTCTTCTTTCGAGGGATTCCATTAGCTGTTGGATTTAAAGAGCAAAATTTATCTATTGTGCTTTGGCCGAACTATCAGTAGAATATCCGTGCCAGATTCGTGGCAGTACTCGAAGAATTTCAAGAAGAGAGTATCTTTTCGACAGCTCCACTGTCAGCATTTTGATTTGGGACTGTCAGAGAGGCGTCTACGGATCCTTCTTGGCTTCTTTGCCATAACGTACTGGCTCGATGATTACTTTGAATATGGTAAATAGGGCGGAAACATGGCCTTTAAAAACCTCGCATCCAAGAGACTAAATGGCTATTATTGCCACGTAATTTCAAATTGAAAGTCGAAATAAGTTTTGGAGGGTGTTCCAGGTGCTCCCTTCCGTGATTGAGCTAGTTAAACAAGAAACGTCGACTAGAATAATGGTACTAGCTTCAGTCAAATGCTCACTTTCTTTGAGTGCTTCGGGTTCCTCAAACAGGGGCAAAGAAAATACTGCTTCCAGAGGCAAAGCAGATATGTAGTTGTGCGTGTATCACGATTATATACGCCTGTTCGTGGAGATTATGGAGAGGTTGAATGCCAGCCATGCTGGCACTTCCATACAGGCTGTCATGTCTCAGATTTTAGGACAAGTAGACTGGGTTAGGAATATATTCTGGTCAATCACAACAAGCAGCTGACTTCCCTCCGTGGGACCTAAACACCCCAGGGTGCTACATACAATCACTGACCAGAGGAGGAAAGTCGACCGTTTCAGAAGTGCAGCTTTCTGAGCCAAAGGAGACATTAATATAGTGCGGTTAGCTTCAAGGGCTCCATTATACAATGATATATCCCATTTAATGGGCACTGAAGAGATGGCGAGAACAAAGCATACCTCGAAACAATTTAAGAATAGTAGTATGTGAAACTCTTTAGTCTAAAGTGCGTCCGTCCACTTCCAGTGCTTTGGCGACTGCAGTGCAACTCAAGCCTAAAGGAAAACTAACCCCAAGATTTAACACAAATACCACCAACGTCAGATAATACACGCGTACACTCATAGTACAGGGTATTTAGCATACTGTTGTGATAGCGCCTGCACCCACTAATTGTTCATTAAGCCCATCGTACGTTCACCGTAAACCGCTATTTTCCTTCTTTTAAGAAAACAAATACCTTCGCTCCTGAAGCATTACTTGCTATAGTCAGCTGTATGACTGCCCACATAGGAGGGCCTGACCTAATAAGATAGAAGCTTATATCACACCCGCCTCCTCGTCGGAGGCTGCTCAGGATTACTGCTGTCTAACACGGCGTACCTTGTCCCTGTACGAACATCATATTTAGAGATGTGATCCTCCAGTTCGGATTTTGATATGCCACCAAGTCTCTCCTCAATCTCTCCTGGTTTTGATTTTGCGTCAATCAGAACAAAGCGTTTCTTGATGGCCTCGTCCACCAGACCTTTAATTTTTGGAGACCGTACTTTACCATGTCAAGAATAAGAAAATAATGGTCTCTAGCAAGATTATTTGCCGTCAGCTGCATGTCGAGCCTGGCATTTGATAGAACTTGTAATATTCCCGAGAGTTGAATAAAAAGAACACGAGATTAACATCTTCAGATAGATGCCAGTTGGAAAATTCTCATGGACAGCACTTCGGTGAACAGAAATCGGAGTCTTCTGAGAGATTGGGGCTTTGCAAGTCTCATCTTTGAAACCAGCCGCAAGGGTACGGTGCATTGGGCATTATCCATTTCGCGACCAGGTGATCCGGAAGGATGCGGCTGCAGCTGCTCAGGGATAGTACATATGGACTCTGGAAATAATTCTTCTTCAATCAAACGAGTCTGAGGTGGTTCTCATTGTCGCCTACTGATGGCTGCCTCTCTCCGTCTGCTCTAGCTGTCCCAGGACGGGTGATAGGACCGGTGTTTGCTCAATAGTTAGCTGTTATTCAGGATGAGATTTGTTTGGGTATGAATGTGTCAAGAAGGAGCTGTCGGCCAAAGAAAGAGAGGAAAATATCTCGCATCACGGCGAATGAGCTTGAGTAGTGGAGGGGCTCTTGCTCCGGGCCCTAGATAAAGTTAAGAAAGGAAAACTGTCGCTCGCTTCGGTAATCTTTTTGGAGTGGATGTCCTCCGCAACAGCTGGGTTTCGAGCCCTCTAGGTTTACTAAAAGTTTCGGATGCTCTTGATCTATGATATTGTACTCTGAGGAGTTGGAACAGCTCTCGGAACCTCCTGGCTAGATAAACTGTCTTCTTTTCAATATTATCGCCCAGGATTGCTCCAAGAGTTCCATCAACGTAACGAAAAGGCTGGGAGATTTGTATCACACCCTACAAATTGACCCTTAAGCCGGAAACCCAGCCGATGAGCCGCCTCGGCAGGTTCGGTTTGGCCCCGTAGCTCGAATAGAGGCTCTGACGCTTATCTCGGCCAATTCGAGAGTAAATAAAATACCTGAAGGCAACTAACCAGAGCTGCAATAAGCTCACCTAGGCAAATATTTCTTCGGCCTCGTCTGGAAGCGCCTTGGCTTTAGGTGAAATATCCTGGCATTTGTTTTCTGATATCTAAACACAGCAGTGAATTATATTACCATTCCATCGGTGGAAGGCGGCACCCCAGATTGACAACCGAGGGTTAACACAAAAACAAATCTCGCATAGCCTTCGAAGGCCCGAAGCATTTGGCATCCTTCAAGAAAAGAGACTAGGACAATATCAGGCCGGGAGCGTCTTCAAACCCCTGAAGGACTCTGTCTCGATCATTTTGGTTAGAGACTCGGGAAAAAGAACCTTCCCCCATCCTCTGAACAATGAGTGAACGATCATCTTGGTATTAGACCCTCCAAATACGCCACTGACTGGGCATCAATCGATGCCGCAGTACTACCGGGGAACAAACTGGACCATAATAGAATGACTTCTCGCATGTAATGACCATGACCTGCACAGCATTAGCGAATCCTCCAAGACCGACGACAGAACCAAGGCATTCCCTAAACCCTATCACAACGTGGAGAAACTACATGCTCAGGATTTCGGAATATAAATCGTTCCCAAAGGCCACGGTATGGTGTTAAGGCTTTGAATGCTTCCCTAATGGGAGGGTCTGATCTACTCTCTGCACGTACTTATGGTCCGCATCCGATGGAAATCTACGCGCCAGGATTTGACAGTGCCCGCCGGAAAGTCGCATAATAAAGTTCGAAAAAGTCCAGTATCCAATGCACCATCCATACTAGAATAGCTCTCAGATAATCTAGACCTTAAATTGCAGAGAGATCTGTCACGGGCAGTAGTAACCGGAAGGTAAAACCAACCAAGCCACCTAAGATGCCTAAATTTCTAACCTAGGTCAGGGGTGAGTTAGTGTTAGGATAGACAGATATACTATTATTATATCCAAATTAGTGTAGCGCTCCTCTAGTGCTGTGGTAGAAATCTGACAGTTAGTTTTCAATTCTGCCAGCAATGATGATGAATTAGTATCGACAAAATCGGTCTATATTACTGATTATTCAGCATCCTCTCGGTCCGACTTTGTTCCTTTGTTGACCATTTTTATTCAGTTCTCCCAGATAGACTCAGATAGTCAGAGACCTTACCTTTCAATATAGATGGATCCTTATCCATAGATCAGTGATACTAGCTCATACGCATATTCAGCTGGCCGACAATTAGTTTTGATCACTTTGGCCGTATCCGTCCAGCCGTACAATGCCGAATCCCCAAGCATCCGTGTGGCGCCTATTTGGTGTACTCGAAATGTATTACTATGACGTAATGGATGTAACCGAATTAACGTGTGTATATCTACGTTTCTAGGGATTGGAGGTTGGCATATTGTATACTACTCCATACATATAAACGAGAGAAATACACGAACTCTCCAGAGCCTGCTAAAGATGATATATTTAATGCAAGTGATCGAATCTAGACTTCTTGAGCATGAATGCCCCGATACCGAATATGATCAAAGACAGATAAAGCAGTAAGCTCACATTAAGGTTGACTTCCTGATTTACACGGCAGCAAACCATGTCTCGTACATGCCAATACCGGGTGCGGGTAATGGTATGTTTGAACTTTACTCAGAGTTCTGGCCGGTTATTTCCACGCTTTATGAATAAAAATACTCGCCCCAGCGACCCTCACCGCTTTCACGGTTCGAGCCTCAGTCCCAAGCGTAATCATAATCTCTACTCTACCTGGCCAATGAAGCTATTTACAGCGCCACTCCCCTCTTGTCTATAGTATACAGTCATGTGCCGTCTTCCTAGGTCTCCCACCCAAGCTCTGACTCCCATTTCTCCTCTGCAGCCCTAATTAATTTCCCGTGGCTAAATAAGTATATTCGCATTTTTAACAGTAAGAAGGCCCCTTGGCATAACTAGCAGCGGGATTTTGGGGCTATGGCGTACTCCCTATTCGTAAGGACGCAAGTTATATCCTCAGTTATATCTACCTTGGCTTGGGCGCCAAGCTCGGCCTAGGTATACTAGCTTGGAAAATAAAATTAAGTTGTTATAAAATCCTGGCTATATTAATACTAGCGGCTGGGCCCTCGCTAAATATAACAAAGATCTTTTGAGCCTTAGGAATATTGTGTCGTAGCTTTGTTAATATTATTGGCAGTAAGTTGATCGTAGAACTTAATATTAGCAGAATTTCCGGCCCTAATTCTAGGTCCCCTGGCCAATTACCCTGTTCTATTCCTCGTTGCTATTACATATTACAAGGTCTGAGATGCAGTCCTATTATTATACCGCCGGTAGTAGTGTTTATATACCTAAATAGGTATTTGTCTAGGGGCTGAAGCTCATATGTAAGTTTTAGAGGAAAGAACTAAGGAATAATTTAATAATTGTAGCAGTAGTTGGCGAAGTCTTGGGTAAGATGTAAATTGTGGTTGTCTATTTAGAGTAGACAATATAGGCCACAGTTATGGCCAAAATGGTTTTTTGCCTATTTTTAGAAATATTAAACCTATTAAAAAGCGCAGATATTATTCACCCAGCCGTTTGGCGCGGGAAAAATAATATAATCGTCTGGTAGGCTAGACTCGCTGGGATTTTCCCTAGCCCAGTTGGAAGCCAGACTTATTAAATTGTAAATATTCGCAGGTCTAACTTTGTAGCACTTCAGCGCTATTTCCAATTGATCACACCAGTTAATTATTGTCGAACCCTCTCAGCATCTATTCGCTCTGTCACCTTAGGCCTCGCTTCTGGGAAGACGCTTGATAAAGTTATAGGTCTAGTTTTTACAAACATGTTAATTAGAACCACTGCACGCTAATCTTTTACACAGGTTTTAATATCCTGGTGAGTTGGTAAAGTATATGCATTGTTAAGTATACTTATACAGCTAATTAACGCTTGCTCTTGAGCCTCATCTAGGCATTTATTAGTAGTAGGGCGCGCTGTGCGAGAATTACGACGATGAAAGCGTTCCAAAGCCGCTGGTAGGGAATGTCGAATTCTCGCGCCAACGCAGCGATTTTGGGATTATTGCGCTCATGGTATGCGCGCAGGGCATCAGGGATGCGACTCTTAATTTTGTCAGAGTCTTTAGGCATCGCGGTGGCTGGCAAATTGAAGTAGAAAAGAGACGGTTGATAGAAATTATGATTATGCTTGGGAGGTCCCGAAGAGTGAACGCGGTGATGGCCTCTGGCGCGAGCATAGTATATCTAGTACTCTAGAATCACTGAAGAGACTTCGGAGTACTCGTAATATGAGCTTGCGGAGCCGCCGCTGGATTTTTGTTGCAGTCAGTTAAGGATTATTTGGCACTGAAATGTGTTTGAGCTGGGGGGGTTGAAAAGGTGTCTGTTGTACTGGGATTTAATGGAATTACTACGACCAACGAATTTACGAAATTTCTGAATCGTAGACCATCCCATCATATCCCATAACAGTCAATTATTCGTTCAGAAGTTCTAACGACGACTCAGTAATTTCTCCTATCTCCCCCGACGCCATACCGGCCAGAACTCCAATTCCAACAATTCCCCCGTCGCTGACCTCGCGAAGAAAAATACTCTTTCCCCCTTCCTGGGGTCCCGCACGCAAGAGCAGCCGATCGACGTACCGCTGCACCGTCCTCTTGTAGTGCGGATAGTGCTGGATCACTCCCCCCGAGACCGCAACCGCCAGTTCCTCGGGTCCGTTTTTCCAGCTGTCCATGCGTTGACGGAGTGACTGGTCTGTTTGAGATTCGGTCTCCGAGTCGTGATTCTGCAGTTGGATCTCCTGTGTGCATACCAGCAGACCAACGATGGCAGAAGCCACCAACGCGGCTGATCGATCCTGCACGGCCGCTGCGATGGCACGCATGTCATTTGCAAATTCAGGTGTCCAGAACCAGGAGCTCGACGCGGGAGCGGGAAGGTGATTCGATAGCTGACTTGCTAGGTGTTCGTCGGAGTAATTCGATGCCACTACCAGAGAGAGAAAGTCCGTGGAGAGGGAATGCTCCTTCACCAGTCTCGGGGGGAGCGCGGTCCGCGCGATTCCTCGATTTCGATGAAACCAGTCGTAGCTGATGATCCGCACCAGTTCCCCAATGTATGTCCCGCCGACCATGTACTCGAAGGGCTGAAACCCGGGTCGTCGCGAACGCCGATCCAGCTCCTCGTCCCATGCCGTCAGGATGCCCAGTTCGTGTAAAGGAGCCGCCGCACTGGCCAGGGTGAACTCGGTAGAAACGAGCGTTTCGGTCGCGCCGGGTTCCTGCGCACGGATATGTTGTGTCTTCGATTCGTGGAGATCTGCCAGTCGAAGCGGAACGGTCGCGTTGCACCCGGCGCCGACGATCAACCCCATGACCACGCGGGTGTTGGGCAGAGACGGGATTGAGTATGCTAGAGACGCAAAGGTCGCGCCTGTGTCGTTGGTCATGGCGGCGATTTTCAAGGTGGGCAGACTGAACAATTTCCGTTTCTTGACCGGCACTGGACCGTCATTGTTCTCATCCACAGACCTTGTGTGGCGTTCATATCCACGAAGCAGCGCCTGGCGCAGGTTCAGATCCGAGGTCAGGGCAAATCCTTTTCCCGTGGGCATTAAGATAGCTTCATCAAGCGAGTTTTGGCTGTTTATCGTTAGATGTTTAAATAGGATAAGTGAAAATGATGGAGAGTCGTACCGTAGAGGGAAACAGAAGGAAATGCCGGTCGTTACCTCGCTGGACATCTGCTCCCTTGGATTATCAAGACCATCGGCAACCACCTCAGCAATACAATCTCCAATCCAGGAGAATAAATTCGGCGCGTGGTCGCGTCGCAGATGCTCCTCGATGGGCCATGCTTTCTCCAAGGTTCGTCTCACGCGCGACTGCCCATGCACCGGCCGTTCACCCAACAGATCAATAAAGGCGACTCGCAGATACGACAGACCCACGTAGACCGCGAGATAGCTCCCAGTTTCTTGTCCCGTGGGAAGCCGCGTGATGGCCGTGGGGAAAAACTGTTTCGAAGGGGTTGAAGCTAGCTCCCGATACAGCGACGAGAGACGATATGACAGATGACAGAGCGTGTCGGTGTCGACCTGCAGTCGTCCCAGGAACTCCTTCCGATCACACGGTGCGGCACGACCTGCATCACTCATGGAATTTGACCGGGTCATGGTGCTGGAGGATGATGGGGATATGCATGAGATGGGTCTCTCGCATCCACACGACCCTCTACGCTGCCCTTGTGGTGAAGGTGGTGCCAAGACTCCAGTCATTACGGTGTCAACATGGGTGGTTGCACTCTTGGTTGAAATTAAACCAGTTGTGAGTTGTTATTCATCCAGGGTCCAGTCCAAAACAAGCCTGAAACAGTGCGCATATCCAGGCTAAGTGAATGAACTGAGTCATCGGATGGACCACGCAATCCTTCCACTAAAGGCAGAGGTGAGGTTGCGTGCGTGCGTGCGTGTATATAGAATGCTGGTGCGTGTTGGTTGTATTCAGATGACTAAGCCCGCTGCCACATGACTTGCCCATACCGTCAGAAACGAAAGAAACTGAGAGTTCCGCTGTTCTCTACCAACTTGAACTCTCTCAAGTGGATAACAGGCGCTCTTCGCATCTCCTACTCGCTAATCCATCGGGCTAGGCTCATGCACTTCTTCAGTCCCAAACTCGTCGAGTTCATCTTGACGTTTTCGTCAACCATGTGCCATGGAGCGGGTGCCAGCCGCGACGAGACTACTATAAAGGCCTGGCTTGTATTGCCAATTCTACTGTATTTATGCGTATATGAATAGTATTGGATCTTTGGGAGGCTCGGTTTGATGAATCCCTCATGAGAACTGAACCTTCATCTAAATGGTACTGATCATAGTTTGTATTGGTCTGCAATCCTGAAGTATAATGGCTACCTCGTTCCAGCCTACTGTTCATTACACCTTTGGGTCTCCGCATTCTCCGAATGCACCCTTTGGTCCTCGACGTGTATCAACTACGCTGGAACACGATGATGTCTCGATCAGTGTCTCTCAGCCTTCTGGATCCAGAAGAGGCTCGAGGAAGTCCACGTCTGGGGACACATCGAAACTTGCCAACATTATCAACACCCTAACACGTCGTAGTAACGATGATATGGACGCCATGCTCTCAACCAAGCTGATGAACGCGACTCACCCTATGTTGTTGGAGTGGATTCGCTCGGAAAGAATGAGCAAACTCCCTCCCGAAGGAAGCGGTTACGATAGAGTATTGGTCTGGGCTTCGTTATTCGTTGAACGATTGCACTCGTTTGAATTGGCCGTCGAGGAATTCGCGGGAGACAGCCCCATGGCTGCCCAACTTGCCTATGGACATTGCGCGGCATTGCTCGAGGTACGATCATTTCACTACAATATGATCCGGGACTAGGACGCTAACGGTCGTGTTAGCTGGGAGAGGAAAACGCATCCGCGTTGATGCTATTGTTCGGTTTCTTCTGCAGCTGCTCGATAGAATTAGTGAACTTGTTGGATCGAGCGGAATTGTTTTCCGTGTCTCAGGATATCAAAGATCAACTGGTGCTTGCGTTGGCCGACTTGGTCACCCTGGTCGTGTCTGTCGCGACGCACTTTCATAGATCATTACGAGGCCTCACGTCGGAGTCGGTGTCTATCGATATCTATAGCACGTTTCCAGGGCCCATTGAGAGCTTCTGTAATCGGTGCGAGCACGTTTCCGAGTTAATGTGGAGACACCAGCTCCTTCGCGAGGGCTTTGATGGAGATAAAGGTGCTCCCTAATCTTGATCTTCCATTTTTGTTGTATATCGCCTTTTGCTGTCAGCTATAGACATTTTACTGACATGTTTGACTAGTATCGGACATAAAGGCTATCAAACGCTGGCTAGAACCGGAGGACCCAGTTCTAGAAAATGTGGCTGAGCCCATGGCACATCTCGCTCGGGAGCGTGAGACACTGACCTGCCTTTGGTTGACACCTTACTTGATGCGGTTTATGAAGGGAGGTCAAAGTACACTTGCCATCAGTGGCAACCCTGGCTCGGGAAAGACGATATTGTCATCCGTTATTGCGGATCAACTGCAATACACAATCGGAGGTGTGAAGTATGCGTCGATATATGTTCCAATCAGTACGTGGATGTTTCCCATATTTTTGCTGTCCTTCTGATCAGTCTAGATGCTCGGATTCCCGCGACCTCTGTCACTCATGCGATTGTCGCGTCCATTCTACTTCACCTATTTGATAAACGCATAGGCAATGTGCGCCTGTACCAGATCCTTGCAGACGCGTACGACTGCTGTCAGAAAGCGACAGATGAAGAAGCATATGATAATATTCTCTGGACAGCTCTAGGCCATGCTCTAAAATCAGGTGCAAAAGGCGCGAGGGAGCTTGTCCTCATTGTTGATGGCATGGATGAGGCATCTTGTGGAGAAGCGGTCCTGTTTAAAAGGCTGCAAGAAGCAACAGCCGACAACGTAAAGCTCATCACACTTGGCTCTCAGCATCACGCCACAACATCCACTCAAGTTAGCCTACGCATTACGCCTGATCTTGTCTTTGATGATATTGCTGCCGTGGTGCGAAGTATCCTGAGGCATCGCCAGTTTTTCGTTGACATGTCCGAGGGAAAACGGGAAGTCGGTGTGAACCGAATTACCCAGGCTGCTGAAGGCTCGTTTTTGTGGGCAAAGCTGGCTGCCGAACGGGTCGTAGACAACACGCACAATACACAGGCGTCTTTTAAGGCTGTGGATCACCTTATAAAAGCGCGGCTAACTGTCACGGACCTTGTACATCGCAGTACACAGTCGAAATCTCTGAGCGAGGATGGAAAGAAAGTCCTTATCTGGCTTGCCACAGCCAGTCGGCCTCTTTCTGAACGAGAACTGTCAGCTCTCCTTTCGATCCAAGTTGACAAGAGTGTAGTGGTAGAGCAGACCACCGATCTTTCTCCACTGCTCAAACCAATAAACTCCTTGATATTTCTCCAGAGAAATTTGGTCTACCTACGGCATGGACAGATACGAACAGCCATTCTGGATCTGTTCTCGCAGGGCAAACTCTTGGCAGGGATTAAGGACAGGAACATCGATATGGTGCAGAGGCTGCTAGTTTACACGAAGTGCCATATCACCAATGAGTGTGAGCCTTCATTGTCTCCTTTAGACCCTCATTTCGCTAGAGACTTGATGGAAAAGTATCCTCTCCTGGACTTTGCCCTTCGCTACTGGATCGACTTCACAAAAAGGGCATTCAATTGCCACACCGAAGGGGAAATCACGACTGCAGCAAAAGAGCTTCGCCATGCCATTCCTACCAGCCCAATCGTACCTCTACTCGAAATGACTGTCTGGGAGACCAAAACAACCCCGGCCCTAATGTCCCTGCACGAGGTTGAAACTCGTCTCTATCAGCAGATACTGACAGCAAACCACCCCGCAACTCTGCAGACAATCCTGTACCAGGCACTCTCCTATAGAAGGATTTATGATGCGTTGCCCTCTAAAGCCGGCTGGGTGTTCTACTACGCTGCGAAAATCAGCCAGGATGTTCTCTCCGTCCGCCACTTTGTGACAATGCAAATGGCCAAGTATTTCCTTGAGATTACAGGCGAGCACGTTACCAAGTCGAAGACGGAGATAATGATGAAACGAGTTGAAATTCTCCAGCTGCTGGTGGAATGCTACAAGATCCATTACGGATCAGCCAGCCAGATCACCATGACGGCCACGAGCCAGCTTGCGGAGCACTACCACTTCATCGGCGAGGAGAGCAAAGCCCAGGAGCTCACCCACTCTCTTCAAACTACTTCCTCTGAAAGCGACGTGCGCCGACAGTCCGAGGATTCGCTGCGTGTCAATCTACGTAGCCATCATGCCAACGATACAGTATCAGGGACAACCATTGACATGGACATTCAAGAAGAAGACCAGATCATTGAGTCTTCGGGGTATAATCTTGATGATCTGATTACCCAGGCACAGAAATACATCGTGGAGGGCAAACTTCAAGCCTCCGAACGCACTTACGTCAGAGCTTGGCAGCGAACAAGCAATGAGTACCGGCGTCATCGTTCGGGAGAATGGGAATACATGAATGTCAAGGCTGTTCTGGCGTATTCTCGCTTCCTCCAAAGCCAGAAGCGGAACTGTGAAGCGGCATCCGTGCTTACGGGATTCTGGCAGGAATATGATCGGCTCACGTCCGGTTCTGAGGCTGTTGTGTCTCAGTTTCTGGAGGTTGCGAAGCTCATGAAATCAGTCGGTCTCACTGCGCTGGCTCTAAGTGTTATGAAGAGTTGCGCACAGTTTTATCAAAATTCGGGTAACCGCCAGAGTGAAATTTACAAAAGTATCCAGCAGAACATCGAGTCCACGTCCAAGGAAGTGATGCAGATGGCCAACACATCGACAACTGCGGTCACCGAGTCAAGTCTCAAGGAAATGGTTTATAATAGCGCGGCTACCCTGGATCAAGCATCCATGTCTGCAACCAATAGTCTGGTTAAGATGTACATCTCACAGCACAGATGGCACGATGCTACCAAGACTTTAAAGAAAGTCTTGCAAAGCATTTGGCCGGCACTATTCGCTGTTTCATTACAGGATGTTGTTCTTCCAGCCAGCCAGGCTGATCACTGCGTTGCACTCGCGGAGCAGCTGGGGGATTGTTACCGTTCCCGACGCCGTGCAGCGAAGGAAGAAGACATTCGGCAGCGAGTCTACCGTGCTGTTCGACGAGATCGACAAACGGGCGACAGACTGCTTGAACGAACCACAGCGGGCCTACTTCGTCTGTATGAACGGACCTCACAATTTGAAAAGGTCATCGAACTTCACGGGGAGATGCTCGCTGACTACACCAAACGCTATGGGGCCGAGCACCCGACAGTTATCAAAAACCTCTGGACTCTGGCTGAACTTAGCCCGAGACATGTATCGCTTGATTACTATCGACGAATTATCGAGGCATTGAACAAGAGCTCAGAGGGTTTCCATCCGGACGCTTTTGAGCCTCTTGTCAATGTGTCGACCGAGCTGTGGGATCAGGGACGATACTCGGAGGCGGTGGAGCACTATAGGGTCTTGTTTGACACTTTACGCAATCCTAAGATCAGCCCCAAGCTTCAGGACCCGGCATTTGTACAGATCATGTTCGCTCGTTATTTACGTTGTCTGCGGGCGACCCACATTGATTCAAGTGTACTACACGACGTCGCTGCAGAGTATCGCCGTAAATGCCAGTCCTTATTTGGAGAATCTGCATCAATCACTATGCAGGCAACTGTGACCCTGGCCAATATCTGCCAAGAGTCCAAGCGCTACGAGGGTGAAGCTGTTAATCTCTACGAAGAGCTCCTTCTGGCGAAATCAGACGAGGTCGATAAACAAGACATCCGGGCAATGCTAGATGCTATCTACGAGGAACAGGCGGCTGTGGCGACCACAAAGACAGACTCTATCACGTCGTCACAACTAGCAAGAGTGGTCTCGATTAGAAGCCGACGTCTCACATCGGTCCGATCTAGCCATGGATGGGCCCACGAGGAATCTCTCGCACAGATGGAGGAATTGATCTCCATCTACTCCAAACGCGGTGATTCCCAAGCGGTCGTCTGTTTGCTACGAGAAGCCACGGTGCAGGTTCTGTCGACGGAGACACTGTCGACCAGGTTAACCGACGCAGCAAAGAGCATTGCCTCCTGCTTTATTGCCTCAGATGAGATCCAGCAAGGGAGAGAGCTCGCGCAGGAGCTGTTCCGGCAGATTGTTGCCAAAGATACCACCAATGCCAGGATTGTTAGCTTCGACCTGTCGTCGCAGCCCCGCCACAGTCTTATATTCCTGGCACAAATGGAGTACAATCTCAGTGAAGACAACTCGCTTAGTGTTAACGAGATCCTCTCGTCCCTGACAACTGAATACCTATTCTACGAACAGCTGCTAGAGGAGCTCTCCAGTAGCTCTAGCAGCGTAAAGGAGGTGATAACATGCGCCGCTCGCCTTTATGGCTTCCTTCTCGCCCGTAACCGTCAGTGGAGCGCGGCTCGCCTGGTCGACCAATGCACCTCTTACTTACTTTCCGTCGAGGATCAGAAGCACTCCAACCCTGCACAGGTCAGCGAATTCGTCACGACCCTTCTAGAGTACTTCGCCACGCACTCATCTCAAGACTTCCTCCGCTCCGTGGCCATCGCCAGCCACAACCAGGTCCGCCACCTCCTCTCCAAGCAGGAATACCAAGCTGCCTGCGACCTCGCCCTCACCTCATTTGCGTACATTCAGTCCCACAACGGCTATTCATCCTCGGCGACCATGATGAAGCTTGCCTTCCAGCTTGGCCTGTCCATTTCCGGTGGCGATCTATCCCCCGCTCCAGACCCAGACAGCATTACCGGTATGCTCCATGTCTCCTCAGCCATCCTGCACGAGACCCTCTCCCTCTTCCGGGAGAAGCAAATCGACGTGACGCAGCTAAACCTCACCACGCTTAACAAACTCATCGGCCTCCTTGACGACCAACACGACTACCACACCCTCGCATGGGTCCTTACCTCCCTCTGGGACAATCGCGAAACTCACCGCTCCTCCCAACCGCAGTATATCTTGGCCCTGGGCCGCATGCTCATCATCACGCGGTACCTCGTACAGGATTACACCGGCGCGATCCGTCTCGCAGAGGACATCGTGTACAACTGCGCACGTGTGTACGGACCCCGCCACCCAGCGACGGTGGAAATGACCATCCTGCTCTCACAGATGTACACCAGCGTGGCACAGGGGTACCAGGGGCAGAAAGAGGGACGCGACATGGCATTCCGGTATTATCGGAAAGCAGCTGCGTTGCACGAGAACGCGCTGCGGATCTTCGTCGACCCGACGCTGTCCTTGGAGATGGAGGAAGAACAATTCACCTCCGAGTTTGTCTCTGACGAGCGATCGCGGTCCCCCAGTCCGTGCAGCGGCGGAGGAGACGGTGGGAAATATGTCCGACAGCATCTGCATCTCCTGAAGCTGGCGGTGGAGCGACTCGGCGAGTGGCCGAAGGAGTATACGGAGTATGAGCGGCTCAGCTCGGATGTGTTCCGGACATATGGGGAGGAGTTAGCCGGGATGGAAGGGGTGGAAAAGTGGAATTTAAAGAATTATGGATCTGGCAAGGCAGAGGCGACCGATGATTTGATTGATGTGGAGGGGTATCAGGAGAGACATGCCATTACAGTATAGTCACATTATGTTCAATCAAGCAATCAAATTGTATTTCACATCTCCGTCTACTGTATAGGAATATGGTATGACGTCACTGATGAATTCATCTCGACATCACTTGCCACTCTTTTCCCTTCTATATACTCTAATTCGCCCGACGACATCTATCCCATCAATCTATCAAGAATCAATCAACAGTAAAGTCATATATTAAGAATGAAAAAATCATAATGTCATACTACTCTTCATACTATTCCCACAGTTCTAGCTCGGACGGCCAGGAATCCGGGCACCGATACCAAACAGAGTCGCACACCGCGCCGGACGGATCGACGGTGGTGCGCACAGCGGAGCAGAAACTTGGCGAGCCGCCAGTATATGAGGAATGGAGATACGATAGTCAAGGACAGGAGTATCTTCCGTCGAGCGGAGGGGGACAGAAGAGGATTACCGAGTTGGATGAGGATCAAAAACAGGATGAAGAGTATCAGAATGATGATGAACAGAATGAAGACGAGCAGGATGATGACGTGCAGGATGAGTATGATTTTCAGGATGAGGAAGACTATCCAGCGGGTAGCACGCGAGATCGGAAGGGATGGTGTTAGATCAGGATATAGGTATTCGATCAAAAAGGAATAGGACAATATGAAATATGTGTATACTCATGTACAAAATGAAGATCACTCCAGACGAACTCGACTGAATTTCTCTCTTAGCCTCTGCACTAACGCAGGGGCCTTATAAATCCAATGGCACAACATGCCTGCCACAAACCCCACCCCGTCATTCCGAAATCCCACCAGCAATCCGACCGTGACCATCATGACGGTCCAGCGTCGACGACGCTCCTCGTCAGTCAGCGGCGTCGTCCCGCCCAGCACGGAGGCCTTGGCGATATCACGCGCACCCATGGTATTCAACGACTCTCCGACGCTGGCGAGCTCCAACCCAGCAGCGATGACCATGACGCCCAGCAGGGCGGTCGGGAACCGCTTCAGCAACTCGACCAGCGACTCGCCGAAGAAGAGACCGATGAACAGCTTGACGGCACCCAGGATCACGACGCTGGATCCCGACCGTGCGCCAAAACGGTACTGAGCCGCCAGACCACCGGAGCCATGACACACGGGCATGGCGCCGAACCAGCAGCCGAGCAGGTTCATGGCGGCCACGCTGAGGCCGACGGAGGTGATGGATGGGGTGGATACCTGGGGGAGGAGGTCTGCGGAGAGATGCACCACGGCGACGACGGAGTTTAGCGTGGTCAGCGGGATTTGGCCGATGCCGGCGTTGAAGATGCCGTGGGCCCATTCCCCCCGGGTGGGGGCGAACACGAACGGATGCCAGAATCCCAGCGAGGGGAGATGACCGGCTGTTGCGCTGCGGATGAGGGCGAAGACCAGACCAAGGACGAAGATGATCAGTGCGTAGGGTACGCGACGATCGATATTGGTGATGAGGAGGGAGACGAAAGCAACGATGGCCCAGATGAGGTTGTCCGCCCATGACGGATGCGTCCAACCCAGTGACGAGACGACGCTGCCTCCAGCGCCGATGATCAGCGACAGACCAGCGCCAACTTGGATGCCCTTAATGACGGGGATGGGGATGGCGTCGGTGAACCAGCGCAAGAGGCCTGTGACGCTGAAGACGAGAATGCAAGCGCCGACGAAGATGCCGGCGGCGGTGATGGCCCCTGCGGGGAAGGATTTGGCGATGGCGACGGCGGCAATGGCCTTCATGGGTTGCACAGGTAAAGGAATGCCAAAGAAGAGACCCGTCAGGATGTTGTAGACGCCGGAGAAGATCAGCGTGCTTGATAGCGAAATGGTGTCGTTAACCGCCAGGGCGATGGCGATGGGTAGAAAAGTGCCCAAGTCACCTAGCGAGCCGGAAATTTCGGCGACATAATGACGACGGAGGGTGTTAATATTGTAGGTGGATATTTCTCTGAATGTCATATTGATGGATGGAAGATAGATGGGGTGTTGTTGAGGAGTTATAAGCGAGGATTGAAGGGATGAAGTTATTCAATTGACGGAGAAGCCCCGCATATCACTTGACCTCTTTATTTTTACTTTTTTAATTTATTTATTTTCTTAAAAAAATATATTTCTTTATTCTTTCTGTCTATATTTCATAATATCTATATGAACCACCCCTCAATCACTCCCTTCAGATGATCACTCAGCCACCACTCCTCCAACGGCGTCTCAAGGTCAAATCCATGGATCCCATCGCGCACCGTCAACCTAATCCCATCTCCCAGCACCTCTCTCGCCTTATCCACAAACCGCTGCACTCCATCCAATGGCACAACTGTATCCTGTCTTCCATGCAGGATAGCCATCCCTCCTGGGGGCATCCTCACCCCCGACCGATCCAGTCGCTCGAGGGGATATCGCGCATCGCGCGGGAAGCCCTCCGTTCCGCGCTCGTAGAAACGGTTCAGGTCTCCGTACTGCAGGACCGCCAGCATCAGATTGATTCGTTCCTCCGACCCACCAGATGAGCAGATGTCGCCCGGCTGGATGCGGCCCTCGTGATCGGCCACCAAGGACTCCGGCTGCGGCTGTTGTAAGAGGGCTGGTTTCGACGTGCGGAAATGCGGTGCCGCCACGTCCACCATGGGATAGCTGGCCGTGGCAGCGCGGATCTCGTCGGGATGGGCCAAGGCCAGTGAGATGCTGAGGAGTCCGCCCGCGGACTCGCCGGCGGTGATGACCCGCGTGAGGTCCACCGTGGTAGGAGAGAGGATCTCCGCCGCGGTCGACGAGTGCAGCCAGGTCCAGAAGTCTTCGATGTCTTGGAAGATCTCGGGCGAGGTAGACTCAGGCATAAGACGATAGTTGGCCGAGGCAATGACGGCATGATGTTTCTTGGCCAGGGCCAGGAGCCACCGGGGGAACCAGCCCATAATCAGAGAGTCTCCGCCGATGAGACCTCCGCCGTGGAAGCGTACAATGACGGGGCGTTTGCCAGTGAACGAGGACTTCGGGATGAGGAAGTCGGCGCGAATCTCATGGTTTCCAACCGTCTTGTATGGCGTTTGGATGAGGTCGAAGCCGTCCAATAGATCCATTATAGTATATAGGGATACGGGAATAAATCTGGGAATAATAGAATAGACAGAATCGGTTGAGACGAATATGAGAATGACTCTAGGAATGGATAAGATGACTTTCTATCCTCCGCTATATACCTCAATATCTAGAATGGTTGGAATGCTTGATGTCATGATCGTCATTCAAACGCTTCAAACACTACAAATACTCCAATTCAAACACTTCAAACTGTATTCAAACAGCCCGTTTCCTCGAAAACTCCAATCAACGGTCGTGAATCCTGCGTTGGATTCAAACATTGTGGCGCAGGAGGGGACCTCAACCATGCTGCTGTTACCTATTTGCTTGTTTGTTAGTTAGTAATATCAAGTGAGTCATCGGTAGAAATTGAAAGATGCAAACTCAGATATATGATCCCACTGATTTGGGAAAAACCTACCCGTATATAGATAATCCATCTATATTCTTTGGTAATTCAATAGCCTTCTCTATCGATCCTGTCAGAGTTAGTTCTATCGATTGACGTCAATTCCAGGCTGTAGACAGATTGCCCCAAGGGGTGGGAAGGAAAGAGAGCATTTGGAGGAAACTAGCCCTACCTGGCGCAAGCGAGGTCAATGCAAGCTGCAGAGCTATCACATTCCACACCAGCCGACTCGCATGGCGCGGAGGAGCCACGATTGATCATTCAGTGTTATCAACGTCACTTTTCCTCATGACCTTCCGATATGCGGCCACGCATTGTAATTCCGAAGCGGGACGTCGGAAAATAGTGGATAAATTTGGAGCCTTGTGATAGATATCATATGTAGTAGCTTCAGGCTTAGAGCTTCGATCGAGCTGCCAGGTATTTACAGATTTACTCCGTAGATCCGGCTATTGACAGCTAGCCTATACTCTTTTCAGAAGTTGGTCCACATGCCCAGAATTCTGCCAGCTTTTCGAAATGCAGTCAGGCGGTGAAGTAGTCAGGCTTGTAGATGGAATACCTTTCTAAAATAGTATAGTCCAGGCGACAATAGTGGGATTCTTTAGTTGGCAACAGACTGTCTCTACTTTGGATACTATTTCTCTATAACTTCTTGCCAAATATACCTCTTGTATCAAATATCTCCTAATATACTAAATAATATTCTTATTTTGTATATTTTTCAGGAAAGAATACTAGGCGATAGAGGGATCTGCTGATAAAATGCCTCCACGGAGTTCTTCCGATGTACGAGCTTAGCTTATGGCTCCTCCTGGGACCCTTCAACGGACCTTGAATTCCTCAATATTCATCTGTATAATATATTTATTGATTGGTTGATATAATGATAGGCAAATGTCTCGTCAACGGCACCGCCGCTGCCCCTCTCCTGTACTCCCCCGTCAGCCTTAGCTTCTGGGGAGGCGTCAACCCCCAGTCGGGCGAGATCGTTGACTGCCATCACCCTCTGCGCGGGGAATCCATCGCTCATCGCATCCTGGCTATCCCCTGCAGTCGAGGATCCTGTTCTGGTAGCACGGTGATGCTGGAGTTGCTGCTGAATGGTTGTGCGCCGGCCGGGTTGATTGTCGAGCAGCCTGAGGAGATCTTGACCCTGGGGGTGCTGGTGGCCCAGGTTCTCTTCCATCGATCCCTTCCAGTCATCATCCTCTCCCACAACTTCCATCATCTCTCTGGCTATACTTATGCGTCCATCGACGAGGGACAGGTGTCCCTCAGTGAAACCCCTCTGTCCGTCCCTCAATCGCCTCCATGTCTCTCATCGAGATCTCGCATCGATCTGTCTCCCTCCGATCAGGCCATTCTCGCAGGAGAAAAGGGCCCCGCCGCCAAAATGGCTCTCGAGATCGTTGTCGAATTCGCGGCCATGCAGGGTGCCCCCGCACTAATTGACGTGACGCGCGCTCACGTCGACGCCTGCATCTACACCGGCCCCGCCAGCCTGCGATTCGCCCAGACCTTTCAGTCCCTGGGAGCCCGCTTCGTGCTGCCCACCACGCTGAACGCCATCTCCATCGACCAACGACGTTGGCGTGAGCTAGGCGTGGACCCTGATCTGGCTGCGCAGGCCGGTACCCTGGCCAACATCTACCTAGCCATGGGCGCCCAGCCCAGCTTCACCTGTGCCCCCTACACCCTGGATGACGCTGTGCCTGTCGTCGGCGAGAATATCGGCTGGGCCGAGTCCAATGCCGTTGTCTACGCCAACAGCGTGCTGGGTGCCCATACCCAGAAGTATCCCGACTTTGTCGACGTCTGCATCGCCTTGACCGGTCGCGCTCCCTCGGCCGGCTGTCATACGGTGGATGGACGTCGGCCCGCCGTCGCCATTCACCTCCCACTGGTCGAGGCCATCGATGACGCCATTTTCGCAGTGCTGGGATACCTGGTGGGCAAGCACGCGCAGCATCGCGTCCCTTGGATCACCGGAATGCAGCATCTGCAGCCGCGGCGCATGCATCTCAAAGCTTTCAGCGCCGCCTTTGGCACTACCGCGTCGGCCGCCATGTACCACATGGACGGCGTGACCCCCGAGGCGGACCAGTTCGCGGAGGATGCCTCGCATCTCCCTCGCATCGACCTCCAACCCGCCGAGATCGCCCACTGTCGATGCGCCCTCACTTCCGCCACGGACCCGTCCGTCGGCTTGGTCTCCCTGGGTAACCCGCACTTCTCGCTGGAGGAGTTCGAGGCGCTGCGGCCGCTCTGCATCGGCCGTCGGAAGAATCCCGCGGTCGAGTTTGTCATCACCACCAGTCGCAGCACCTACGAGGCGGCCGCCACGGTAGGCATCGTCGATGTTCTGGAGGAGTTCGGGGCGGTCATCATCACGGACACCTGCTGGTGCATGCTGGGCGAGCCTGTGGTGCCGCCGGGCGTCCGCAATCTCATGACGAATTCGGCCAAGTATGCGCATTATGCACCAGGGATGGTGCATCGGGGAGTACATTTTGGGAGCTTGGCCGAGTGTGTGGAGGTATCCGTGCTGGGCCATCGATCTGCATAGTCCAGTATATATCCTATTTCTATAAGCCACTATGTACATACTCATGCACGAACCCGCCATTGATACCCCCCAACAAAACGCGATCCACAAAACCAGATGCCCGCCACCCCCGTCGCCGTCCACCCCAGTCCAATGCGATCGATCACCGGTGACGCCACGGCCGCGACACCGGCTGCTAATAAGCATCGGGCGAGATTATTCGCCGCCACCGCCGTGGCCGGACCCTGACAATGCACGTCGGCGACCAGCGTGCTGAGGGTGGTAAATGCCCCTGTGGTGCAATGGCCTGTGAAGAACAGCATCGCCATGGGTGCGACCGGCGCCGTGCGATAGTCCATCACCCAGCCGTACGCGACTATGCAGGCCGCCGATACATACACCATGGGACGGTCACCGTTAGACGGGCCCGCTCGATATCGAACCGATGGATCTCCTGCAGCTGGTTTGCCACGATGGACAGACCCTGTTTCGTCGCCTCGTGTCGGAAATTCCAATCCAGCACCGCACCCACAGTCCATCGCGACGTCAAACTCCCTACTCCCAGTGGGAGATAGCACAGTTCGATCTGGATGGCATTGAACCCGAAACGTTGCTGCAGCTGCGCGCTCAACGTGCTGGCGGAGAAGGGAGAGACTATGCGACGAAGGAGGCGGCCAGAACGATGAGGATTTTGGTGTGCCGCGAAGGCACAATAAGGTTGATCTTCCTGATTTTGTTCTTTTCCATCGTATATAGTATATATAAGACAATGGAATCGAATAGAACACAATATGAATAAGGATTGAATACGAATATGAATAAGTAGAAGAGTATATAAATACGATACAAGAAAATAACAAGGATTTGAAAATTGAAGCTGTTCCCGGTCCGGAACCGGCACGCATCTATAACGGCCTCTATATTTTTCTAATCTGATCCAATCGATCCAGAAACAATAACATATAGCTATCCTGCACCACCAGCTACACTATTCCCCTATAGTCTCAACAGGACACATCCTAAAGGAGAATACCGAATCCTAGCCCGACTCCGCACTGTCCTCTTCCAGCACATACCATGGCGTATACCATGATAGTATACTAGTAACAAAGGACAGATATAACTGGCTCAGCAAATACCAATATTGGACTGACCCATATATAAGATATATTCAACCTAGATGGAATATCCGTGCTATAGTGCTCCCATTTAACAGCTTAAATAAGAAAATAAAAATAAAATAATGGAATGAAAAAAATATAAAAAGGTATGACTGGAGCAGAAAAACATTCCCAAAAAGAATACGGGATAGAACCAGCACATTACACTTTAGACTGCAAGATCATACTCCTTGCATATGCAATAATATGCACAATAGTTAAATTCAACGTAAAGATCAAGCTTGTCTCTAACAATATATAGCGTGACATGATTCAGAGCCTGAGACTTTGCCCTAATATGTTCAGAAATATAGTAATCCTAAATTGTAGTATCGTATTATTATAACTCAGTATCAATAACTATGACATTCGAATCCATCCATAGATAATGTCATCGGAAGGGAATTGAATGACGCGCGAAGATGAATTAAGGCACAACAGGACGAGATTCCCATGAGCCAAATTATCTTGGTCCGATAAATAATGGGCTAGGATGTGAGTCTTTGCCAATAGCAATGCAGTATCATAGGCAGACTGGACCATGGCCAGGATATCAAATTCGGTTCATTTAGGCACCAGTGTTTGTACTGTACTTCTGCGTCTGCCTCGACATTCGAGATTTCCCACAACAGGGCGAATTTGCCGAGGCTTGTGAAGTGGATTGGGGGCGGCGAGTTTGTATGTATCCATGTCCTATCCTTCCTATACTACCTTCCCTATATTACCTGCAGTTATAGACACCCACGTCCTTCGTGCTCCGTCCTCCGTCCTCCCCCCTCATGGATCACCCCGTCCGATTTGATCGCGTGGAATAATAATCACAGTCCACATCTCGTATCTGCAGGACGTCTCTCCGGACTGCAGGATAGCGAGAAGGGCAAATTGGTAGATGATGTTTTGGTCTTACCAATTTCGCGATTCAGGTTTGTCTTCCCCCCATTTTATAATAAGGGATAGATGAACAGAGCAGTCGTGGCCCTTCGGAACGACCAACTTACTGAAGAAAGCCCAGCAGCGACCTGCCCGCGAGGCTGTCGTCAGCTGCTGGGAACCTGGACGTCGTTTCGCTCGCACGCGGAATATGGGAAATCCTTTTGTACTTTTTTTTTTTTTGTTTTTTTTTGGCTTCTGCAAGGATTGGAGTAGAGTGTACTTTTAATATGGTTGTACCTCAATTAATTCGTTCTGAACGTCTATTCATAGAAGTCATTAAAATGAAATCCCTGGTACGTATCCAATTATCCACGATGAAGGCGCCAAGATCACTGCTAGGGTCTCGACTACTGCAAGGTCACTACGCCGCACCAGCCCCTGTGTTTAATTATTTATTATAATAATAATTAAGGTCCCGGCTGACCTGCTCTTTGTCCTCCACATTTATCACTATACCTGTTATCCATATAAAATGTCATCAGAAGCCCTCCTCCAACTCCAATCAGAGCAGTCCAAACTGCTCGACGGCATCGACGAGCTGCGCACCATCGGCGTCGGCGGCCTCGTCGAGCTCCCTCAGCTGATTGTCTGCGGTAATCAATCCAGCGGCAAGAGTTCCGTGCTCGAGGCCATCTCGCGCGTGCGGTTCCCAGCGAAAAGCAACGTATGTACACGCTTCGCTACCGAGGTGATTCTTCGGCGTCATCCCTCGTCCACAATCAAGGTCTCCATCGAGCCTGGTCCCAAGCGCACCGACCCCGAGGAGATCCAACGGCTGAAGTCGTTCGCTCCCAAGTCTTTCTCCGATAGCGATGACCTGAAAGATTTGATCAACAAGGCCAAAGACTGCATGGGGATCACGGATTCCGCGAATGTGGGATTCAGCGAGGACGTGCTCAAGGTGGAAATCTCAGGTCCAGAGCAGCCTGAATTGACTCTCGTTGATCTCCCTGGTCTGTATCATTCCACGAGCAACGAGCAGAGCGCGAAAGACCGGGACCTAGTCCACGATATCACCAAGCGGTACATGAAGAACACCCGCAGTATCATCCTGGCCGTTATCTCGGCCAAAAACGACTATCATCACCAGACAGTGCTGAATATAGCGAAAGATATCGATACCAACTGCGAACGTACTCTGGGTATTATCACTCACCCGGATATTACTGAGCCCAACTCGGAAGAAGAAGATAATTATCTCCAGTTCGTCAATAATGAGAAAGTCCGTCTGGAGCTAGGATGGCATGTGTTGCGCAATCGATCGTTCCAGACACAAGACTTCTCCGATGAGAAGCGGGACGAGCACGAAAGGGAATTCTTCAATAAGGGTCGATGGAAGTCTGTGTCGCGCAACTCCGTCGGCATCGACAGTCTGCGTAGTCGTCTCAGCTCCATCCTGCTCAAACACATCCGACGTTGTCTGCCCGATCTTATCACCGATATCAACAACAAGGTGGACGATCGACTGCAGAAGCTGGACAAACTGGGCCCCCCGCGCACTACCCTGCAGCAGCAGAAGGGGTTCCTGCTGAAAATCAGCAGCAGATTCGAGCGTATCACCGCCCAGGCTCTCAACGGTATGTACGATGATGAATTCTTCGGTGGTTTCGATCAGAACTCTCACGTTCAGGACTTCCGGCGTCTGCGCGCCGTTATTCGTAGCTTGAACGAGGACTTCGCCGAGGCGATGGAGATTCGAGGCTGTCGACGACATATTTTAGAGTCAATGTTTGATACGGGCCCCAACATCCACGTGTCCCCGTCGAACCAGTACCTGGAGGGTTGGAAACCTACCACCGTCCCGCGATACCAGCTGGAGGAGGAAGTCACCGAGCAGGCTCGCAAGAGTCGAGGCATCGAGTTGCCCGGTAGCCCTAATCAGCTGCTCGTCGGCAGTCTGTTTCGTGATCAGTCCAAGCCGTGGGAGGAAATCGCTCAGCGACATCTGCTGGTCGTCTGGCGTACGGTGCGATACTTCGTCTCCGAAGTGCTACAGCATCTCACCGATGAGCACACCTATACCGCATTGATAGGGGCCCAGGTTGACCCGGAGCTCAACCGCATGCAGCAGACCTTGCTGGACAAACTGGCCGAGTTGACGGCCCATCTCAAAAGTGGCCATCCCCTGCCTGTCGGGAAGAATTTCCTCACGCGCATCCAGAAAGCAAGACAAGAGAGACAGTTGAATCAACTTAAGTCGAGCCTTGGTAAACGTATTGGGTCTGATGCTGGACTCACCATCGGAGATCTCGAACAGGCGACGGCCAAACTGGAGGTGTCAGGTGAATTTGCACCGGCGGAAATTATCGACGAAATGCAGGCATACTACGATGTATCTCCCCTCTCTCCTCCCCCTTCTCCCCGTACCGGTATGCTTATACTAATGAAATGATAGACAGCAATCGTAACCTTCGTGGACAATGTCGCCACCCTAGCGATTGAAAATTGTCTCCTTGGTCCGCTGGGCAGCATGTTCACCAGTCAAACCATCAACAACATGGAGGACAAACAGGTGCAGGAACTGGCCCGTGAACCGGCATTCATCTGCGACGAGCGAGACCGGTTGAATAACGAACTGGAGAAGCTGCAAGCGGGATTGCGCACTTTTAATCCATACAATATCCAGAAACCGCCAATGCCTGGGTTCGGTACGTCTTATCAGAGAGACGTATGAGCGGAACTGAGCTAACGAATAGAGCGACTAGTGATGAACTCAGCGGATCGTGATAGACTGAAACCTTCTGTTCAGGCTGATAGACTGAGCTCAGGTATGTTGCAGTTCCCGACTGAGCTCCAGAAACTAATCAGTCAGATTCCGACCGTTCTTCGGCTTCTTTTCTCTTCTCTCCAGAAAAGACTGCTACTCCTCAATGTATGTATCCCACCATGGACTAGTTCGTGGCTAATAGGATGTGATATATCAGCATCAACCTCGCAGAGCACATCTAAGCAACAGTTCCGTCGCCGGGTCCTTGCGGACACCGATGAACGCAAGGGTGGTATGTTCGGAGATTTAGGAACGGCAAGGACCTCTGGATCTACCACCTCTGAATCTTTTCCTAGATTCAATGCCGAAAGCCGTGCCAACAATATCAGCAACGCCCCCCCCCTATTTGGTTCTCTAAACACCGCAAATTACCAGTAGGATGCCCAGTCCGAGACGCGATGCATGGCACTAGCGTGTATGTAAGCCTCTGATCCGCGATTCTCAATCATAGGCCGTACGTTCAAATGTCTTCGCATTCGACTGGAATACAGGATCGGTATCATCATATCTGTAGGGATCCTTTTTTTGCGGATTATTCGCCTGAGGTGGGTAAATTACAAGACTCTATTTGGATCCGCGGGCTAATGGATTAGGAACTTCGATGGGGAAAGTATCAAGAGGAGAGTGCTGAGGAACTATGATATCAATTACCTGTGCTTATATTTTGTGAAATGAATGAATTTGATTTTCGTATTATACAATTCTTCTATATTAGACAGGAGAGAAAAAGTTCACAAGATAAGAGACGAAGTAAGAAGAGAAATTAAAAAAAAAATAAAAACTGGTAAAAATAATTTACTAAAAAAGTTGTGCCCCCACACAGGATTGAACTATGGACCTCTTGATTACAAGTCAAGCGCTCTACCACTGAGCTATAAGGGCGTCGATTGGTTAGGATTTAATTAAATTAACATTAATTCATGTCTTAATTTATTTTATTTCCTACCCACCGACAATATACAACTCGAGTAATTATGTGCTTCGTATAACTGGCCAACTTCACGCAACTCCAACCATGCATCCCGATGCTGTCACCGATCATCCCCCCGTCTTCAACTACGTCCTCTCCTTCCTACTTGTCGGCGTAGCATGGGGCTTCACTACGCCATTTATCCGACGCGCCGCAGCAGACTTTAACGCCCGTCAGGACCAGTCATCCAATCCAGAAACCTCCGAATCAACCCGTTTACACTCGACTCATCCATCCGAATCCGAATACAACGATGACGACGGAGACGAAGATAATCCACCCCCCTCTCCCTCCACCCGACCACTCTGGATGAGCCCTTCCCCGTCAATATCCACATGGCTGAAATCCAAACTTAAGACCATCTTCTCCACCGTCGTGAATCTCCTTCGTACCCCTGCGTACGCGATCCCTCTCGTCGTGAATCTAACAGGGAGTATATGGTTTTTTTTACTGGTTGGGAAACATGGTATATTCTTCTCACTTGCTACATTCGTCCCTTTTACTATAACTATAATTGTAATTGATGACTGAACTGACAATAAATAATATTCATTTAGAACTATCATTAACCGTCCCGCTTGCCAATTCAAGTGCCTTCCTGTTCACAGTCTTGGGGGAATGGTACGTCGAGAGAAAGGTCATTGAGAAGGAAACGTGGATGGGGATGGCGTTAGTGTTGGCTGGAATTGCGATCTGCGTGAAGTCGAAGGGGACTTAATCATATAATATAGCTATTCTTGGTTATACTTATACTGTACAGCTGTATTGAGTGCAGGGTACAGATTGAAAGTTTATGGTTCGAAAATATAGTGATACAAAACGAAAAGGGATAAAAAATAAGTGCATCATCCGTGAATCGAACACGGGCCTCATCGATGGCAACGATGAATTCTACCACTAGACCAATGATGCCTTTCTTATGCTTTTTTTTGCATAAATCTGTATGACTATGTTACGGAGATTAAGCGTTTGCAATGTAATCGCCACTACAGAGATCATTTGTATGTCTATCCATATCAATTACAACTCTACACTGCATATATTTGTCGTATTTGAATCGGGTTATCCATCAGTCATAACACATCGATACCACTTGACCCGCAGCGGTATTAATCCATCTATCAATCAAATCATGGAATATCATAATACACGGAATCAAACACCCCGGAACTGTGGCAGCATTAGTAAAATCCCAACACCCAAAAGTAAGTACAACTTACCATTCGCACAACCAAGAACCACATCGCTCCGATGAACTTAAAAATAGACAACCCCGCGACACTCCATAGCACAACAGCCATGTAGATTTCAGCCCGTTTGTTGCTGTTCGAATTGCTGTCCGTCTTGGTATCGAATTTGTCGAGGCCTGCGGCGCTCAGGACAACGGCTGCCAGTGCAAAGTTGCAAAACACCCATACCAGCACCACCGCACTTCGGAACCCCTTGTAGTAATCCGCCTGTCGGTCTTCCTCCGAAACGACCTCCTTTTCCTTGGGCGGTTTCTGCGCGAACTTGGCTAGCTCGGCATCATACTGCGCGTTCAGGTCTCCGTCGTCCTGCGGGATGTTGACGTCCACTTTGCCGCCGGGCTTCAGGTTGGCCGAGGGTAGCTTCTCTGCTTTGTCGTCTCCTTTAGTACCCCAGGTAATATCGTGCGTGTTGCAGAATGCGTAGATATTTAACACATTAATATACGTTGGGGTGAGCAGGATATATTGGATGAACTGACTGATGTTAGAAAGGGCAACTGCAGAAATAGGATGGTGACTTACCGAAGTGAACATGTGCCACGGGTCCAGGAAAATGAACGATGCAAGAAACCACATAACGTACGTCGAGCCTAATGACACAATAATAGAGAAGAATGTCGAATTGGTAAATAGCGTGGAGAAAGTGAAGTCGCCCTTCTGCACTTCCTTTTGGATCGATTTAACCGTCACGAACACGGCAGCAAACGCCAAGTAGATCATGATTCCGATCCAGAAGTAGACCATAGTCATGTAGAACTTGTTGGATCCGCCAGGTCGGTTGCCTAGGGCCAAGACAAAACAGGTAACCAGTGTCGCGAGGTAGAGCCATTCGAACACCACCCCGAGCACTTTCCCAGCCGTGCCAAGAAGCTCCTTGTCACCGAGATACGTTGTAAGAATATGGAAAACCAAGAAAAAGTTTCCCTAAACATAAAATTAGCGAAAGCTAGCAAGATAAGATGGCAAGCTTACAATGCCAAACCAAGCAAACAGCATGTTAATGGTCTGGTATAAAAACTCAATGAGAAGCATGAACTTTCGCAAAAAGGTGTGGTCACTTCTCCAGATCTGGTAAAAATGCGCAATGGCATAGACTGCTGCGAAGAAACTACCGTTAAGCCATCGACGACGCTGGAGGATAAATTCGGCCATCCGATCGGGAACGTCAGTCTCGCCGGTAGAGGATTTGACATATTGAAGCAGCCAGCGGCAGTTGCGCTTGGTCACGATTTCAAAACAAAGGATCCGGTCTTCCGCCAGGTACATATTGGCCGTGAAGATACCGGCGTTGGCACCGTGCATCTTTTCGCCCAGGAAGTACCGCTCTAGTGGCCCTGAACCATTCTTGTCGTTCTGCAGTGCGACGTACCGGTATGCAGAGAAGGCACCAGGAAGGACCGAAATGAACCCGAAGGCGGACTCCAACGGTTTGTCGAGGATATTGCTCAGCTTGTACTCGAAGTTCTGCCCAGCCACCAGCGGGTTAAGCAGCTTCTTTCCATGAGACAACATGGCCTTGATTTCACCACAGGCGCCGCCGCACATCGGCTCCACGTCGAAGGCCTTCCACAGAAGGTAGATGGAATCCTTGCCAGGTTTCGTTCCAGCATCCAAAAGGACGCATATGTTAGGATCAAGCACACGCCCAAAGGCCTGAAAGAACCAACGGTGCGAATTAATCTTTTTTTGGTTCTTTTCTTTCAGGCAAAAGATCATCTGCACAGGGACGGCTGAACGAGATTTCAAATGGACTTGGGTACCCTTCATTTCTAGACCAACCTGGGTCGTGTACTCGTAGATGTGTGCCGTCACGTCCTTGCCATTGACCTGCTGCTTCGCGATCCCATCCTGGTACACACCTAAACCAGCGAGCACCGCACGTGTTCGCGGGTTGATTTTCGCACGACCATCGCTGATGACGCACACTACGATTTTCTTCCATGCGTCCTTGCCCCAGGTTTTGCTATTCGTCCTCGAACACATGTGCTCAATGTTCTTGAACACACCAATTAGCGTGCGCGCAAAGAGAAAATCATCTTCGTTGTACATGGTGATCGCAATGAACAACTCCGTGTGTCGAGGTTTAGCAAATAGCTTCTGTCGCAGCGTGAAACGCTCTTCGAAGAAATCAGCAGGATCGCAGGTTGCGGCGGAGTAGCGCATATGGGTGAACTCGTCGCGACCAGGCGGTTCGGCGTGAGGAACTTGGCTGAGTAGCTTCGGTGCAATGGGGCAGTCAAGGACAAGGTTGCCGTTGAAAAGTTGCACCTCCTTCACCGTCTTCCATCGACGGATCGGAGCAGGGCTTGGAGTGTGCGCAGGATCGTCGTGATACTCGTCACTGTAAGGGTCTGGCCCAAATGGGTTCTCCGACTGCTGTAATATTGGGACGCGGTCATCGACGTAGGAATTCTGATGCTCGGGATATTGACCTAAGTCGTAGTCGTTCTGCTGAGTGATGGATGGGTGATAGGGTTGGGTGTAGTAAGCATCATGGTGTGCCTCAGGATCTACGGAATATTCGTGGCCAGGATATAATTGCGGGTGGTATTCTTCGTAGTGTTCATTATGACCGTAGGAGTTTGGTATTCTTTCCACGGAATACTAGTACATAAGATCCGTCAGTCGATGTGAGGCCACTATTTCTCATATATGAGCAATTCTCACCGTTGGTTGTTCCGCCAGACGGTCGCTAGAGGGCATCGGGAGATGTTCTTGTGGTCCGTAAGGGTGATCCGACAACTGGTAGCCATTCAACGGCCGTCCCGGCGACGGAGATCGAGCACTAAGCTGGCTGGGGTTCATGATGGGGGAGCGACTGTCGTCTTCCCCATAGGGATCTCCTAAACCTAGATGTAAGTACACAGGATTGAGCGAAGTGCGCGATCGAGAACGAAAAGCAGCACAAGCAGAAAACAGCCGAAATCAACGACAAGAAATGCACCAATTCCGCGGGGCTAACCCTGTTCACAAATTGATCTAGCAAAGCAGTCGATTCGTTGCTGACTAGAGTTTCAGAAGTATGGGTGCGGAGAATGGGAGATTAATGCACAACATTCCATGGCAGCGCAACACAGAAAGCGCATTGCATAGCAAGAACAGCAACAATACTAAGTAAAAAAAGGGGTGTTGACTAACCCAAGCGATTGTAGGACATAGCGGGCAATTGTGCCTCGGAGATTCAGTCGTTCCAATGGGAGCCCCTTGGGAATTCCCAGTCAGGAACCGACTTGCGCAGGGAGATTGCGCCAGGAGTGCGAGTGGAATGTGAACGGGCGTTCAGATCGCTTCAATAGCGCCAACCTCCGTTTCTCGGCAGTAGCTCTGGGGGCAGTGATAGACGGCTAGTGGATAGGAAAAGGGTAGGGTATGGAATTGATGGAAATAGATTGACCAGAAAATGAGGGAGTAATAACCTCTACCGCGGGGAACCGGGAGAAAAGAAAGAGTCCTTCCCAGTCAAATGTTTCGGGAGAGAAACCTTTTTTGTGGTCAGTGGCACATGGCATGGACGGACCAGAAAACGAAAGCGAAGACGGGAGGCAGTGTAGTGGCTTCGTTGACCAAGGAACCGGGAAGAGGGGACGATCAGATACAGTGGATTCCGATAAACGATACTACGAAGGACGATTGTATGTACGTATCAAATAAATGAAGGTGATTCTATCGTCATGTGGCTGCATAACAGAGAGACCCACCAGGGTTATTTTTCTGATTCTTAAGGCATTACATGATTACATTACTATTCTTCTTAGTCACTTTTATTCGAGACTAAATTCTCAATACGTACGACGGACGATCAAGACACATAAGAATACAATTAATTCCCCTGAAACAGGCCGTGCAAATCCGCCCGTGGTTAGAGTTGCGTTGCTCCAAGGCTCCAAGGTTCCACACGGCCATCACTGGGCCAACAGGCGGACTTTGTCTTCATTTTCACAGCCACTTCTGGTGTGGCGGTTCCTTGGATTGTTGGAAAATATTCGAACTGACATTCATTTTATAACTTTCCCGGTAGCCTAATTGGCGGTTTGGCCCTTCAGTCCCTACTGAAAGATGAAAATATTGGTAATGCTATCCTGAGAACCTCGCTGCCTTTCACTGACAGCTGTACTCGTGACATGCAGGTGCGCTAATAACGTCATGGTTCTATTTTAGGATTATGCCTGGTCCATCTGCATTCTGCAACCAAGGACTGTACGTAGGGCTTGGACTGGCCTTGCTCACATAAGCTTATGGATGTCAAGCAAATAGCAGATCTATCAGCGTTTTTAGTGAATAGCTTGTAGGCTACTAAGTTTTAAATCTCTTCAAGACCGACCAGAGATATTTGCAAGTAGGTGATGCATAACTCAGGGAGACGCATGATCAAGAGGTCATGGCTGATTGATCACTACCCTTGATTGTAAAACCAAACCAATTGAAGCAGCCTATTCCAGTTTGTATCATTGACCCCATAGAATGGAGGTCTTTACAAGATAAAGGGACCCCGGTCACGTAGCATAATGTACGTACCCAGAGAACATAGGGCAACAGATATCATAAAAACTCTTAGGGGCTACAGAAAGAACCGCTAGAAGAGCATACTACTTCACTAAATAGCAATCAAAGACCAAGGGACTGCTTGTGGCGACGTTTGACACAGCCAGAGACCGCACGGACCATGTCGCTATCGATAAAGAATTCTGCACCGAAACCCCGCCATTCCATTGTCACGAATAGTGTCCAGTTCATCTCTCATGCAATCAATCAAGATGACGAAGCCAACTTCCACAGGTGCCAAGGTAAATGTTCTGTTTGTCTGTCTGGGAAACATCTGTGTGTATTTACACTACACCCTTGCCCTCCAAGACACCCCAAACTGACCTAGCGCAGGTCGGTCTCCTATGGCCGAAGGTGTCTTCCGGAACTTGGCCTCCTCCCACCCTCTGATTAATGAGATCGATTCCGCCGGCACGGGGGCCTACCATGCCCTCGAGCCTCCCGACTCACGAACTCTGTCCACTCTCCGCAAACATGGCATCACTAACTATAATCACGCGGCGCGAAAGATCACCAAGGAGGACTTCCTTACATTCGACTATCTACTCGCCATGGACAAACACAACCTTCGCGATCTTCTTGATGTCCGTGACTCTGTCCTGGCATCCATGAACAACAAATCCAGTGATGTAGCGTCGCGGGGCACCAAGGGCACCCGGGCAGCTACCGCCGCCGCGCTTGCGGCGAGCGGGGAAGCGGGTGCCAAGGTTGCAGATGTGCGGCTGTTTGGTGATTTCGGAGCCGATGGTGTGCTGCATGATCGAGTTGGTGGGGGAGAAGTGGTGCAGGATCCATATTATGGAGGTGTCAACGGATTTGAAGAGGTTTACCACCAGGTGAATCGGTTCTCCAAGGGGTTTTTGGAGTATCTGGAGAAGAACCACGACATCGAGGTGGATAACTAGAGGATGTACGGTGTGTTAAGCTCGAGCTGATTGTAGATACCCTCTGGTTCGAATAGACCATCATAGATAACCGATAAACATATATTTCTGATGAGATAGGGATTGATGAAAGTATTGTACATGTGGTATATATAAAGGTATCAACTGTAGTATCGTAATGTACAGTAGTAGCATAACGAAGGGTGCTCACTCAATGAATGGAACGATCATTGAATCTACTCCCCTGGGCCTTGCAATCAGACCCTCTCGCTAATCTTGATCGCTGCTCGACACCCTAGTCGGATGACATTGACCAATGGATCATATGGTCGCGCCTCCTTGGCATCATTTTCAACTGCATGATCCAAATGTTCCAATTCTTCGTCGCGAATTCTCCTTAAGGTGGCCAGCATCTCCTTCAACTCGTCGTCCAATTCCTCCCCTCTCTTCTCAGCCTCCTCCTGCCATGACAGAATCTCCCGCACTTGTTCGTTGTAATGAGTGCCGATCTCCGTTTCTACTGCTTCTGTGCAGGCCATTGCTGCCTCCCGTCCCATAGCCCCAGTCGACCAGCCGAGAAAGGTCGCCGCCGCTTGCCAAATAGGATACATTGCTGTCGGCCGGACGTGATGCTTCGCGATGAGATCGTTGAAGATAGATAAGTGGCCAGCCTCTTGGTCGTACATATGTTTCATCAAGGGCCGCAGATGGGGATGAGATCGCACAACTTGTGGCGTTTGGGCCGTGTAGATCAGGGTGGCAGCCAGCTCACCGGCTTGGTTGACTCGGAGAGCGCTATTCATGAATTCGCGTTGGCGCTGGTTGAGGACATATTTTGGTCTCGGAGAGCTAGAATTTGGATCACGTGGTGAAGCTGAACCTTCGGTCGCTGTCTGCTTGGCACTTGCTGAGTTGTACTGGCGATAGCTTTGTCGTAGCGTTGATGGGGCGAGGAAGTCGAGTACTAAGGGCGACAACCGGCGATGAGAATGGGCGAGGGGACCTTTTCGGAGGGCCATTAATGATTTCATATTAACAGATGGGGACACTATATTTCGAATATCCGATACGCGCAGGAATATCGCAAAGCAAAAAAAAAAAAAAAAAAAATAATACACTGTGACAGAATTATTAAGAGATAACGGAACCTGGCACAAAATATTCCGAAGTGCTCCTATCGATACAGACGCGCGCTTAATCTGGCTCGGGCTTGGCACGCCATCCCTTGACTGGACGTCATGGCGGACAAAGACGAATCAGTTGCGTCCACCTCGGGCCCTGCATTCAAATTCAAATTCACTCAGCTTTGCCTGCACGCCACCCACCCGCCTCCTTTCCCTCATCATCTACTCCGTATACGCCATTTTGTCTATATTGCACAGGTGCTTTCCTTAATATCATCTGTATGAGTTATCTATCCATTTATATATGAACCTATTGCGATCCGAGAAGACTGTGGCCACCTAAGACATTTTTCCTTTCTGCGCAACGTGAGAGTGTCGAGAGGCTCTTTATTATCTTCACTAGCGCCTTCTACCAATACCGGAGGTTCCCTTTCCTTCCTTGCGCTCTTTCCCTGCTGGTTAAATTAGTGGCACCTGAAATTTCGGGCCACCTTTGAGCAATTCACTATGGCGGATGATTTGGATGCCGAGCTGCTTGCTCTGGCGGGGGACTCCTCAGACGAAGAGGAGTCCACCCCAAACAGGCAAAAGGCTGCTTCCCCAACTGCTTCAGGTTCCCCTCGCTCCCCAGCCACATCATCCACCATGGGCCACAAAAGCACTGCGAAACCCGTTCGACGAGGCCGGAAGTCGAAGAAGGACGACGAGGAGGATGGAGAACTGTATGTTGAAATCCCTTCCCAGCCTCTTCGTCTGCTCTCTGTTCAGTAGTGCAACGAGGGACTTACACGCATCTGTCTTGACTAGGTCCGCGGACGAGTCCCACCATTCCCTTGACTCTGCCAGCATGTCCGAATCCAATTTAGGGTCTGATTCTGAAGGCTCAGCTCCTGGCGCTGATGAGGATGGCCCCATTTTCCCATATGATAAGCTTTACCATTCGGCCAAAGACAAAGAGGAGATCATGGCGATGCCAGAAATCCAGCGCGAACAGATCCTTTCTGAGAGAGCACAACAGGTTGATCGCCACAACCAAGACCTCGCTCTCCGCCGACTCCTGGCATCGCGTGAACGCGAAGAAGCCCGGAAAGCTAAGAAGAATAAGCGCAAAGCCAGCACAGCAAACTTGGAGGATGGCAATCGCAAGAGCTCACGCCAGAAAACAATGCTTGGTGGTCGCAAGGTAGGAGAGACATCGGATGCGATCCAGGCCTACAAGCGGCAGCGTGAACAGAAAGGGAAGCGTGATGAGCTCCGCCGTCGGGAGGCTACTACCAAAGACCAAAAGGCTCGGACAAGGGAAGACAGGGTCTCAGATGAAGATGCAGAAGGAGAGAGCGACGTTGAATGGCCTGACCGTGAGCGCTCTTCGTCGCCTCCAAAAGATGATCCACCTGCAGAGCTTCGTGATCTCCAACGAACTCGTGTGGGCCGGAGCAACTTTGCACAAGTTTGCTTCTATCCCGGGTTTGATGACGCTATCTCGGGTTGCTATGCTCGAGTCAATATTGGCCCGAATAGGGAGACCGGCCTCAATGAATACCGAGTTTGTCTGATCGTCAGTACGTATAGCAAGGAAATTTTCTTTGTTTATATTCTACTAGAGAATGCTCCTTCTGACCTCATTACAGAGTTTACTGAAGGACGTCCCTATGCCATGGAAGGTGCAAATGGCCGGTCTTTTCTTACAAACCAGTATGCAGTACTTGCGCACGGAAAAGCAGAACGCGAGTTCCCCTTCATTGCCTGCTCGGATTCCCCATTTACTGAGGTATGTCTCACCCCAATGTTGTCTTGTGTCTCGCTAATCGATCGTAGGTTGAGTTCAATCGATATCGCCAAACGATGGCAGTCGAGGATTGCAAGATGGCTACTAGGTCTATGCTCGCTAATAAAGTGTCTGATATCAACCGGTTATTGAATCACAAGTTTACAAACGAGGAGTTGAACGAGAAATTGCGTAAACAAGGTTCGTTGGATTCAAAGGCACTCTTCTTCAAGCGTGTGGAGAACGAAAAGCAATTGAAGCTCGCCAAAGCTGCTGGTGACGATGCCGAAGTGGAGAGACTAGAGGCCGAGCTTTCTAGCCTGTCGGCCCCCAAGCTTGCTTTCAGCAACAATCATTCCAAGCCTCGTGCCAACAAGCCCTCGGAGCATGAGCGCCTTGCGGAACTCAATCTGCGCAACCAGAGGCTTAACTATGAGAATGTGCGTCGCGCGCAACTTGAAGAGCGCAAAGCCAGCCGGAAGGCGGCTGCGGCAGTGGCTCGTGGAGAGGCTACGGCAAACCCTTTCTTGCGTGTCAGGACCCAGGCAAGGACTCATTATGATGTCAACGCTCTTTCCGCAACGTCTTCCCAGGAAGCTTCTGGGAATGGTACGCCCGCTACTGGGTCTGAAGCAGCCTCTAAATCGAATGCTCCGAGCAAACCTAGCACTCCTTCCAGCTCTCAGAAGAGACAATCTAAAAGCGGCATTCCGATGATTCGTCACCGGAATATGGATGATGAGAACATTGCTGCTTTGGATCTGGAATTGGATATTGAGATCTAGTTCTCAATGTGTTCACCAGAGGAACACTACATCATGCAAACTTTTATGAAATGGACGCCTCTCCCAAGTATTTCGCGTACAGCATATTTGGGTCATGGGCTTTTCGGGTGACAGTGGTTGGTCTTCGAGATTTATTCCATGTGGCCAACGCGCCCCTACGGCATCGGCTCTTGTATTTCACATAGGGTGGCGTTAACTGGTGTTAAGATAACCTATTAAAGAGACATGTACTATGGAACACACTTGTAAGAACCTCAAGACCATGTATTTCCACAATTTCCTCCAAAGTCTAGAAATACCAGAGTATCTTCAGTGATAAGGAGTCGCTTATCTCCGCACATCACGTGTGATAGCACCCGTATGCTACGCGCTCCAACGCGCCGCGTCTTGCATGCGATTCTCCGCCCTTGACTGACATCCACTTTGTTCTCCGTGCCTTGGTCTGAATTTTGAAAGACCAACCTACCATGGTCGTTTTTCGCTGAAGGACAATGGTCTGTTCTTTCAAATAATATCAATATAACTGAATCCCGTGCATAGTACTTCACGATGTCAGCGCCTTCTACTCCCCGGACGACGCGTTCTGCGTCGCTGGCGGTGGAATCACCTGCCATTCTCACACCAGGGAAAAAGATCAAGGCAATGTTAGCTGCCTTTGATAGCGATTCGGACACAGAAAATGGTCAATTAAACCCCAAAGCGATGCAGACGAGGCCCAAGATTAGCGGACATCAACAAACAGCGGCGGAATCCGACGATGGAGACAACTCGTCAGATGATGACATTATAGTGCCCCGAGGCCGTATGGCTGCACGTCTGCAGGCCATGGGCCAGAGTAATGGCACCAATACGTCGTCGCATGCTAGCCATACCGAATCTGCATTGGAACGAGTATCAAAGACGTTACGGAACGAGAAATCGGGCACAGAGGATTCCTATTATGGCTCAGCAGTCGACGCGGCGGAAACATCCGATGATGATCTCCCTATAGCTGGTCCTAGAAAGAGACTCGCAGGAACAAAGATAAGCACAGAGCACGATGTCCGATCGAGTCGGTCACCATCCCGGGCGCGCTCGTTTTCACCGTTGTTCATGTCCTCGCCCCGCGCGCAGGAGAGCAAAGAGCAGGATCAAGAAAGATCCGACGACTCGGACGATGATAAACAGATGCCGAAGGTAAACTCCCGTTTCCTTGCTCTTGTGGCCCAGAAGCGCAAGGAGCGCGAGCTGAAAGAGAGGGAAGAGAGGGAGAAGAGAAAGCAAACTCTCTTCACAGGAAAGTCAGTGCCCATGACTCAAGAAGAAATTTACCAAGAGGATCAAGAGGATGTTTTGGAACGGGTGCCCATCCAACAGTCGCGCCCTGCACGAAAGGCCAGCAAGAAGGCCCTGGAGGAGATGAACCGCGAAACCCAGCGGATGAGCAGAAACTTACAATTGGCGCACCAGGCGACGACGAAGAAGAAGATCTCCAAAGAAAGCTTTTTAGCCCGGTTCAATTTTACGCAACAGCAGGAACAAGAGAACGGGCCATCAGCTGATAACTCATCGACGACCACCGGCTCGCAGCATTCATCAGACGCTGAGGCTCAGAAAAATAAAGGCACGCCGCACACGTCTCCCGTCATTGAGCCATCTGAAAAACCACCGGATATTGATGCTACAAGTATAGCAATGGACGAAGACACAGAATTTCCTACTCTGGAAGATCTGATTGATAGAACACAAAAGCAATCTGAGCAACCTTTGATAGGACTTATGGAAGATCATGGAGCCAACTCAGACTCCAAAGCTGTGGCACCTAGAAAGGAAAAGAAGCCTCATGGGGCTCCTCCTGTTCGTGTTCGCCTTTCCCGACAGGCGGTGGCCCGGAATCAGAAGGACGATTCAGATAGCGATTTGGAAGTGGTTACATCTCCCGGAAAATGCCGACGTCTCGCTGCATTTGAAAATGTCCCAACGAAAAAAGTTCAGGAATCGTCCGCTCTGCTAAAACTGAAAGCTTTGGCTCATCTGACGTCCCCAACTCGTCGACCTGCAATGAACAATGCCGAATTATCCGCACAATTACTGCACAAGGCAAGGCAGCAAGCTACCCATGAAAGACAAGAGCGAGTCCAGGAGCTTAAAGCGAAAGGTATCATCATCGAAACTGCGGCGGAGCGGGCGACCATGGAAGATGAATTAGAGAACCTTGTGGAAAAGGCTCGGAAGGAGGCAGCAGACATTGCAAAGCAAGAACGGGAGGCAGTCAAGAAACAAAATGGGGGTTTTGATGACGAGGACGATGATGAAGAATATGATGAGTCTGATTTTGAGGAGGAAGATTGTGGTGATAATGAGGATGAGGATGAGAATGAAGATGAAGATGGAGAAGATGGGGATGGGAAGGAAGTCAACTTGTTCGACTCCGAAGCAGGCGAGGATGAAGAGTCGGATGATGATATGACTGAAGCCATGTCGGTCGATGAGGCTAATGTGACCACCAAAAGGCGAAAACGACCTACCCGGGTTGTTAGTGACGACGAGGACGAAGATCAGCAACTAAAGACACCAGCTAAGCCGATTAATTCACCAGCTCGCTTTATTGAACGACCTCACATCCCCGGCCTTCCTTCTAATGATATGACGATGAGTCTGACGCAAGCCTTTGCAGGCACGCTAGGTGGAAGCTGGCAGGACTATGAGCAGGGCTCCTCGACAATCCCCGATTCCTTGCCGGATCCTGTTCAGATGACCAACGATCGTCAAGAGTCAGATTCACAGATGATAATAAAGGACAGCCAAGAACCGCAGACGGAGACCGCGGACTTGCTGGCGAGATATACTCCGTCTGTTGCGCGAGTATCTGAGTCTCCTGCGCGACGAACTATGTCTCAATTATCTCAAGTCCCAGACCCCACACAGGATGCTGGCTTCGTTCTCTCACCTTTTGACCCCTCTAAAAGGTTTTTAGGTACCCCAGTGTCGACAGTGGAGACTGTTCTCATAGAAAGGGATGAATCGCGAGAAAATACCCTGGTCCCTGAGAGAAAGATGAAGCACCTCCGACGTGGTCGGGCTACTGAGCTCTCTATAATCGAAGAGCAAGAGGAAGGCGACTTTGAGGTGGACGCCAGCTCTTTTAATGTTATGAAGAAAGCAGCGAAGAAGCCAAGCGTTCCATTTGATAGAAAGAAGAGCAAGGCAAAGGATGTTGTGGAAGAAGCAGCCGAGGAGTCCGAAGATGAGTACGCCGGCCTCGGAGGTGCGAGCGACGAGGATTCGGGTGATGAAGAGAATGTATATGATCGGCAGATGATCAATGACAGTAGCGGAGAAACTGTTGATGAAAAGCAGCTGGCGGCTCTTAACGCGTATGTGACAACTCATTCTTGCTGGGTATATTTCGTGCTAACATGGACCATAGGTTACACCAGAGAAACGCAGATGAAAAGCAGGTGGCAAAGCTGCTCAAGGATATTACAACCGGTGCACTTCGGCGAAGGAGGCAAGGGGACGATGAATTTGACCTGGATGATTCAGACGATGAGCTTCTAGCACGTCGACGAGAAAAGCAAAGGGAATTTGCACGGATGCGCAAGGCGCTGATGGCCGATGAAAAGATTGGTGAAATCGCTGAGAACCCAAAGAAAGCTGCATTCTTCAAAGCTATTGAGGATCGCGAAGAGGCGGATGATGTTTTGGACTTCTTACATGAGGAAAGCGTTGGATCTCAAGAATATTCATCCTCGCAAGACGTGAAGTCCGGATTACAGGATGCTATGGCGGAAGCCAACAGCAAGAGAAAGCGACCTCTTGAGCCGGGTACTGAAGATACCTATAACCGGCCTCCGCCACATATGCGTCGTAAACCAGCCAGCGCCATGTCCAAGAAACCTACTACCCTCGCAGAGATCCGCGAAACTGTCTCTTTCCTGACTGAACGTCCTGAGTATGACTCTTTCCATGAAGATGCGGCTATGGAAGACGAGGAAAGAGGAGATAGGGACCACGAAGACGAAGGCACCGACAAGCAGGCACTGGCCAGTCAACTGCAGGAAGAATTTGCTCGACGGACTCATCCCCGGCGCACGAGAGGCCCAGTTGTGGATCGTCTTGCACTCTTACGACAAGCATCCTCGAACTCGGCCACATCAGCCTCATCCAGCACCCGTTTTGCATTCCATACTAGTTTTGGCGAGTCGGGTTCCAACATCGGGTTCCGGCCGCCTCCTCCACTGCGAAAGGCCTCGACAGCATCTTCCTCGAGCAGTACGTCATCTAAATCCGATCCGTCATGGCGAGCACCCAAGGTGCCTGCGTCGGGAGGGGGGTCATTGACCAAGAAAGGTGCAGTTAATTACTACACCGCCGCCCGCGAGAGGGAGCGTGAGAGAGAGCTGCGCACGCAGAATCGTGCGGGGGGTTCTAATATCGCAGCATTGTTGAACAGACATGCGAACAATCGACTGGGGGCCTTGAGTGGCACAGGACAATGGGACTAGATTGCCGGTCAATCTTGAATTTGTAATTTGGCATCTGTGGAGTATTCAGCACTACATCATTTGTTCGTGTTTGGGTAGACTTGAATTAGAGTACTGCTCAATTCAATCCAGAGTATACTATTGTAATTAGCGGATACATTAAGAGCACTTTGAATCTGTTCCCTCAGGATGGTCGTAACGATATTTGATATGCCTAACAGCACATGTGCTACTTAACAATTATAGAGAATAGGTCCAAATCCACATTGAATGGTACGGACCTACTTATATTCTTCCAGAAGGATGGCTATTAACTCCACCAGGGAATGAATCACCTTCACCCCCTCTAGATCCTGAGAAGTGTTTTTCCTAGGCAGGAAATACCCCGTCCATCCTGCATCCACGGCAGCATGATAATCCTTCCGCAGATCATCGCCCACATGTACCAACGTCCATTCCGACGGACCATCATGCCCAAGAATCTGCTCCGCCAGTCGTCTAGCAATGTCAAAGATCCGCCGGCCGGGTTTCTCCTCGCCGGCCTCATAACTTGTCACCACAAGATCGATATCATTCATCCCTTCAGATTCAGACTCCCCATTTGAACTCTCCCTGTCTTCTCCTCTCTCCTCAAACCCAGGCAACCCCATCCCTTCATCAGCCCTGTATTTCCCCACCTTCAACCCCAACGACTCCAACACCGCCGGCACCCGATCATCCGAGTTGGAAACCACCCCGACCACGATCCGATCAAAATATCCCCCCCTTTCTTCCTTGAGGCGTCCCAACAAGGTAAAGAACTGCTCCACATCATGAAACAACGAATACCCTTCTCGACTGGAAAACCGGTGCAAGAGATGCTGAACGAGCGCATCGGGGATGTCGGGCATGACATGACCCTGAGCCATCGCATCACCAGCACTCGGGGAAGGCCACAGGCAGTCTTTGGTCTTGGCCATCTTCTGCGTATCCTCCCTGCTGTCGTTGGATGAGGCGTCTGTGTCTGTGTCTGGTGGTAAAGTCTGCTGTTGCCCAGATATCGGGGACTGGCAGGAAAGAATATCCATACGCCGCTTATTCTGCTGCTCAAGCAGCATAAGCTGCATATCAATTTCTTGGAGAGTCTCCCCATTCTGGCCACCATGCGTCTGTGTCTGTGTCTGTATTCCAGAGTCGCCGTTACTGTAATTTATCATTGCCCGCTTGACATTCCTCTGGGCCTCCTCCCGCTTTTCACGAAGTAAGGCCAAACGCCGCTCATTCTGCTGTTCAAGCAGCGTACGCTGCATTTCCCATTGTTGGAGAATTCGCTTCCCATCCTGACCACTAGGTGTCTGCGTCTGCATTCCAGTGTTGCGGTCGCTGTCGTTGTTCATTGCCCACTTGAGACTTCCCCGGATAATCTCCTCCCACCATTGCCGCGGTCCACCATATTCCCCGCGGAGGACCTGTTCGCGGCCGTAGTTCGGGTGTGATTGCGACTGAGCCTTGAATACAGCCTTGAAGGCTGGTTGGAGTCGGCCTGGCGTCATGAGGGAGTGGGGGAGGCCAAATGCTACGGCGGCAGAGGCGTATTGCTCGGCGATGGGCTCGCGGGGATGGAAGAGTGTGCCGAAGGCGTCAAGGGTGATGAGGAGAGTGCGTGGCATGGTGTGAGGTTTTTAAGGGAGTTTGTTGATGTTCTCGATATGTACATACAGACTGGAGTGATGATGATGAGGGGAGTCTGACCAAGTAGGTGATAACGTGACCAGTCAGTGAGGGGCACTGTTACGGCCTACGAAATAGAGAGAAAAAAATAATGACGAAATCAACTCTATACGGTGCCTGCAACGAGCATACTAAGCATAGGGAGGAGAGGAAGAGGATGATGTAGTCCATAGATATCACCACATTCTGCCGTGCCCGACCGCTCACCCTGCAACCAGTTTGGTTGAACCAAACAGTGCAAATAAATACCGCCCCTGCCCTTACCGCTCTCGACACCGCTCCCGACACCGCTCCCAGGAAAAGGTCAGTCACGGGCAAATCTCGCGCAACAAGCCGCTTTTCCCAATTACGTTCTACAGCTATTCGAACCAATACTATTGGTTTTGGCTGCCATTTCCCCGTTCGCTGCAACTTTACGCGTGCCATAATCATGCTCCCATAGCTGCATACCCTGCAGGCTTGACTCGATGCCAAACAAATCGAGTAGCCGAACATCTATTCTTTAACACAAACTCGAAGAGCTTAGCTACCCTAAGGTTCCGAGTCATTAAACTAACTACAGATTATGCTGGAGCGCCACGGATCCACAGATTAGGCCGCCGTCCGTTATGATCTCAATTCATTCATTGGTGTTCTGTTCCTGAATAATGACCCACCCCATAGTTATCTTCTATACCAAAAAGCGTGAATTGTTATAGTTGCCTCCGCACGGATGCTTGATCAGAACTTTTACACTTTGTAGGCAGAGAATCGATTTGGAATCTGGATCACCAGCCCGGCCTGTTTCGGATTGGATGTCATTGAGTTATCTATTGCAGAAAGCTCAAGAGGTAAGAGCTCTCGCGAAGACTCCGTGTCTCTGTTGACTTGCATTGACGCTCAGCTGGTATCTGTATAGCTCGTTGAAAGCCACTCGGTCCACAGGCCAAATTCAAGTCTATCACTTTGAGAATAAGGCAATTTTAATTCATATCCTGAATAGCGCATATTAACCGTAAAGCCAACGGGCTGCATACTACTTAACCTGTATAATCTTGCTCTATCACCTCCATCTCTCTCCTAGCTTTCAGTGCAACCTGTCTTATATGCTTATCAGCTTCCTCCCCGATATCACCGAAACGGCACTTCCAAAATTTCCATCTTTCAAGACACATCGTATTTTTACCGTTATATAAAGATCCAGTTGCAACAGAGGGAATTTCCTCTTTGCCCTCTGTGCCATGGATTGCTTGTCTGTAGAGTAATTCACCACTCAGCCTAATCCATTCTGCAGCTGCCGGTACATTGCATTCGAGCCTGGAGATCTCAGATGGCTCCTCAAGGGCTTCACGGAGCTCCCATATACCAAACACGGTCCATGATACCGCATCGACCTTAAGAAGTCGGGCTGCGAACGCATTCAAATTGATCCATTCCTGTGCCATTTGGTTTGTAGGGTGGCCCTCTGTGGGTTCTGGCGCTATACTTGTGAGCAATGACTTGATAAAATGGCCAATATGAAACTTACAAATCCAAGCCTCCCTCATGCTTGGACCCAGCAAAGGTAAATCCGTCCATAAACGAGTGTTTGTCTATAGATAATCACAAAGTTTAACCGATTTTCAGCACAGGTAATCTTCTTGAAGCATAGATAAACAGAGAACCAACCTGCCAAATCTCTACATTTAATGGAGGCAACAAAGTAAGAGCTTCCACCAGGTCTACCATTCGGTCTTGAAAGGGGTGGTCATGCGGAACTTGCCGGGCAACACTGATAAATGCATCCCACGTCTGCCAGAGGAATTCCTCTAAGTCGTTGTCCGGGACCTTACACCCTTCCTGCAAGTGTCTCGCGGGATTTAGCTTGTCAATTTCCTGTGTAGCGACTCGAATAGAATCCGGACTAAGATTTTGAAGGAAATTATCCAGAACTTCAATTACTTTCTGTTCGACGTTGCCTATTCCCTCGTTGATGAGGGGTCTTAAGAAGGTGCAGGTTGTTGGCATGGTTGCAAGTGAGTCCTGTCTTTCCAGGGCGAAATAATAGGGTCGTCTTGGTGGAAAGATGAAAGGACGAGAGTACGCGAATTTTCGTCTGCTCTGACTTGAGGCTAGACTTCTGTAGCTTGGCATATGATAAAACAGATCGTACCACGTTGCAGAGACTCTCCCAGGTATCCAACAGCTTCCAGAATGATACCCCAAACCTTGATGTTGAAAACGTAATTTATTGCGCCATGCTAGCATGCCTTCTTGCAGTCGCTTTAATATATGGGGCACAAGAAGATTCAAGAAAGATTGTCTGGAACCTAATAAATTAAGGTATCGTTCTACCAAGTGCTGTTTCATTCAGACCCACAACGGGTCCTGTCTAATGACCTGCAAAGTTACTATCGGAAAAATTATGGTCTAGGCGATCCAGCTCCTTTGACTATTTTTATTTGCTCAAATTCTTGATACTATTCCTGTTTGATTAGGGCTTGGCGATTGTGAGGGCAGTGCGATCCACATTTATACTAACAGTTGAAACTAACTCACTGCCCAACTTGCTTGGCACCTCGAGGACATTGCTACATCCGGGCACTCTGTCTTCTTCTGGATCTTTCGCTTTTTCTTTTCGGTTAAGCCTTCGTACTGGTCGATCATTGGTCTATTCACAGAATAGTGATTAGCATTCAGGATAAGGGGCCTTCTCTCAGCTTTATCTCCAATATCCATGTGCATGTGTAAGCCGATAAGTTAGTGTCTATTTACAGACGTCGTTTATATATTATTTTAGTCGTAAAAATATATCTTACGCCCCTAGATGACAAAAATGGGATCCTAACCGCCAAACCGCTCTTGGCGATGGACTATTGATAATTATTTTCATAGCAGCGATAAAGTTTCATTTCTATTATGCAAAATTGATCCTTATACGCTATGGTTATCTAAAACTAGCTAGACAGTTCAAGGCAGGGAATGTAATCAAGCCACTGCAGAAATCCTTATAAGTGAAAGGAGATAGGCGGCACTTCCATCGCGCCACAGTTATTCTTTAATGGGATGATTCGGTTGATTGCCACTAAATCTATTTCACCGTGATCATACTATAGGGTATTAGGCTACAGTCTAGACTGCATGCCAAGTGTCATGTCTCCATGTAAACTGAGACGGATACTATCCAAGGAATGCTGGTAAAATTAAAAGTATCGCTATTCTTGTCTTTACGGTCTGGTACAGATGTAGGACGCATTGAACCGCGTGATTGGGTTAGTTTGACGAGGATACTGAGAAGTCAAGTTTGCGGGAAATAATACATTTTCTCTGTTGAAGTTGAGGGCCAAGTGGCTTAGACATGGTCAGTTCCAGCAACTACTTCGTTTCCCTTACTTCTCTGGGATAGAGGCTGCTAAGCACGATGGCTTGGCTAAATACTCTACTGGGGGTATATATACCATCTTCTTCCCCTACGAAGCATACCCAATTTTCTATAAACCAATCTGGCCAACAAGTTTCCCACTACTATTACAACTCTCTTTAACTTGAACTTTTTATCATGCGTCCCCTTTTCTGGCTTGCTGCCATTGGGGCAGTGGTGTCAGCATTGCCTAGCCAGCGTGCCGCAGATGACGCCGGAAGTATTATTGTGAAGAGGGCAGACGAGAATGTCCAATTCGTTGATGCTACTGGAGGTACTGAAACGCAAATCGCTCGACCCCCTTCAAAGGAAGACGAGTACAACGTGCTCGATGACAATGGAGGGGTCGACGCATGCCCAGCCCCCTCAGTCGGCAAGCGCCAGACAACCCCAAGGCCATCTCAAACTCCAGAGAATATCGAAAATACGTTGAGGGAGTTGCAACGCCGTTTACTTCTGCAGCAGACCGTGGGCCGTCGGAGTACGCATGCACGCTTATCGCCACTTGTACCAAGAGGATCTGCTGACTGCTAGCAAAGGATATCCTCATGTGTTTAACAACTACGAGCAACTTCCGTTTCCAGGGTTTGAAAACACCCGGCTCTACGAGTTCCCCCTTCTGCCATCAACCGAACCGATCTATAATGGAGGCAGCCCAGGGCCTACTCGAATAGTGTAGGTACAATTTTTCCTTCAGTTCATGTTCCTTTGCTAATAAACGCCTTGGTAGTGGTGCACTCGCCAGCGATGGTACCATACAGTTGGCCGGGTTTATCAGACACCCCCCCGGAAACCGTGGAGGGTTCGAACTGTGCCCTGACTCCGCTGCAGTTACTTCTAGTACCACCACCACCACCACTATCGCCCCGGTTGTTGATGATGAAGTGTGTACGGCGGTCCCCCATACGCATGATGAAAACAGACGGTCTATAAAAACAGAGTCTAATCTAACCCGACGAGATGTTTCGGACATCCTACGTAAACTCTGTCGTTCGAGGCAACGCATTGAAGCAGGCGCTCAGACTGGAACTAATGGAGAGGTCTGGTTTTTCAGGGGCGATGAATACGTCCGCTACTCGACGAATGATGAAAGCATTCATTTCCGAAAGAAGATTTCGGAAGGCTGGCCGGGATTGAAGGACACTCCATTCAGCAAAGACATCGATGCAGCTGTGAAGACTGGAACCTCGGACGAATACTGGCTCTTCAAAGGAGACGAGTATGTTCGGTACTCCAACAGCGATGAAAGCATTCATTTCCGAAAGAAGATTGTTGAAGGTTGGCCGGGATTGAAAGGCACGCCATTCGTCAAAGGCATTGATGCAGTGATAAGAAGCGAAACGAGTGGGGAAATATGGTTCTTCAAAGGGGACGAGTATGTACGCTACTCGACAGATGATGAAAGCATTCATTTCCGAAAGAAGATTGTCGAAGGATGGCCAGGATTGAAGGACACTCCGTTTGTCCGTGATATCGACGCAGCAGTCAAGACTGGAACCAGTGAGGAATATTGGTTTTTCAAGGGGAATGAGTATGTCCGGTATTCGACCGACGATGAACGGATTCATTTTCGAAAGACGATAGCAGCAGGGTGGCCAGGATTGAAGGATACTCCCTTCAGCAGGCGGCACCTAATTACCGAGCCATGAATTTGTCGGCGATTCAATTATTACGGACATGACGTCTGATATATGTCCGTGTAACGTCCCATACTCCTGGACTACAGCGGATGATTGTTTACTACTATATATTACTTGTGTCTGAGATTAGACCTCACCCAGAGGCAAACATAATCTTTATAGACTTTAAGAGAGGTTAATATTTAAGGGCAAGAGTCTTATAAACTAGACAACAGCATCTGAGGATTAAGATATTAAACTAGTATAAATAACCCTACGCAGACTCCGTCCCGCAAATCACACGCAAAGTCCCCCGACGTATCGTCAATGGACGATCATAAACAGATCAAAGTAAAAGTTGAGCAATTTCATAGTCCGGGTAGTGAGCATTATGGAGCTCTGTTATGGATAAATGATTTTTTTTTTAATGATCATCGTTGTTGGGAGTGGAAGGAAGGAGTATAGAGAGGAAGTGGAAAACGCGGTTTATTTTAGGGTGATGATACAGCCCCTGAGTACCCTCAGTAAAGCGGTCATAGTGGCTCTAGAAAATCAAGTAGGTATAATAGGTACATATCAATCTTTTTCTCAAACCCGAATCACATGAACCACTAAAGCAAATATGTATAGTAAGTTGGTAACCATAGTAGCATGTGCTCCACGTAGAAGCCTTTCCTGTATCAAGCTAGAAACGATATCAAGTAAGGATTCTTGACATTCCGTGCAAACTCCAACATCATAAGAACAATAGCAACAAGTATAAATCCAGTCGAGTTCTCTTGACATCGTCTCTCTATATATTCACCTATCACCATTTCTTTGACACCTCGTCGGCAGGGATAATAGTTTTGCCTGTTAGGAGCTCCCTGTGACCTACAAGTCATAGGCATCCACAACTACGGCTCTCCTCATTCCAGCTAGACCAAGTAATTGGGCACCATCTGCCGAAATTAACTTTTATAGAGACTCAAAATTTGTATTTTTGGTAGACGTAAACCTTTCCGCCGGTTCGATTTTCACATCCAGATTATGATGCTTGGGTGTAAGCGCAGTCTCGTCTGCTACGTACGAACTGCTTCACTTCATTTCTTGCATAGCGAATAGACTGAAGGCCACTAAAAATATCACTCAATAAAACCTCGGAATTCTCACCAAACTTCTCTTCATCGTATGGTCTGCATGATATTGTAAAACCCATCTTGCTCTTCTCTCTTTCAGGACACGGGTTGTTCTCAAATATTTTAATCCAGCGATAACCGAGGAATCGCAAGTCCACGAATGTTTTGGGTGTCGGAAATTTGGTTAACAAGAACTCTTTCACTTTCCACATTATACTCTGCATATGTTTTCTCTAGAGCTGCCATCTTGTCGGCTGGAGTCAGTGAAAGTTAAAAAAGAAAAGAAAGAAAGAACGAAAGAAAAAGCCGCCATATCGTAAAGTTCAAGTTCGAAGGGATAAGCTTGCGCAAATCTTCGGGTTGATGGCTTTGATGAGATTGGTTCTCAACGGAACAGTGAAGACCTGAACAAGAGGTAGATAGGATTGGGGCCCAAGTTAAACTTGTAGAGCCCCTCCAGCATTATACGTGACGCAGAATCCTAGTAAGAATTTGACTGCAGGCTTTTGCCTCGTCCGAAGTCTAAATTTACCCGCTTTGATCTAAGATGCACTCTCGTGTGGAAAGATCTACATTAGGTAGCCTACATGCAGCGTTTGCGAGGCAAATGTATGCTTCATATAGCGAAGCTGCATCCACGACGCCAATGACATCTGTGGCATCGTTTTATTTGTTGAGCTGGGTATAAGATAACAGGTCTTAAAGATCAGACTATGAGAAGCTTGGTTGTAGATTAATAACCTTCCACGCATGCGATGAATAAGGGAGTCCGGCCGTGTATAGTTTCAGGGATATTGAGGTCCGTCGTTCTGAGATTGGCAATCAAAATCGAAAGCGCACTTCACAAGCAGGTCAACCATCTCGTACTGGTGTTTTATAGCAGTAAAACGAGATCGTTCAGAGTAGCCATTGCATTATTATTCAGGTTCTTATCACCTATTTGACTAGTCAATCCAATGGTGGTTAAGAAAGTCCTTACAACTGTTGCAGGGTTGTTAATCACTGCGTACTGGAATCCAGATATAAAATCGATTGACAGATGACTGGCGAGCCGTAGAATGCACTATAGTGGAGATAAAGTCAACCAAGAGTATCCTTCGACGATAATATATCCCTTTGGCCATGATTAATTTGTTCCACTGTGTAAAGAAACAGGTTGTTCCCTGTTTCACGATACTCGTTAAAAAAAAACACTGAGAGCAGTTCCTCAACTGATGGTGTTTTTCAAAATATTCATCTCGGCCAGAAATGGTGATTATATGGTTCAAGATACTGTGGTCTAGAGCAACGCCATATTTTGGGAATGCTTCTGGAAGCAGAAAGCTGGTGGATTGTCTAGAATAACTTACCGCATAGCTCTGCTAGGATATAAACAATTCCTTGAAAGTACGCCTTTAATGTACCGTTACTCAAGTACATCTCGTCCAGTATATTGGCCAATTTTGACTACTGGTCCTCCTTGATAGCGGAATACAAAGCCCTGTGGAAGGACTGAGAAAAGATTGACCACAGGTACTCCCCAGACACCATGACATAGCTGAGTGAAGCTTTGCCCCAGAGAGGTTTCGAACGATCCCGGCTATCGATGCATTCGACCTTTCGATGGACTTTAAATATTGGGAGTCGCAATCTATCTTCGATTTCATCCATTTGGATGTGACCCTGGTGCGACCGTCCGGTCAAGTTGTGGAATTTCTCGAGCGTTGCGTTCATCTTCTGGATAGCTTCTCCATTCACCCGATAATACCATTGCAGCCTCTCCAAATCTTTGCAGAGCTCTATTCCCTGTTTCTGGGGTATTCGTGTTCGGCACCAATCCATACTTTTTGTGAAGCTCTGCTTCCCTTTTGGATAGGAATTGACAGATTTCGCTGTGATAGTAGATAAAAGAATCGATGCTACACTCCGGAGTTGCATGCAATTCTGCGGTCTATGTAAGCTAAATTTCCAGAACGAAGATGTGGTAAACGGACCGGCTGCACTCAAAAGAGTGCCTACTTAGTTACGCAGTACTATCTTACGTGTACCCATAACAGATGTTATAGGTGGCCTGCCATGTCCTGTGCCTCGTGAGTGTTTGCCACTTAAATCCAATTGATTCATAGTGCATCACCACACCGAGATCTCACTAGCAAATTAGTTAGACTTTGTATTAACTTCTAATCAACTGACATAGAGGATAAAAGAGGGTGGAAATTTAGTCTAAATAGCATACGTAGTAGCTATCAAGAGGAACTTGCGGTCTTGCACACCTACCGAATGAACTAGCTACCGTATTATGCATGTTAGATTAATGTTTACAAGAGAAAATTATCTTATAGAATCTTCTAGAATCCAAATATCTCTGTATACTGAATTTCTAGCCTAAACACAATGGCTGTACCCCGAAGAAAGACCATGGGCGCTCTGGCGTCAGAATCATTTCCTTGTGCTGCGATAGAATAAGGTTCATGTTCTATCTCTCCATCAGCGCATGGAGCGCTTGCACCGCAGAATTTGCCGATATTCAATCCGTGAAGCTCAACGAGGTGGGCGATCTATTTGACCTCGAAAATGCTGACCGCTATGCAGTATATTTTTATCCTCGCTGTCCGAGACATTGCGGAATGGCTTCAAGCCATCCAAACGGCTTGTTTGAACGGCCACAAAAATGTCTCGTTAGGAAGGAGGAGCTCATTTCTACAAGTTTCCATAGAGGTCAAAAAGGGCCAGGATCAAGATATAAAATGAGGTCAACCTCTCGCCTAGATAGCTCTTTATCAAGAGCTCTATTCACGTAGTTTAATTAGTTAATGAATAAAGCTTCAGTTTGCTTTTTGCTTCAGCAAGCGGTTACTTTGCTAATTTATCTCGTAGTAGAGCGGTATATTACAGAAGTGGTAGACTTATAGTAATGGCTATCTGAGATATATTCTAGCAGTATTGCAACAAGCACTCGTGATGGGAGTGCTACTAGATATACTAATCTAGCCCTGTAGAATTTCTATAGTATTAGAAGCACGCACAAGTCTTAACTACTTTTTCAATATCCTTATTGGCTTCTTATAAGGCTCTTTTATATAGCAACTGTAATCGGGATAGAAAGAGGGACTGTACTAGTAATATAAAATCACCCTGGACAGACTGTTTTGCTACGGAAAGACCTCAATCTCTATTTTCAGAGGCGCCTTGTTTATTCTTGACAGAGTATATCTATTATAACTTTCGATATATATCATCCTTGACTCTAGCATATTATTACCGTATAAAATCCTGTGCTGGATACGATACCGCATCAATTCGTCAACCATGGCCTCTACTTCGTGATGGCCGCCCCACTTGGTGCCTATGATAAGATCTCATCTCCCGAGTCTGACTTCCACATCACCAACACCCAGGATGAAGAAAATGGCGCTCGCATAGTATGCCTCTCTTCTAGTGTTCATCATTCCCCTCATCACTGCATTCCCAGTATAAACCACATCAATGCAATCCACATCTTCAACACCATCCACTCCTGCATGTGCCAATGGGGCTCCTCCCTGAACTACAACTGCATGTCTTTATCACTTCCGTTCCATCAGGCACCCAATTCTACCATCGAACCTGGTAGCGTGATCCTGTCTCCGGCCCGGAATGGCTCGCCTCTGAACCCGAACATGCCATGGTATTCGCTCAACCATCCGTCACTGCCGTCCTCCTCTCCAGCCAGGAGATGGAGCCGAACAGGAGGGATCTAGAACGACTGATTCAGATGCAAGAGATAGGGGAGGGGGCGTCCTTCGATTGGCAGGCGATCGCGGATGTGGTGGTGGAGCGGTATGCGCGCGAACTGAGGTATCTGGTGTCAGGGCAGTTGGCGACCCTTGCGGACCTCCATGAAGAGATTGAGAATAGTCTGGGTCCATTTGTGGACTACGACAGTCGGGATCATGCTCGGGAGGTGCATCTGTGCGCAACCCAGGTTCTCCCAGCAAGGACGCCAGATGGGGTCGCCGCACGAGCGATTTGGTCGGTTACACAGCAGATCTGCTCGACGACGGCTGAGGCGTGGAATAAGATGGACTACGGGGCCGCCCACTGAGTCAACTGATGGATTACCTGAACTGGACCTTCTGGAAGGAATGCAGGGGGTGTGCCGGTGATGAGATCTGTGTGGTCCCTATTTGGCCGATGGGAACGGTGGACTACAAGCATCCCCTGTGTCGCGATGCGTCGCGGCCCAATGGGCACGGGAGTCGATATTGGGGAGATACCAACCAATTTGCATAATCGAGTACTCACCTTTCTCTACCAAGTACGCATAGGCACTCTGTACGCATTCTATATGCCTGATCTTCAGGCTACAGAAGACTCCGTACAGATTCAGGGGTAAACGTGACAGATTCTAACCAAAGCAAACATGGAACTGTGATTTATCAACAATATCACAGTGATCATCGACGCCACATCGATAGTTCATGCAGGAACTCGCCTGCCCGGTTTCACCAACTACTATGGAGTATTCCTGGCAACAGGCCGGGTTGAGAATCATTTGTTTGCGTTGATTGCTCGACCGAGGCGACATCGGCGTTTTTCTCATTCCCTGGAAAAGAAACACGGTTATAGACTATTGCAGCCACATCGTATGCAGGGACAGGCGGGATTATATTCGATGCCTGCAAACTTGGAAATTGCCTGTCATACGAAGCGATTGGACGAGACTCTGTCGATGCATCGCTGCGGACCATTGGTACGACTCAATATATCTCCCCCTATCGTATGCGGCATTGCTGGCAATTCTAGGCGATACGTTGACTCGTCGTCTCAATGAATTCATATAATTCGTCCTTAGCAGAAGGATATGCCCCACCTGGACTGACGGGGCAAAAAACGATGCAATCTGGAAAAGCATAAATACCAACATCTCTTGCACTGTGGATCAGTCGACTATTCATTCGTTCATTACTTCGTACATCCTTGTCTTTCGTTTATCCTCCGCAACGTCTTTCGTTTATTCAGGCTTACATTCGTTTTTGTTTCCCTCTTCATCATGAGGATCTCTGCTCTGGCTGTGCTGGCCTGGGGCGCTTGTGTGGCGGCCAGCCCTCTGGGTGGTGTTCAGCATCGCGGTTTGTCTCCGCATGAATATGCTTGTGAGAAGCCACATGAGATGTCTCATCCTGCTCCTGCCCCTGAGCCTGTGCCCTACCCTGCTCCTCAACCTGCTCACGAGCTAGCTCCTGTTCCTCAGCCCGAGCCTGCTCCTCAACCTGCTCCTCAACCTGCTCCCGAACCAGCCCTTCAGCCAGCTCCTCAGTCCGCTCCTGAGACCGCTCCAGCTTCGGCTCTCGCCCCGGGCCCCGGCCAAGGTTGCGACGAACATTCCTGCCACGGCACCGGCCACCTCGTCCAAGACCTGGGCAACCCGACCCATAAGCTCCTGCACGTCGTGGGAATACACCGTGAAGAACTCCTTATCAAGTTGAGCCTGGTGGTGGAAGATCTTCTCGGCGGACTGGACGTGCACGACAAGCTCGTGGGATATATCATTAAGGAAGCGCCGAGTCTAGCCGAACTCGTGGCTGATCTGGACGATCCCACAAAATGTTACCTGGTGGTGTTGGGTAAGAATACCGGATACCTGCTGGTGGGGCTAGATCACCGCGTGTCGGGTCTCCTATCTGAAGTGGGATTGAAGTCGATCGTGGGACCGGTGGGACAGGTCGTCGGCACCGTGGGACAGGGCGGACTCCTCGAGCATGTGGCACCTGTAGATAACTGCTTGTTGCAGATTGTCAGCGAGGATGGGAAGATCCTCCTGGTGGAATTGAGTGGACCGCTCGCGGGCGAGGTGAGTGGATTGGGACTGGGGCTGGCTAAGACGGTGGGCAAGGTGGTCAAAGCAGCGGCGGAAGTGGGCGAGCTAGTTAAGGGTCTGGCACCGGTGGGCGAGTGTCTGTTGACGATTGTTGGAAATGACGGGAAACCTCTGTTGATTCAGCTGTCGGAGGCAGTGGCCAGTCGAGTGGACAAATCCGTGTTTCCTGGCCTTGAAGTGCCTGTTGGGAAGGTGGTCAAGGTGTTCTGAAAGGGACTTTGATTCTTGATCTCTCGAATTCTATATGGATTTGTCTACGGAGGATTGATCTACTGTTTAATAGTATTCTAATCTGTTTAACTGGTAGATGTGGGGACGAATAAATCCCCGTCCATCTATAATATCATTATTCCAGACTCATCTTATCCGCATGCTCATTTTATACACAATGCCTCAACAAGATCTGCAGATTCTATTCTTGGCGCTGGTAAGTTTCTCTGCATATAATACAGACATACCATAAACTAACGAACATAGACATCAGCGGCCTCACCTGCGCCCTGGCTCAATATTTACTAGATATGTTAAACAATCGGGACTGCTTTGTGGATCCTATGGCCTTTAGAATAATATCCCGGAGAATGCTAAAGTATTAAGGTGCTATATATGATGATTAATATAAAACACGGCCGTTGACTAAAAACTTCACTTTTCATGTACAAGCAGCAGCTGGTATTGATATTATTGTGGATGATAGAGTTGGAGTTTCCTAATGTCAAGGGCTGAACCCATAGAACCTACAAGATAGGTTATGTACAAGAAGGAATCGTTGAAGAAGGGAAGAAAGGAAGAAAGGAAGAAAGGAAGAGGAAACAAGCGGTAAACAAACAAGGTGGGGAGTCACGTGACATCGATCGAGGGCCAATGGGCCAAAAGGGTCAGTAGGGACAGTAGGGACAGTAGGGACAGTAGGGACAGTAGGGACAGTAGGGACAGTAGGGACAATAGGGACAATAGGGACAATAGGGACAACGGGGACAATAGGGACAATAGGGACAACGGGGACAGTAGGGACAATAGGGACAACGGGGACAGTAGGGACATTGGCCCGAGAGGTCAAACGGGCTCTAGCCCTTTACACTACTCCCTCCCTACCGGTTCTTTGGCTTTTGGTGTTGGGCCGCTCATCCAACAATAGTGTTCCCATTGACTGGAGTGCGAAGCGTGGGGAGGACACTACTCGTTCCATGGCTCCGCCATGGATCAACTTCTGTGGGGGACACCGTCTGCCCATGTGACGCACTTCCGAGCTGGACGTATGTTAGGGCGTAGGGCCCTAATATTTGGCTTTCCTTTTCGGTTTCTTTTTGGCTTCTTCTTCTTCGGCTTCTGTGGCGGTTGGGGGTGATCCTTTCGCCAGCGGTCAAGTGCTTCGGTGTCCTCCATTGCATCAGCGTGATTCCATTCAGGTTGCTGGTAACCGGTGTATTTAACTAGGAACTCATGGCGAAAACCTCGTCCTACACGTGCAAACCGTTCGTCTAGGATTTCCTGTACCAGATATTCTTCTTCACCGTCGACTAGCTGGGGAGGGGGCTGGTAGTCGTCATTTTGCTGGCTCGGGAAAGGGTTAGAATTGGCAGGTCGTAGTAACATGACATGGAAAACATTATGAATTCCGGGAGGAGTGTTAAGCCGATAGGCGTGTGAGCCTACTTTCTCAATAATTGTATACTTGGCATTTCGGATATCTAGTTTCTTGCTTGGTCGTTCCGTGCGTATATTACGTAGGTCAAGCCATACTTTATCACCCACACGGTAAGCCGGTGCGGATGTACGGTGGCGATTAGTATAAGCTTCATATTTTTTTGCTGCGCAGCGGCGAGCTCGGCCTTAGCAATATCCAGTGCGTGAGCTAATTTAGTCACAATATCATGTCCTTGTTGAGCTTTGGTCCGTTGGGTTTCTGTGGGCACTAGATTTGTATCCTGTGTATTATCCACTGAATTGTCTCCATGTCGTACCCATGGTCTAAGAAGAAAGGGCTAATTCCAGTGGCTGTAGCGTTTCTCCCGTTAACTGCGAGTTGAGCTATGGGGGACAGGGAGGCCCAATTAGTTTGTGTACGGTCACAAAAGGACCTGAGATAGGCTTCAATTGTCGCATTCATGCGTTCAGTCTGTCCATCGGTCTCCGGGTGGTAAGCAGTAGATAGACGTCGTCGAATTCCTAGTTGTTTGCAAAAGTTTTCCCACATATCGCTGACAAATTGGGCACCGCGGTCAGACGTAATAGCGCTTGGAATACCATGGTATCCAATAAAGTGTTGGATAAGTTTAGTAGTAACAGTGGGCGTATCTATCTGCTCGCAGGGTATTAATATAACACCTTTCCCTAGGCGATCAACAATAACCATAAGATTCTGGCAGCCATTAGACTCAGGCAGCTTCTCAATAAAATCAATAGCTATTTCTCTCCATTTTCTGTCGGGTATCGGCAAGGGTTTTAGTACTCCATGGCGGCGATCTCTCCATATTTTATTGGCATTGCATTTGTCGCAATTTTCCACAAAGCGGCGGACATCGGCGGCAATATTAGGCCAGTAAAACTGCCTAGCAAGGATCGCGTACATTGTATTGCGGCCTGGGTGTCCGGTGATCACCGAATCGTGTGTTTCCTGCATAATCCTGGTCCGAAGGGATTCGATGTCAGGGACCCAGCGGCGGTCTCGGTATAGCAAATAGCCCTCGGGTGATATACTGCAGTCAGAGATACCGGTTTTAGGCCGAGTTCCTTTGGAAAACGGACCGCACCCTCATATACAGCAGCTCGAATAGCGCCATATTTAACATCCTGTTGTTCTGCGCTTGACCAGTGTTCACCTATCGGAAGGTTAAAAGGTCTTCTCCAGGTATTAACTGTTCGGTGGATTTAGTAGTTATTGTACTAATCCTGGCAGTTGCAGGGGTAAGACTTGGTTTCCTCTGAAATCTAGATGGGTCTAAGAGACACCGATAACGGTTCTGTAGCCGCTCGTCTGAATCATCTTGTGGGAGGTCTTGTTCTCTGCGGGAAAGTGCATCAGGGCGTCCTGCAAGTTCCCCCGGCCGGTAGTCCAGTGTAAAGTTATACCTGCTTAACAACGCAGCCCATCGCATTTGTCGTTCATTTAACCGTCGTAGTGTTGTGAAGTATTTTAGGTTTTATGGTCTGTTAGTATACGAAAACCTTCGATACTGCATAATTCTGCTTCCCATTCCCTTAAAGCGTTGATAATAGCCAGTAATTCCTTGTCATGAATCTCATAATTGCATTCCGCCGGACTGTTTTTCTTAGAGAAATAGGCGCAAGGCCTTAATAGTCCGTTATCGTCGTACTGTGATAATGTTCCCCCTGTAGCCCACATTGAGGAATCTGCTTCAACAACAGTCTCCCTCTCGGGGCTAAACTGTATAAGAATCGGGGCAGTGGTAAACATTGTCTTCAGTTGCTGGAAGGCCTTCTCGCATGATTCGGTCCATTTGAACTCGTGTCCTTTCTGCGTTAACTGATTTAACGGCGCAGCGATATCCGCATAATTCCTTATAAAGCGGCGATAAAAGTTTGCGAATCCTAAAATGATCGTACACCCTTAACAGTCGTGGGGACAGCCCATTCCAGTATTGCTTTAACCTTTGCAGGGTCCATGCGTACGCCTTTACCCGCTTCAATAATAAATCCCAAATACTTGGTGCTTTTGACTTCAAACTCGCACTTGTCAATATCCAATTGTAATCCGGCCCTTTGTAGTCGTTCCAATACCTTGTTAACATGGCTTCGGTGCTCAGCAAGTGACCCTGATGAGAAAATTAATATATCGTCTAAGTATGCCGAAGCGAACTCGTCTAGAAAGTCACGCAGGATCCAATTAATATACCGCTGAAATGTGCTTGGAGCGTTCGCCAAGCCGAAAGGTGTTACTAGCCATTCGTAAAGGCCAAATCTAGTCCGGAAGGCTGTCATCCATTCGTCTCCTGGCGAGATCCGGATTTTATGAAATGCAGCAATAACATCAAGCTTGGTAAACCAGCATGCCTTCCCAATCCTTTCCAGTGTCTCATTAATTAAAGGAAGTGGATATCGGTCCTTTTTGTGATTGCATTTAAGCCTCGATAATCACAACAAAACGTAGTCCTCCTCCTGGTTTCTTTACTAAGAGAACCGGGGCTGCAGCGGGCGAATTGCTGACTCGTATAAACTGTTTGTCCAATAATTCTAAAAGGGTCTTCCTGAGGACTAGTAATTCATCGCGAGACATGTTGTACAGCGGTCCATGTGGGGGTTCACGAGTATTTCCGTTTTCGTCTTTTTCCAGCTCAATTTTATGGTCGACTCCAGCTCCACGGAGCGGTGGGAGTTTGTCGGCTTCTTCGCGGCTGAATACCGGGAGAAATTGGTGGTAATGAGCTGGTAGTTTGTCTTTAGGGTCCGTGTATTTCTTTACTGTAAGTGCTTTCTCAATATCTTTTAGGCTTGCGGCAAAAACTCGTATCTCCTTGTTCTTTCTTCTTTTCCTAGCCCACATATTAAAGGAGTTGGCGCGTTAATGGGAGCAATTTTAGGGATTCCGGTCTGGTGGTATTCGCTGCTGACTTCAGTTCCAGTGTCTTGGAAGATTAACTTTAATCTATCAGTGGATATATTGGCTCTTTGAGAGATTAGCCATGGGAGTCCTAGTATAATATCGTGGCCTATATCAGTCGGGGCCACGTAGAGGAATATCCTTCGTTGGTAGTGACCTCCAATATCTAATGACATGTAGGCTACCTCGGTGACATACTCTCTAGCACCCCCAATTCCTTTAATAAACCGTGGCGGGATGGTAATGCGCTGGAGACAGCTTTTTGGGCAAACTTGGAAGAGATCATCCCATAAGGGTCACAGCCTGTATCAACTAAAGCATTTGCATTGTATTCCTTGTTAACCAGGGCTGTAATTATAAAGGGTGGACCTTCCATATTTTTCCTTAAAGTTTTCCCATTCTTCTTTCGCCTCTATCCGCTCCTGTTCGCGACTTAAAACAGGAGCTACACTTTTCCCGCTTTGTCTTTGTCTTCCAGGTTGTCCTCGTCCTCCAGCACCGCACCGGTGATATTAGCGACTATGGGGATCCTAGGCGGAGGTGGTTGGGGCCTCCTGGGAGGTTGGAAGGGACAGTCTTTAACTATATGGCCTGGGGCTCCGCAACGTACGCACAGCCTTTCACTCCATCGTCGGTTAATCTCCTCCTG